CAGCAACGATGCACGTAGCGCGCCGTACTACTGTAGTGTAGTACCTGACATGCGGCTCCATAGACGGCTAGACTGGGTTCCACACCGGGGAGAGAGAGGGAGACCCTCCCAGTCCAGCCCAGCCCAGCCTGGGCGTTGCGAGGGGAGGGGGAAGCGAGCGAAAGCAGAGCAGCGCCAGGCGGGAAGACGTTGGCGCCGATTCGCAGATGCAGAGACCAGTATAGTACAGAATTGGGCCTCCTAGTCCTCATCGGGCAATCGCCTACAGTATCACCGTGTACCTGCCGCCACTTCCTTAGATTGTCTGCCACGTCGTCCTGGCTCCGGCCCAGTCCCCATTGGGCGATGAATGGACGGATGGATGATGAGGCAAGTAAGAGGCAGTGAGTGGCCTGGAGAATAACTACGAACAGGGGAGGACGCTCGCCTTGACACACAACTGGACTGAATTGTTCTGTACCGTAGATTTTGGCTTTCTGGCCGGAGTATCGGGTTCGCGGATCTCAGCGGCAGCGCCGATCCTGGAACCCGGCTCGTGTCATGATGAGTCGCCAATCGGTAGGGCTTCGGAGGCAGAGAGAGTGTGTATCTGTGTGATCAGAAAAGAAAAGCCCAAACTTTACCCAGGCAGTTGGACTGGCTGGTAGACAAGAGCTTCTTCGTCGGTCGTTGGGTTGGTTTTCCTCGGGTCGCCGATTAATTCAGGAACCGGATCAGAGATGCCAACCGTTCCGATCTCCTTGGGCAGGGGGCAGGGACACCGCGGCTTGATTTCTCTGTTCCCCAATTAACACCCACCTTCCCGGCTCTTCCATCTTTGTTCGATTACTTCATTTATTCTTGTAGATACTCCTAAATGAAGACGGCCCCACAGGCAGCATGTTGCTGTCGTACCACCCGCGGCAGAGAGAATCGAGATCAGCAGAGCATTGCCCTATGTGGATGATGTTTTAAGTTTCTGGCAGCCCTTTGGTGTGTGGTGCACCACCACCACCATTACAGCCGCCGATCCTTAACGCTTTTCCTTAAGGACTGGAGGAGCCAGGACTCGGGTTTTCGAAGCATGAGGCAAAGAAACCCAAAACGTTCCTGCAAGGGACAGACTTGCGGAAAAGAAGAGCCACCGCTCATTCCTCGGGGTTGTGTCCAGACCTCACGTTCAAGCATGTGGCTAGGCCGCAATCAGCCCGCGCCTGATGTGTGGCCGGAAGCCCGCCTCAGCCTCGGAGGGCGTTTCACTGGCTGGGGCCGACGGACCACTCACCGAGTGGACAGACAGAGACTGATGAAAAAATTGCCTCCTCCCTCTCCGGAGGAAGCGGGGGGTCATCGTGCCTCCTCCCTGGCCTAGGACGACGACGACCCAATCTGGAGCTTGAAGCTCCGTTTGTTACCTTTTGGTGAAAGGGCCGGAAATCGGCTTTCGTGCGCCCTCGCCTTTTAGGGCCCTGAATGCGTCTCGCGGTTTCACTGCCAACGTGGACTGGTCATTGTCAGGGACCTCCTCCTACTCCATCCTTCCAGAGTGGAGTCGGGGTCCAACAAGGGAGCTGGAGACCGGTCTTGCGCAGAGATGCTGAGAGATAGGGAGATAGTAGATAGAGAGTAGCCCGGCCGGCAGAGGAAACTTCCACCAAATGTACTTACCGTACAGCAGCACATAGCAGCGGGCAGGCGACGGCACTAAGCCTCAGAGGATTGATTGCCTCTTTCGGTCGCCGGCTCGTATAATTACTAAGGGACCGTCGCCGCCGCCGCAGAGGCTGTCATAGTCGGTGTCCCCCTGCTGACTTGAAGTTGCTTACCCGGGCGAGGGACCCAAGGACGCAACTAGCAGCTGCTGTCACACGCCTCAGTCCGCTCTCCCCATCAGCGAGCACCGGGTTCTACGCCGTCCCTGTGACTGTGGCTAATTCATTCCCGTCACCCCCGCCGGCTGCTGACATGGTCAAGCGGTGGTGGTACATCTGTACGCCGATGCGCAACACACGGTGGTCGCAGTAATGGCATGGAGCATGGCATGACCTGACCTGACCTGGCTCTGGCTCTGCGGTTGCGCTCCCTGCGTGGAGGCACTGGCGCAGGGTGATGTCAACGCCCGAACTTAAAAAACGGGACTGCTCGGCCGCGAAGAGGGCCCGAGTCGTATCCATGTGTGTATTGTATGCATGTGTGTACAGATATCTTGGCTCTTGGGGCGGGAGATAGACTCGGGCACCAGTCAGTGGCGCATGCATGAAGCTGCGGGCGAACAGACGAACTTCAAAGCTCTTGCAGTACAGTGTGTATGCCCTGCCTGAGGGGTTGGTTGTGTTGGTAGAAGAGGGCGCGTCATGAGAAGGATGATCCCTTTGTGCTGATTCCCGCTGGCCTGGGTTTGACGTTTCTTGGTGACGACGGTAGACCTGCCAGCCAGGATGGGCCATCTTGCAGGCATTGCTAGTGATGCCTGGCGCGCTTCTTCGCTGTTCGCGGATGGGCTAGCAGCAGGAGTACCGGCGAGAAAGTGAGAGCGAGAGAAGCGTGTGTGTCTGACTACTGACTAAAAAGGTCCCGGGGTATTTGGCGCGACGGCGTCCGACGGTTCCAGGACCCTTGCGCAGCCGAGACCCCCGGCGCGGTGCTGAGTGAGGATGAGGGAGTGTCGCCATACCTGATGGAGGGGCAGCAGGGTCTGGGCAAGACATGCGAGAGATGGATCTGAATCAACGACCGCGATAGGGGTGAGAAGGGCATGGAGTACTATGTTGTGTGTGTTTGAATGAATGAATGGATATCCGACCCCTTTTCCTGGCTTCTAATTCTACCTGTCTCTTGCATTATCCCCATCTGCGTCGTTCTCAAGAAGCTCGAGGTCGACTCACCTCCTTTTCCCCCTGCGCAACGGAGAGTTTTCTGGTGGTGATTCGGGATGGGGCCACTGGCGGTGTCGGGCGAGAATGAGGTGTGGGGTGGCGGGACAGGGAACAGGACGACACGACAGGCACGACAAGAAGTTTGAATGGGGAAAGCCACTTCGGTTGGCACATCCGCTGACACCGGCCGACGGGGGAGGGGGAGTGGGAGGGATGAGGGCGCATACCACACATACTGTACTGTACGGTATGTACAGCCAGCAGAGCAAAGCAGAGAGGGACAAGGGAATAAAGTGGCTCGGCAAGCTTGACATGGACATGGACGTGGACATGGGACATGGACATGCACATTGACAATTTACGGTTGATCGCTGGCAGGCTGGCAGGGCAGGCAAAACACGAGCTACATACTGTAGTCCTGGCCAATGCCCTTTGAAACGTGCTTCTTTTTTTGTCATTCCCTGCCTTGCCTGTGCTTGCTGGAGATTAGAAGAGAAGCAAAGAGTGATGTAGGGAACGATTGGGACAAGAGAAGACGGTGGAAATGCTCATTGAAATGCGTAGAACCTGTATCTTGACTGACTGACTGACTGACTGACTGACTGACTGACTGACAGTTCTGCCCTCGCCCATGGCATTCATTGTTCTCTCGGACGCAACCTGTCTTTGACGGCTCATGCATGTGTGTGCCCGTACGGTACGGTATGGTACGGTACATAGGCTACTGTGGAGGTACCCAGGTACCCCATGTACCCAGGCACCGCAGCACCAGTGGGACATGACATGGATGCCCTTTTGGACGTGGACATGGACGGACGGTGGAATTGATCTCGACCGAAGTAACAAAGGCGCGCCGTTTTAGATCCCCCTTCAGACGCCCAGACAGCCAGTCAAGCGAGGCCCGCACGTGTGGTCACTGGCTGGCTGGGCCCCGACTGATCGAGATGGACCTCAGTCAATGGATTGGTCTGTGGCAGAAGTCCCTCGTTCTCGTGATGCTGCTCCAGCTCCAGCTTGTTTCTGTTGGTTTCCTGCCTGTCTGCCCGAGAAAGTAAACGGACACGAGAGAGAGAGAAAAGAGGGAGAGAGAGAGAGACAGAGACAGAGAGACCTGATGACATCCGCCCGTCGCTGCAGCTAAACCATCGTGCCCATCCGTCGACCCCAGATCCCTGCCTGCTGCGGTCCTGACAAGTATCCTTCAGGTACCTGCTTGCCCAGCTCGCTTCTGTACCCAGCCACCGCAAGAGCCCACTGGCACTCTGACTGTCTGGGCTGTCCAGGCCTCCAGGCAGCCCGTAGGCCGTCACAGGGCAGCTGGAGACGGGCTCCTTGCTGGCTCACCTGCTGGCCCCAGACCACGCCCCGGCACAGCTACGACCCAGGCAGTGACCCAAGAACGACTTTGGGACTTTGGACGGTCCACTCCGGCTCGCCCACCCTCGTTGCCCTTCTGGGCCGCCCGCGCTGCCCAGGTGGGCTTGCTGAACTCTCTCTCTCTCTCTCACTCTCCCATTGTGCCTTTCCAAGGTTGCTTGGTTGCTTGGGTCGCCTGCGTGAGTGAGTGAGTGAGTCTCCGCTCTAGCCTCTACTGTGTACGGTGCAGCACTCTAGTCTCTGGCCCACGCTGTACCCTGCCAGCCTGCTACCCTACCCTACCCTACCCTACCTTCTTTCTTCCGCCTCTCCTTCGATCCCCATGTACCTCGTACCACGACCGCCTCTTAGGAATCCCTCCTCGCCTACTCTTTCACCTCTCCTCCTTACTCACTCGCTCACTCATACTCTCACACTCTCTCAATCCCCTCACCTCCTCCTCTTGAACCCCTCCTGTTGTTCTCCCTGGCGACACCTCCCGACCCGCCATGTAACGCCCTGCAACAGCCCAACTCCAAGGTACCTACGATCGCTGCCCGCCACTAGAGACAACCCGCTCTGCAAGACGGACCGTTCGCCCAGTTCGCCCGCCCACCACGAACCCCCCCTCCGAACCCAGACACGAACAAACATACTCGACAATACCGGGGATAAGAAACAACAGCAACCCCCAAGATATCTCTCAACCCAGTTCCTGACAGCTTCGGCTGCTGGTAATTGTGGTGCAGAGTCTCGGCGTCGAGGTGGAACCTACATCTCCCACCAACCATGGTTCTGAGCATACCCGAGACCGGCCTCCATCTGGAGAGCTCGGCCAAGTCTGCAGACACCCTTCCTCTGCAGGCTTTTGCCCTCACCCTCAACGACAATGTAATTGAGGACCTGATCCGGCAAGTGCAAAATGGAGGCGAGGTCAAACTTTCCCTGGGGAACGTTCCTGTAAGTGCTGTTCTGCCTGTTGTGACGTCGCAGAGGGAGAGGTGGGATTGGAGGCGTTCCTATTGTTCGACAGCGAGGATAATAGCCTCGCAACCGGGCCCTCAGTGGAAACAATGTGTATTCAATTGGGCCACACCAGTTGTTCCGTTCGCTTGCTTCCTGCCACTGTTCAATCTTGGAAGACTAGACCGCTGACTGCTACCTACTTCACTTACAGTCCCTCCTCTGCGGCAGGGAAGCAGTCCACAAAATCCCCAGGGCTGCCGAGATACCCAACCTCGACCTCTACCTTACCGATCCCTCAGACTCGACGCAAGAAGCAGAGAAACTGCCCCACCCCTCCATGTCCCTCTTCATGAGGCCTGAGCTCAGGCGGTACCCCAAGCTCGCCGCGGGCCGCGTGGTCGTCAAGGAGAAGCCCGCCCCAGCGAGTGCCCCAGCTCCGGCTCGCACCCCTTCAAAAACCGATCTCCCCGATGACATTGCACAATTGAAGAAGTCCATGGCCCAGGCCAAGAATGACAAGCTGGAGAATGGGTGTGTAGTGCTGAGCAGACTCTGGAAGTGGTCTGAGCTAACTTGCAACCCTGTAGTACCAAGATCGTCAATACTCCCATCTCGGGAATGAAGCGGGGCACGAAGAGCGGCAAGGCGAAGTTGCTTCCATCGGCCAAGGGAAGTACCTTCACGGGCACCATCAGCCGATCTGGTGCTGCCAGCCCAGCCCTCAGTGGAACCGGCTCTCCGTCCCTGGGCGCCACGCTATCAGCTGACGAGCTGGCCAAGGAGAGGGCCAAGGAGCTTCGATCACCAATTGTGCACGAGTTGGCCGTCAGGGAAATGACCTTTGAGGAGCTTCAGTCCAGGTGGCCGAATGACGACAAAGACTTCAAGCCTGCCTTGGATAAGGTGGCCGATTTCGACAGCAGCCGCCAGAAGTACGCCTTGAAGAAGATGTACTGGAAGGAACTCGACGTGTTCAGATACGGTTACGACTCAGACGAGGAGCGACAGAAGGCCATCGACAACGCCATCAGGATGTACGATCGCATGCGCGTGGGTACTACAGAACCCGAGTGGCAGAAGTTGCTGCCGAAAGAGGAGCGCGGCAAGGGAAAGTGTCTCAGCAAGCTGCAGGCAACCATTGCCAAGAGTGCGGCTACTGCACAAGCCAAGACGCCGCAGATCAAGGTCCATGACGCAGAAGATTCGAGCGGCAGCAGAAATGGAGATGGCAACATGTCGGGTGTTGAGAGAAAGACAAAGAAGGCGGGTTCACCACTGCCACGGTCTTCCTCGCAGACCAGACAACCGGCCAAGAAGATGGAAAACAAACTGTTGTCACAGAAGAAGACACCAACGCCCAAAGTCTCACCTACCAAGGCTGGCGCGAAGTCGACAAAGGCCAAGGGCGGCCGCGTCCTTTCCAAAGAGATCATCTCGGATTCTGATTCTTCTTCGGAAGAGGCGCCACTGATGAACAAGTCGAAGGCCGTTGACAAGGAGCGAGAGAGAGCAAAGGAGAGAGAGCGAGAGCGAGAACGGGCCGAACGAGAGAAGGAGCGCGAGAGGGCCGAACGAGAAAAGGAGCGCGAGAAAGCTGAGCGCGAGAGGGAGCGTGAGAGAGAGCGCGAAAGGGAGCGCGAGAGGGAGAAGGCGAGGCAGGCGGAGAAGGCAAGGCAAAAGGAGGCCGCAGCCGCCAAGCCCAAGCCCAAGCCAGCCGCTCCCAAAGAAATCATCAAGCCACAGGTCGTTGCTCGACCAGTCGTCCAAAAGCGATCTCGAGACGAGCCTGATGACGACAGTAGCTCCAGCTCTGGCACACCACTGAGCAAGCGCGTCAACCGGGAGATCAAGGCATCTGCTGCGCCCCAGTCCAAGCTGTCAAACAAGCGACCTCCCTCAGAATCGAGTTCACAGAGCTCATCTCGCAGCAACGGTAATGCTGTCCCCAGCAAGTACAAGAACACCAGCCCGATCAAGTCATCACCACTTGCATCTTCCCCTCCGACCAACGCCTCAGACTTCGACCAACATACCTCTACCGACGAGAGCCGACATGGTCGTCAACGCGACCGATCTCAAGATCGCAGTGTGACAGTGGCGAACGGAAACATCAACGTCAAGAAGCGCAAGGCCGACCGGGACACCATCGATGTGGCCATGGCGGACAAGAAGCGCCCGCGGGTGTCGACCGAGGTCCTGGACAAGGCGCGAACGTTCAAGATTGGGTACAAGGTGTACCAGGAGCTCCACCGCGAGCTGTCCGCGGCCAACAGCTTCAACGAGAAGAAGTACGAGAAGCTGATGGCGATGCACGAGAGGCTGGAGCACCTCAAGAGCTCCATCTACTCTCAGGTGCCGCAGGGGGTCTAGATGATTGGACGATGAACAGAGAAGAAACGACAGATGATCTTCATTTAATCGGCATGCATGCAAACACATGAGGACGAGAAATTTTCACGGTATGCACTAGGAAGAGCAACACCACCATAAAAAGCGGGATTTCAGGACGCGATCTTCTTGTTTTCCTTGATTTTCTTTACCTGCTATCAAGTGTACGGCACAGGGTACTGACTCCACGCTGAGTCCCCCCTTCTCATCACACACGTCTCGAGCATTTACAAAACGGTTGGTTTGCATTATTGGAAAGGGCAGTGGCAACTGGTCCAGGGGTGTTTCTCGGTCAACTTTTGCACATAGCATCTCTCTGTTGGATTTTTCTGTTTGTTAAACCTTCCTGTGAATAGGAACGTCATGATACCAAGAATTAAAGGAAATTCTCATGAATTTGTTATAGACTGCTAAGATTTGAGTGCTACTTCTTAGTAAGGTACAAAGGCCCCGTTGGGAAGGATGGTGTTCACGTACAGCCGCCTGCGAGGACGTACGTGGTTCAAGTGCTTCCTCGCTTCAGTCGTGATCATGTGTCGAACACTTCGCGTCTCTCTTGCCACACACTTGAGGCCACTCCAGAACTGTGAATGTGCGAGGCTCCCATTTGCTCCGACTCCACTTACCACGGACGTTTTGATCCGATCTCCTTGATCACATAGCTCCCCGCTGTGCAACACGGCCCACCCCCCCTGCTCAGAACCTTAGGCACATAATGAGTCGGGTTTGCACATCAGGATTATGATGGGGGTGGGCTCGAAGTGGCACCATATACTGTTCATCTTGAGTCGTGCACGCATTCAAAGGCCGCTGCTGTTTTTGTACATGGATAGCAAGCAACCCGCGAGGCTTCAGATAAAAGGAGCCGGTGGGCGGGATGTGGACGGACGTGGCCGCTGGCAGGAGGTCTTTTTCTTTCGGCCTCGAGCTTCGTTCCTGGCTTTCTTTCTGCTTTCTCCCCCAGGATTGGCCGGCGCCAGTTGAAATAAATGCAACTTGCTTGCCCCCTTCCGAGCCAGCTGTTGCCGTGCTTCCTCCTCGGGGCATATTACATGGCTAGGATTGAGCCTCGTCACAACGATTAGTCGGGCGGAATATGAGAAGCCCACACGCATGTATATTGTTTTCTGCTCAGAGCAGCTTGAGAAGGAGCACCATGATGTAGCCGCCGCTGCGAATCCAACCACCATGTGGTTCTCAACCCTCCATCTCGCAACGACTGGTCTCAATCTCGATTCTACAAGGCATGACCGTACCTCGGGCCCAGGGATTATTACAATTTCAACGCTAGATGGGTTTGCTATCGGATCTTCCTACGACAATTTCCCAGTGCGTTTGAGAGTAGAGAGTAGATGAGTCGGACATAGGTGTCTTACGACATATACTGAAGGGCACGTAGTAGGGCCGCACAATCGGAACGCTGCGTACCCTTTATCCACCCCACCGAAGACGAGGTGAAAAGGAGTATCTGTTGCTGCTACTGTGGCTGGACGCGTACAAATTTCACTATCGACACTTCGTTTCTCCCTGGGGCCTGCCTTGTCAACCTCGTCAGTGCCTCGTCCCTTCCAACGAAAACGGGCGAGCTCCGGTCTTACATACGTTCTAGGGAGAACTCTTGTTCGGCCCAGGTTATTGGGAAACTTTAAACGGGCTGCCATAGTCCACCCGTTGGCTAAGAAAGGGTTGGGAAAAATGCGAACATGCTCATGTAAGGGCTTTGTTGTGTAATAGTCCTGACTTTTCTTTCCTTCTTTTTTTTTTTCCACGGCAAGCCTGGTTCTTTTCAGACGCGAATAATATTGTTTGAATGCTAGAACAAGGTCGTTAATAGAGATAGAGGGAAGAGGTCCAGGTCTTCGCCCTTCTTCCGCCCGGGGGGGTTCTGGAATGTTGACGGCCCGAGATGATGGGACAGAACACTGGCATTCCTGCGCGTCTCCGCACTCGAAGTTTGTTGGCCAAGTAGCAGTTTTTTCTCCAGAGACAGTGGTGGTTCGTTTTCGTGGTGCGATGTCTCTTGCCGTCATCATCAATAGCTGGACCCGCCCCTTCGCTCGCTGGACGGCCTGATGGGTTCATGCGGCGAACCCGTGAAATCACCGATGAGGCGAGTGGTCTCATTCTTTCCTTTCAAAGAAGAGATTAAGATGATGTTATTTCGTAGGTAAATAAATGGTCGCTCCCAACCTAGACCGCAAGTAGCAAAGACGTTTTTTGCTTGCCCATAATAACGTACAAAAAAGCCCCTTCCCGCATTGGATGGTTTCGCCTCTTTTCATCAGGTCATTTCGCCGGGCCAGTACTCCCTTCTCCCCGATTCCGAACGCATACTTGGAACTCACAGCGCCCCCCTGCCCACTCACACTAAAAATATCATCGCCGTCGTTGCTTTGCGCCGTGTCTTGGGGTGGTGATGGTTGCAGTGATCGTTGTTTATTGTGTCTTGAACAAAAGGATGGCGCAGTGTCCGAGGTAGAAGTAGATGAAGTGCTTGGTTTCTGCCGGGAAGTCAGCCGACCTGCGCCCTGTCCCAAATCATGCGAGCAGCAAATATTCATACCATGGGTTACGAAGCTTCCAAAGTTCCGCCCGACAATGCAATGCCATGTGGGGCCCTTTCGCTCGTCAAATGTTCTCTTGATGTGCTGGGCAATGTCCTGCCGTCCAACGTGTCAGTGGCATTGCTGGTCATCCCTCCAAGGGAAGAATATCGGGGTCGCAGTAGAGCGAGGCCGCCTCGTGGACTCCGTAGAGCATGCGACAATAGACCCGTACCTTCTCGATCGTGAATTTCGCCATTGCCTCCTGAGCTACTCCGGTTGTCAGCTTCTGTACCACCCCGCGCGTGCTCCCTCTCCGCCGAGGGGCGGCTTACCAATGTCGATGGCCTCCTGCTGCATGTCCTCCGTCTGTCGCCTCAAGTCTCAGTCCGGATCCATGTTCACACCATGACACGGCGTTTCCTTACCATGTCAGCGCTCTTGATCTGAGCATCGAGCTTCTCCCGAGGGCCCGGGGAAGTTGCGCCGCCTTCGACTGCCATGGCTGTTGTCGTGTAGCTTCGGATTCTGCCATGGGCACCAAAAGTTAGCCGTGATGAAGCAGAGCAGGGCGTGCCCTCAACTTCAGGGTGTGGCGATGTTCATGGCCTTTGGGGTGGAGGCAGTCCGGCCAGCTGGCGCTTGCGGATAAGGCCCCATGTGCTCCCCCCCTCGCGAACTGACTGCCAGCGGGCCCTGGCCTTTCCCACGCGCGGGCACAGATGATGCGATTGCAAAGCGGCTGTGACATTCGTACCTTGAGTGATCTGGGGAGGTCGCGGGATCGTGACGGCGTGGACGGGAGACGATGGGCTGTAGCCAGGGCGGTTGGGAGCGCGGTGTTGTTTGATGCCCAGGGAACTCTATTTACACAAAGAGGCTCAGCCTTTGGAGGCTTTGGGCCGCACCAGCTCCCCTGAACGGAGACCCTGCCAACAATCACGGTGGGGCACGGACCACGAACCCCCAAATGAGAGAAACGGAGTGTGGGGAAGACGTGCCGTCTCCAATATTTGACCCGCTAAAAAGTTTTGCCTGCTTTTCCGCAACTGACCGCGTATCTTTCTGCCTCAGAACTTCTCTCAATTCCTCCTTCTCCCTTCCACGGCTCCGTCTCCAACGACACAATCGTTGCTGCAAAGAGTGGTGCAACCCTTCCAACACTACTTCTGACTGCCCTCGTGGATCAGAATGTCCGCTGCAGACGTTGAGTCGTCGCGGCTGTTCGTCAAGAACCTGCCGCCCTCGATCACTGAGGCCGATTTCCGAAAACATTTTGCAACCGGCGGCCGAGAAGTCACAGACATCAAGCTGATCCCAAAGAGGAGGATTGGCTATGTTGGCTACAGGACCTCAGAAGATGCAGCCAAGGCTGTCAAGTTCTTCAACCGATCCTACATACGCCTGTCCAAGATCTCCGTCGAGGTCGCAAGGCCCATATCAGACCCCTCCCTGCCTACTGCTAAGAAGGCCGGTCCTCGTGTCCAAAACAAGCTGCCTACCCCCGAGCCTGAGCCTAGGGCGAAAGAAGCTGATGCAAATGACAAGAAGAGAAAGAGGGAGGGTGCGGATGAGTCCGACCCCAAACTGAAAGAGTACTTGGATATGATGCGTCCAGGACAGACGACCTCGAGCAAACTCGAGGGTATCTACGGCCAGCAGCACAGTGAACAGAACGATGTCGAGATGGCAGTCGCTCCTGTGGATGACGAGAGTGACGATGAGTACGAGGCCATCCCGGCCAAGAAACAGAAGCAGCAGAAAGAAATTGCGGAGGAAACACCAGCAGCGCAGGTTGAGGTCCCTTCGCCTATGGTCGATCCACCAAAACCAATAGACCAAGACGTGCCAAACACAACGGGACCAGCTGATGCAACAGATGATGATTGGTTGAGATCACGGACAAACAGATTACTTGACCTCGTCGACCCGGATGACCAATCAGCGCTACCTCTGCCTCCAGCACCACCTACCCAGGCTCCAGCTGTGACGAGCGGACCATCACTTGCAGAGGTAGAATTGGATCGTGCCACTCCAGAAGCCCCAGGCGAGCCTGTTGTCGAAAGAACGGGCGAAGAAGTCGCAACGGAACAGATAAATCGCACAGGTAGGCTCTTCGTTCGGAATTTGCCCTTCAAGGCCACCGAGGCCGAACTCGCAAAACACTTCCAGCCGTATGGAGAGACCGAAGAGGTAAGCAATCATTTTCCTTGTCTCTGGATTCCCTCCAGATTCCCCCGTCGTAGTGATGAACCCATGATAGGGACATCTTATGCCAAAGGCACATGATTATATTTTGGGTCGATTATTTTAGTAGATGCTTCGACTTGTCTGAACGACGAAGATGCTTGGTCATATTGTCTCAGCTTGACCTAGATTCAACATCGCTGACGTAGATCTAGGTACACATTCCTGTCTCTGGTTCGGGACAAGGTAAGGGGTTTGCCCACATCTCTTTCTCGGATCCTGGCTCTGCTATCGCAGCATTGCAAGATGCGGATGGCAAGCCTTTTCAAGGCCGTATCCTCCACGTTCTCCCAGGCCAACCGAAAAAGGACCACCAGTTGGATGACTTTGCCATCTCGCAACTGCCGCTCAAGAAGCAGAACCTTTTGCGGAAAAAAGCACAAGCATCAACCAGCACCTTCAACTGGAACTCACTGTACATGAATCAAGATGCCGTGCTTGCATCAACTGCAGATCGCCTTGGAGTCTCCAAATCAGAGCTTCTCGATCCCACCTCCACTGATGGCGCAGTGAGACAGGCGGTAGCCGAGACACAAATCATCCAAGAGACGAAAGCTTACTTTGCTTCTCACGGAGTCAACGTTGAGGCCTTCAAGTCCCAGAAGAAGGGAGATACTGCCATTCTGGTGAAGAATTTCCCGTATGGTACGAACCTCGAGGAATTGCGGAAGCTGTTCGAAGAGGCTGCCGGTGGAAATGTGCTTCAAGTCTTGATGCCACCAAGCAGGACGATTGCAATCGTCCAGTTCTCACAGCCTGTTGCTTGCAGAACTGCTTTTGCGAAGCTGGCCTATAGGCGACTCGGCTCATCTATTTTGTTCCTTGAAAAGGCACCTGTAGATCTATTTGGAGACCAACAGACTACACAGCAGCCTCAGGCTGATCACCCTGCGGATGGTGCGGGCGTACAGAAAATGTCTGGCACGGATCTCCTGGAGCAAGCTGATGACCAGGGTAGCCAGGACACGACGTCCCTTTACGTCAAGAATCTGAGCTTCGACACAACCACAGCACAGTTGGCCGATGCGTTCAAGTCCTTGGACGGATTCGTCCATGCACAGGTGAAGACAAAGTCCGATCCCAAAAAGCCGGGCCAGGTGTTGAGCATGGGTTTCGGCTTTGTGCATTTCCGCTCAAAGGCGCAGGCGGAGGCCGCTGTCAAGACCATGAATGGATTTGTCCTGGATAAACACACACTCGCAGTAAAGGCATCACACAAGGGCCATGACGCGGCCGAAGAAAAGCGACGCGAAGACAAGGCCAAGAAGGCGGCAGGCCAGAGAACCAAGATCGTCGTCAAGAACCTCGCCTTCGAGGCTTCCAAAGCCGATCTACGCCGCTTGCTTGGGACTTACGGCAAGCTCAGAGTCGTCCGCATTCCCAAGAAATTTAACAGCTCATCGTTAGTGGCCCATCCCCTGTCACCCAATGGCGCAGTATATTGCCGCTTTTACTAACGCGAAAACAAACAATAGACGTGGATTTGCCTTTGCGGAATTTGAGTCGCCACGAGAGGCAGAGAACTGCATCAGGTCGCTCAAGGACACTCATCTGCTCGGCCGCAAATTGGTCCTTGACTACGCCGAGGCTGAAGCCATCGACGCGGAAGAGGAAATTGCCAAGATGCAGAAGAAGATCGGGGGCCAGGTTAACAGGGTAGAGCTACAGAAGCTCACCGCAGGGAAAGGCAGCGCCAGACAGAAGTTCGAAATCGGGGAGGACAATGAGGATAACGCATGATCGCTCGTGGTGCATTGTCGAATGGAGCAGGGAGCTAGTTAGGGCTAACAGCCCCTCTGCCCAGCTCCAAAAAATAACACCCCATGAATTTTCTCCGTCGCTGCTGGCACAAGGGGGAGGAGACTCCCGAGTTCTTTCGCTGTGTCTTGTCCATCCCTTGGTTGAAGGAGATCTTCACCGCGAACCAGCGGCCGCCAATTCTTGTGAGCCCCACTCGTAACCCAATCTAGACTTCTCTTTGCCCCCCTGGCCCCCCTGCTATTGAGTATCTTCCTACTCTCTCTGATCTGTCTAGTCTCTTTTCTCTCTCACACTGTCTGCTTTAAGCACGATGTCTGTCGCTAATCTCGTTGTCATACCTGCCGGCGGATGTGCCCCGCCCTGACGGCCATGTGGCCGGATACTGAGATGGACACATAACATAGTGTTATACCTTAGACCACATAATCACCCCTGCATTCCTTTGCTGGGACAAGACTTTCCAAATCTTCAATGGGGCCCCGCCCGGGAGGAGGGGACCAGTGACGTCCCTCGAGATCTTTTGAACCCCGGTCTCTTGTTCTGGGCTCGGTTCTGGTTCTGGTTCTTGGGTGTACTCGCCCGCCCTAAGGCTATGCGTCCTCACACACGACTAACCAACCGACCAACCAACCCAGCAAGGTGGGACAGACCCTTTGAGCGAGCGGGCGAGACTAGCTAGGCGTATCCCTCTTCCTTTCCCTGCTGTGCGGGGACAGGGGAGAAGGGGGTGGTGTTGTTCAACGTGTGGGTAGACATCGCCGCCGAGAGGTGTAAGTGGTTAGCTTGGGGGGAGGTACCTCGTCCCTAATGGTATTGTTGTTATTAGTATAAGCCCGGACTCATGTTCCCTTTGAGCGGGCCAGGGGAAATGGTACAACGGCCCCAGAGAGGAGAGATCCGAAGCTGGCAGTAGTTACTGGAAGCGTGTGGCTCTGTGTTTCTCTCAAGAGTCTTCATATTATAATTCCCTGCTCCTGAGGGCATTCCTTCAACAAACCCGCGACAGGTCCACCTCCCATTCGCCTCAGTCAAAAGCGTTCATTCCTTCTCTTCATTTTCTCCCAGGTCTTCTTGCTACACATCACGTTCCTTCCAAACACGCCTCGGAGGCATTCTATTATTCATTCTTTTTCTCTCCTTCGCTTCAACCTTAACCCATTCCATTCTTTCCAGTCACTCGCGCACGAGACGAATAACCAACAAGAAAGAAGAGAAAAAAAAGATTTGCCATTGAAGCATTTGACTTGAATTCCTGCCCTGTCCCTCTGGAATCGACCGACCGTTCCATCAGCATTACCCACCATGCTGGGTTCTCTGGACGCTCACCGCGCCGTGCTGCCCTCCCAGAGACCACCCTCGCCGCCCCCTCACCCTCACGCCCACCAGCCCATGCCCGACTATGTCCACCACGACCCCGTCGGGCCGTCCCCTTACGAGGACGCCAGCAACACCACCAGCAGCGGCGGCCAAAACACCAGGGGCGACTATCTCGCCCGCGTCGGCGGCAGGGAGCCGCTCCAGGAGTCGACGGGCAACGTCCAACACCACAGCCAACACCACTACCCCTACGGGCAGCGCGCCCTGCCTTCCCTCTCGGCGGCGTCGTCCGCCTCGTGCACCCCGATCCTGAGCCACACGCTGTCCACGATCCCCACGCCCCCCATCCTGCCGACCCAGACGCTCGGGTCCACGGGGGTGCTGCCCTCGTCGTCGACGGCGTCACAGCACCAGAGGCAACATCAGCATCAGGGCGGCAACGGTGGTGGTGACGGGTCTGCCGCGCTGGCGGCGGCAGCGGCCGGGACGTCCGCGCTCAGGCTCCGGCGGCACCAGCTCAGCCTGCAGCGGCAGAGCAGGCACAGCAAGAACCCCATCTACCTGTCGCCCGAGTTCTGCCAGTACCGCGTCAAGCAGAAGGACAAGGACGAGCAGAAGTGGCCGGACATCCTGGAGGATGCCTTTCTTGATGGTAATTGCTGCCTCCCTCTCTTTCCCTCCCCATTGACCTCTCCTCACCTCATCTCATCTCAACTCACCTGATCTTCTCATAACATAAATCCAACTTCCGAGTCAACCCAAGTTCAGTCAAGTCCACAAAGCTAACACACACTCCAACAGCCCTGCTCCTGATCGTCCACATGGGCCGGCGCAAGTACCACATGCACGGCAAGCAGCACGGGCGCAACATGCTCATCTGCGAGTACATCTGGATCGCATGGAAGCAGCAGACGCTGCACCCCGGGGCCCCGGCGCCGCCCCAGTACACGATGCAGGAGGTCAAGCCCTGCCAGTGCAAGCCGCCCAAGAAGCCGCACCGCGACGATGAGCAGTGCTGGGTCAAGGTCAAGCATGACTGGTACCGCGAGCGCAAGCAGGTCTCGAGCCACATTCAGGTCATCAAGAACTTCTTCCGGTTCCATCCGGCCTGTGAGTTATTTTCACCTCCCTTGCCATTGTCTTGCCCTTTTTGAAAATCTGGTCCGTACGAGAAGGAGATGGCACAATGGCCAGCACGCCACTTGGAGTGCTGCCCGGGGTTCTTGAACCTACAAGCTTCGCTGGCAGTATTCAAAAGTGTTGTGCGTGGGCCGAGTTCACCAGCCTGGTGTGGTGTGACACTCGATATCCTCGATACTTCCCAATCCGGAATTCTTATGATACACCCACCAACGAGCCCAACTGACAAACCTTCTAGACCACTTCTTCTTCTCCAAAGGCTCCGAAGAGAGCGGCAAGGACAAGAAAAAGTCGAGCCCGGGGCGGTGGTACAAGGAGAATACAGACCAGAAGTCGTTCAAGGACGACCCGGTGCTCAACGCGCTCAAGGAGGACCGGCTGCCGGATGTGCGGCCCAACTACGAGTACTTCGGCCAGCTGCTCAACATGAACCACGCGGTGCAGGTCAGCCCGTCCATGTGCTGGTTGTACCTGTCCAACGACCTGATCCGAGACCAGTCGTCGACCGAGACGCGCTTCTACACGGACGAGGACGGCGTCAAGCGCGAGGAGGAGGTCATCAAGGTCAAGACGTACCACCCGGAGCAGGGGCTGCTCCCGCACTGGGACTTCCCCCACCGGTACGAGTTCACGAGCGGGCGCAAGGAGTGGGGCGCCCGCGACAAGGAGGACCGCAGCATCCGCCAGACGTTCCTGCACGAGTACAACTGGGACATGAAGCAGACCGAGTCGAGCTCCGTGCGCGAGGTCTGCGACGAGTGGGAGGTCGACCACCCGGAGCTGCACGCCAGCCTGCAGAGCGTCATCGAGCACCACGACCTGCAGAACGCCCACCTGCAGGCGGCCAGCCAGTGCGACATCATCCACATGGACCTGACCCTCGACATCCACGGCATCACCAAGCTGACAAAGCTGCCCAAGGGCAGCGCCTTCCGGCCCCTCGTCAAGATCACCGTCGCCCAGCCCGCCCTGCAGAACCACCACTGGTGCGTCCGCACGCGGCTGGAGCGGCCTCCCGAGCTGTGCTCCAACGGCAGGGGCACGACCTTCAAGGACGACCTGGAGATGGGGTACGTGTTCACGCACGTGCGAGGTTGCCACGATAGGAATCCAACCTGTGACTGTCGGGACCGCCGAAGGGGCAATGTGTGGTCAGTCCCGTTCCCGGAGGTTCAGTGGGCAGAGGCCTTGGACCTGTGCGCGACTTATCCTCGGTACTTCCTGCCGAAGGAGAAGAAGAGCTCGAGCAGCGGGTCGAAGAAGGATGAAGACGATGTAAAGGAGGAGGACGTGGTCACGCAGATGGATCTGATGAAGGCCACCGCCATGTTCCAAGAGCTATGGTCCAGCCCGCCCGCGCCACCGGGCTCACCTGACCAGCTGAACTGGACGCGGCGGGCGGTGATTCTCTGGACCTTCAACACGATACACTTCTTCGACAAGGAGAAGAAACTGTGCACGACGCCTGCCGGAACGAACTGGCGCTTCTTGACTGCTGTGGATCCCCTGTCGCCAATGCATCAGGAGAGGATGCTACTCAGCGGCAGCGCCGCCCAGCGAGGTGATCGGGTTGTCATGTCGCCGTCGCCCACGTATCAACAGATGCTCAACGCACAAATGGCCGAGAATTTCAGCTCAGCCTGGAATGGTGGCAATGTCCACTTGAACATCCCGCAGGGCGGGACTCACTCCAATCCCTCCTCGCTGCCCGTGTCTCCTATGCCCACATACGGGCCATCAAATCTGAGTCTCCATGGGAACTTCACCAACGGTCTCGTCACCCCTCCACCATCCGCAGCACTCACCTCGTCATACGTGGCGGGCTTTGACGGGTCCTCGAGCATGGGCGTGCACTCTCAGGATCTGGCAAGCCAAAACTTGGGCTTCATGCCAACCACAACATCGGCAAACCCCGACGCGAGCTTCATGACAAGCGGGTCGTTCTCGACAGAGTCTTACATGCCTTACAACACAGGGAACAACAGTTTCTACGAGGAGCCTGAGGATGACGAGAGCGACACGACTCTTCCAGGGTGCGAAAACACCGACCTGTCCAGCATGGCCCCACAGCAGTGGTCCAACTTGAACAGCACTGCTCATGCTGGCAATAATGCCTTGGCCCTAGACTGGAATCACCCCGACCTCACCAGCGGGCTGTCAATGGCTGTCAACGAAGAGGCAAGCCTGGGAGGCGAGGCGGGGACACACCCACTCGACGACAATACGCGGCAACTACAGAATCCATACGACCCATGCGCACCAGTGGTGCGTTCTGAGGCGGGGAGTCAGAGCAGAGCGCAATCCAGCGATCACTACCTGGCCGGGCTGCAGCGGATGCAGGGTAATCTCGACAGCAGGGATCGGCTCGACCAGCACAGAACCAATGTTACCGCCAACGACGACGACATCTGGAACACGGCCGCGTCGACCCCCAACAATTGCGATGGCGGGCAGATGGGCGGGGGCCAAGATGCCTCGGCGCAGTTCAGCCAGTCGAGCACCGCCTGGGATGACAGCTTCAGTCAGTTCCACTCGCAGCAGTCACAGCAGGCCCAACAGCATCGTCATCATAATGATGGCCTGTCGAGGCCAACCTCGGAGTACTTGGGCGGGTCCAGCGGCCTCAGCCCGCTAGTGAGCCGAAAGCGCGCCAGGGAGGAGTCAGAAGGCGATGATGCGTACTCGTTGGGCTCAATGGCAGGCTACGTACCTTCGGCGCACAAGAATCTCCGTTACCGTCTTGGTTAACGCGTTGGTGACCGCTACGGGTGACCGAAGCGGATCATGATACTGAAATGGTCCGACATACCAGATTGGGAGTGAGTTGGTCGGTTGGCTGACGGGCAAAGTTCGGGTGCTTGGGCCCGGTCGTTGAGGTCGGCTGTCGTTCCTTGGGCCAAGGTGGGGAATGTGATAGACGTGATAGACAGGGTCCAGATGACAGGCTTGGGGATGTTCGGGTCGTTTACCGGGATCGGATGAAACCAGGGGTTTTGGCGTTTCACGATACCTACATGCAAGTGTGCGGCACACTTGCTGTTCTGTGGCGGCGGGCACGGTTTGGCCATGGTAGAACTGTGGCGAACGATTAGTCGTGACCATGCATTGAGTATGAAAATGTCTACAATCTTTTTGTCGCAAACTATGGGCGCCTGAAGGGCAGCCTCGAGTCACCATGCACGTAATGTCTGCAGATTGTTCATTCAGCACAGACACTGGAAGTTTCCCAATCGTCAATGAGCCTGGGCGTGAAACTCAAGCACAGAGCAAGATTGACTTTTTTCTTTGTTTTTGAATTTTTGAGTTCCGGAAAGCACAGCGAATGCGGCACAGTACTGGACACTGGTTGTTGTGATATCAGACGATGACCGCCTTTGTTTGCGAGCACAGGGAAACTTAATGCGGGCTGCAATGGTTAAACAATTTTGCGCGTGTTTCGTCCCTTGTCTGTGAAAGAAACGAGGCCAAGACGATTTTCCTGGATACACGAGGGAGAAGCGCTCAGTTCGAGATGAGCGCCTGTTCTGGGTCCACATTTTGCAGAGTACAAAACATCGATGACAGAGATAAAGTGGTTGTTGTCTTTGGGCCCTTCCGGGGAACCTGTGGAGCCCAAGACTGGGAACCCCTGTTGATAGCGGCGCCTTGTGTGTTGAGGCTCAAAGAGATCGACAGCCTATCGGCTGCGGGCTAACGGGCACTTGGCAGGGAGGTGTTTCAGTGCGGTCAGACCAGACTCGTCCCCCGTGCATGCATGCAAGTAGCGACTAACGTTTTTGGACAAGGAGCCAGCAGACGTTGAGTGACTGGAGGGGAAAATCCTACCGTGGAACGGACTGACCCATCCACGGGAATGGATATGCCGGCAGATAGTCGGGCTTGGTCTTGGAAAACGCCGTCTGCGGAGGGCCACACAGACGTTGCTTGCTTGCATAGGGAGCAGCTGATTACCGAGGCGATGGGACGTCTGGACACAAGAGGTGTTCACTAGTCTGGACGACGGCTATTGCAAAAGCCGCGAACCGTCCGAGGGGAGCTGACAGGATGACTGTTTGTCAGAAGATAAGTTGACCCAAGACAGCAAGGAGTAGGAAGCTCATGCGAGGACCCAGCGGGGTACGGCAGAAATGAGAGATCCTTGAGACTTGATCATGAGGTGGTTTGCGTGGAAATGGTGTTGAAGAGACGAAACTCGGGAGGCTCTCGAACTTTGCCTGGCCAATCGAATCGAGGAAGCTAGCTAATGGGAGAGCCCGAACCGGACGGATTGCCCTAAGCATCTAGTGTTAGACTGAGCCGGTGTGTTGGTCACGGCAGGGTATGGCTGCTGCGATGGCGGTGGACATGGACAGGACCAGGTCAGGAGCGGGGATGATGGATGACGGGTGGCAGATGGTGGTGCGCCGAGACGAGATCCCGAGATTTGGGGGTCGGCGAGAGGCGTGGCCAACCCAGCAGACGAGGGTGAGAGAACTAATGTGCAGATTAGATTGTGACAGTAGACGCGAGTCCTGAGGTCAAGAAATAGGGTCAGCATCGTGTTAATCATTGCTGGATGGGCCCAGGCCAGGACTGCAGCGACTGCAGCGACAACGCAGCCAGTAGTGGAGGGCGGTCTGGGCCGCCGACGTGGCCGGTGGAGTCGGCCATGTTCGCGGGTGTTGAGGGCAGATGGTTGGCTGCGAGCTGCTTTTGTGGTGTTTGGGCTGTCGACGAGCGTGAACGTGTAGCCGCCGAGGGTGGTTCCACAGTAATGTACGACACAGAAAGCGTGCGATCAAGCGCGCAAGGTGGTGCCATGCAACAGAAACGGTGTGTGCCTGACTGTGTGCCAATTTGCTGTGTGCTGTATGCTGTGTGCTTTGATGCTGTCTTGGGTGTTTGAATAGCAGCCGTGGCATATCAAACTGAGTCGGTCGGTGTATTACTGAAATAGGGATGACTGGACGAAATGGTGGTGATGACTGATGTGCAATGAGTGGTTGGTTGTGAGGGCGAGCCAGTCGGTCAGACAAGCCGTGCAGAGACGCAGAATGAGTGGCCCAGCGGCTCGGGCGCATGGGCCACCAGGTCCACCCTTAAGGGTAAGCGAGCGCAGGGGTTGCCCATCCCTGCTCCCTCGGGGCAAGTGTTCCAGACTGACAAATCGTTTTAGCCACGGGAAAGTCACTGCTCATACAGATCAAGCAGCGAAGATACATCAGTCCGTTGATGGCGGCGCTAGAACGGCAGGTACAGTGGCCACCAGAAACGGCAAGCGTTTAACAGAGCAAGCCCCACTCCTTCTCGACTTCGAACCTCACGTCGACTCTACTGCACTGCACTTCCAAGGACAAGGACAAACTGACACAGTAGACACGCAAACCACTTACTTGCTCAACCTAGACTGACTCCTTCCCTCCTCACCCTCCCCATGTCCCGTCACATCTGAATGGGTGTCGCACTCCCCGGCACATCTCGCCTGGCCAGGCCCCATAATTCGCATCCTGGTCGCATATCATGATCGCGCAATGGGATTTACACCAGCATGCGGAATCGAATCGTCGCTCTCACACTGCACACCACCAGCAGAACACAGAACACGGTAGTAGCTCCCACATGCGACAGACAATGCTTGTCTGTCACCTCCCTTGTTGTTCCTTGTTGCCACCCCTGCGAGGGCGGCCGATGCTGTCTCGTGCCTGGCGCTACCTGAGGTTTGTCTGGTTATCTGGTACTCTAGCAGCCCTAGTCTCCACGGCTGCACGGATGGTCGGACTCACCTCTCTCCATATTGCTGCATCTTGGACATGGGATGAAGTCTGGAGTCTCGAGTCTGGGCCCCCCCTCCTCCCGCCCACCCACATCTGTGTGTGCCCATGTAACTGTCTGCCGCTCAAGTAGTTTGTACTGTCTTGGCCTGGCGAAGATGGCCATGCATGGGCCGAGCTCCACAAAACACGCGCCCAACCTCTGCAAACATCTCTTTTTTGTTTTCACCCTCGACTCTTCATGTCCACTCGTTGCGTCCCCAGAGGCCCGGATGCCTTCCCTCGCAGCACAGGGCCCACCAGGGGAAACAAACACGATATCTCCATCCTCACTGCCATCTCTCCCCAGCCTTGACCGGCCATGAGCAGATATCTCTTTCCGATCAAGTGATTTCATCGGCTCCATCGCCCTGCAGCATCATCGTGTTCATCCGTCCATCCGTACTTGTCTACCACTCCCACGGTTTTTTAACTCTCCATTCTTCTTGCAGAGATCGAAACTCAACTTTGGCATCCACACTCATCTTCTGCAAGTCATCATCTCATCTGCGGGACTCATCTCAAAGGCCCATTCCAAGACCGCTTCTTGGGCCCATCAGACCCAAGTGACCCATTCCGGCCTGGCCGTCACTCTCGATTCACCTTGACATCGTCTCCTCACCTAGGACACCATTCGGCTCGGCTATTCATCAATACCCACTCAATTGTTCAGAGTCAAAGCCCAAGGCTTTCCCTTCCAAGGCAGAAAGGCCTCACCGTCGGTTGGCATCATCCGAAGTCCAGGCTTCCATCCCAACTTTCGCCTTTTTCTTCAACCATTCCCCGCCGTCTACCCATTCACAATGCTGTTGTGATCATACGACTATTCTTTGTTCCCTTTTCACTTTCTTCCTTTCTTCATCAGCAGGTCTGACTGTTGCGCCGGCCGTTAACTCCCAGCTTTGTTTGCTTGACAATCATTCAAGTCTCATCCTTTGACCCATTGTGCTTGCACAACAAATACATTCAACGCCACTCGTCTCGACCATTTAAGACTTGGACGACCGAGGATCGATCAACTGCAGACAGGACCTTTACAGCACGTCTTTTTTGGCATCGAATTTCAGCAAAGACATACGCGCCAGTCGTGTACACTTCCCAGCTTGGTTGACTCAAGCTCAGCACTCACAACAACAAATTTCAAATTCAAACGACAATATGTTGGGACACTCGATTTTAGAGCAGAGTGCCCTGGTGGCCGCAGTCGTTCTCTCGGGCATACCCACCACCATCGCTCACTCCTGGGTGGAGCAACTGAACCGCATCGCGGCCAACGGCACCATGATCGCACCTGAGGGATATCAACGAGCCTATGTTGGACGTGGTGACCCAGGCTTCAAAGGAGATATTTCCGACGACTTGTGGCAGATTCCTCCCAACGACCGGGCTGCGGGTGCTGTCATTTATCCAACAGACCTCCTCTGCGCACCCCAGCAAAAGATCGGCACATACACCAACTCTAAGTACCCAAAGCTGGTGACAGCCCCAGGCGACTATGTTGCCCTGCGCCATCAAGAGAACGGCCACGTGACACTCCCAGCAACCCAGCAGAACAAGCCTCGTAACCGTGGAACCATCTACATCTACGGCACGGAGAAGCCCGGTGCCAACGACACTCTGATGTCGATCCACAACGTCTGGAACGCGGACGGCACCGGTGGTGATGGGCGAGGCCGTCTTTTGGCCACGCGCAACTACGACGACGGCCAGTGTTACCAGGTGAACAGCGGGGACATCGCAACCTCGCGAATCAAGCAGTTCTCCAAGGAGGCTTCAAATCCCCAGGGCGAGGATCTGTGGTGCCAGTCCGACATCCAGCTCCCCTCCGACCTCACTGTCGGTTCAGACTACACCCTGTATTGGGTCTGGGACTGGCCCACTCTCTCCAAGGCCAACGCTATGATCGGCGACGAAGGCGTCGAGGTCACCAAACCAGAGACCTACACCTCGTGCATGGACCTGGAGATCGTCGACCCCTGTGCAGACGACCTCGGCGACGTCAAGTCCCCTGCCTGCAGCAGCGGCAACTCCAAGACCAAGACCAAGATCACAAACACCTTCGCCAAGGGCCAGTCCTACAACAACGCCGCCGTGCCCCAAGAGCTCACTGGTAATTTCGCTGTCGGTGTCGATGGCACCAACGCTGACTCAGGCTCCAACACCGGCATGTCCGCGCCCCCAGACCTGGCAAGCGGCAGCGGCAACTCCGCTACCACGGGCAGCGCTTCAAAAGGCGGCGCTTCCCCGACCGCCGGCGCCGGCGTCGCTGCCTCCTCCTCCTCCTCCGCCTCGACCTTTTCCACCGTTACTACCTCCGCGCCATCCTCGGCGGCAACCAACGCAGGGGCTGCCGGCGCGACCGTGACGCAGCTCAGCACCGTTACCGTCACCGAGGGCGTGACAACCGTCACCGTCACAGCCTCCGCAGCCCCGGATGCCGCCGTCGGTGCGGTGGGCGAGAACAGCACGGGTGGGCTTGTGATCCCGACGCCAGGTGTCGCACCAGCCGTGGAGCCGTTCACGAAGAGGAGGCGGTCCCGCATCGAGCGCAACCTCTCATGAGATCTTTTCCTTCCCTTCACAATCAGACCGTCTTTTCTTTTCTACTTTCTTCGATTGTCCATATGCATCATCATCATCTTCGCCCAACAGACAGGCAGGCGGACCCACGCACATACATACACACCCTACCTACACGACCTACCACGCTGGGAAACGGACACGGTGGCAAGGCGGGACAAAAAAGGCTGGGATAGGGGACAAGGCAGGGCATGGCATACGAGGGAATGACTCAAGAGGGAAATGTGGAATGGCTTATGAGGGGGGAACAGGGGCGTTGCTTGCATTTGTTTTCTCTTCTCTCTGCATACGCGAGGCTGGGCCCGCTAAAGATACCAAGGTGTTTCGTTATGTTGGTTTTCCTTTTTCCATATTTGCATTTTCACACCATCCAAGGCATCGTCCGCCCCCACCAGAGAACATGAGAGAGACCGCTGTGGTCTTGTTCTCGCATTGCATCGCATGCATCACGGCGTTGATGTGGTTTAGGTAGATGGGATAGTGATACCAATTTCATTGACCCTTCTCGGGGTATTCAAATCTTGAGCTTCTGCTATGTCTCTTGTGTCTCGAATTGTGCATATGTGATTGTGTCTATTCCATTGCTAGCTGGAACTTTCGTGTGTTCGATGTGTGGTTCATTTTGTGTAATCGGTCCGTAAGCAGTATGGCTACACTACAGCGTAGCATTACACTGTCAAGGCAGTTTGTGTAAAGCAATATGATCATCATTCATTAAAGTACTCTCATGAAGGGAGCTATGGAATTTCTTTTTGCTTCTCGGCGCAGACACGCAAAATAACTTTTGTAGGCTTGCGGCTGGCCAATATTAGTCCATGCGTCCTCTTGCCAGAAAGGCTTAGATGAAGAATCTAAGCTGGAGTATCTGGTCTAGGGTGTCGACTTCCCACTCATCAAGAACGCGCATCGAGAACGCGCATCAACACAACCGGTTTTTCTCTACCTTCTCTGCCGCCCCAAACTTTTTTTTTTTTTTTTTTTTTTTTGGTTTTTGTTTTCTTTCACTCTCTCATCTACCACTTCATGGTGCCATCAGATCGGGCGTTCTGTCATGGATCTTTGGCACCGTCAGCCGCTCACAACTCGGACCATTCCTCCAGACATCTGGTTGGTGACATTGTGAAATGAGGCTTGGAGCAATCAATCCAGGTCTTCGGAAATAATGTCTACCTGGACGAAATCTTGGTTCATGTCCTCTTGGTCTGTGTCGTCTTGATTGGGAGGTTGAGAGGGCCGTAAAGGGTTGTCAGAGGAGAAGCCTCTGATATACTGAGCAACAAGTCTTGAGTCTCCGTCGAAAATTTCATCCCACCAGTCCGAATCCCATTCTTCATCCTCACCGCCTCGCGGGCTTGTCACATCCGAGGCGGGATCGGCTTTCACACGGATCACGTCGAGAAGGTCAGCCCATGTGCCGCTTAGCAGTTCAATGTGCCGCAGATGAATATACGCTCCAGGTTCCAGCTTCTCGAGACAGGTCACCAGCTCATCGTAGTGAATTGGAAAGTGAGAAAGCGTCATTAGCCGGAGTTTCGTCCATGGCAGCAAAGAAAGCAGCATTCCAACCCTCGTGCGATTCGGCTCTTCAGCCTGTCCAGGGGGGAGCACACCGCCGAGGTCAAGGCTCACAGACCGAAGGTTGGGTGCTTTCAAAAATACGCGCGCGAATTTGAAGAAACTCGTCCATTCTCCTGGTGGGCGGTTGGGCTGGGTGGCTACCACAGTCAATCCACAACCCATTTCCAACTTCTCCAGGTGTTCGGCTGCCTTGGCCATGTCTATCATCTCCTGCCTCCCAAGGTTCAATCTGAGGTCGTTCGTAGGGGTGAAGCTGATGCGCAACTTGGTCAGGAATGTTCCCGCTCGACCGACTGCGGCTGGCAGCTGGTATAGGGAATGAACAGGTGGCTGCACCAAACGCCGAATACTTGCTTCTGACCAGGTCAAAGTCTTGAGAAGTTCACCTTGGACAAGCTCGTCGAACGGATCCAAGTCTCGACTTAAATGACTGGCACTTGACAATCTGTCGTCTTCAATGACCAGTTCGAACAATGTCGGCATTCTAGCTACCGCTTCAGAGATGCATCGAACGAAGGTGTTGCCTCGCAGAGCCGCTTGTTGGTCACTGACAAGCTGCTGGTGTTTTTCGTAGGCCCGGTGTAGTGCGGCAATGTATTTGTCCTCGTCCGATTCGGATGATTCCGCTCGTATGATTTTGGTCCACGACTGCAGGGCTTGGGAACACTCTGCGACCTTCTTTGGAAGAATAAGCATCGACCGAATTGCGGCCTCTTCAACTGGAAAGCGAGCGAAATCCGAAGTATCCCTGGGCATTTGTATCTGAAATTCTCCCTGGTATTGGTATTCAGGCAAGTTCGACACTGAAAGCATCGCCTCCCACAAGTAAAGATTGTTGCGCATGATTGCCGAACCCGCAACGGCAAATTCTCGAAAGTCGCTGGCCATGGATGAGTTATAAAGGCCGACAGAAACTTTCAGCGTCTGTACGCCTTTGGAAATAAGAGGGTGGCGCGATACCTCATCGAGATGCACCAGCGATGAGGTTGTCATTGAAACGTCCAGCCAGTGCAATAAGAGGTGGGAACTGGCTTCACAGAATCGATGACACACCATGCGACTACTCTGGATACTCTTGTAGTCGGACCTGGAATAGAGGCCAAGATTTCCATCTTCCAAGAAACTATCTTCCACGAATCGAAAGATTCTCCTTAGAAGCTCATTAGGCAGGTCTAAAATGTGAAAATCTCGGATCAGAGGTCGAGCCTGGGTATCGAAGGTCTTGCGCAGACTGGACTGGAGGCCCTCAAGCTTTGGAAGTAGCGACTCGAGCTCTTGGAATGAAGACACAATGCCAATGTCCTTCAACTCTGACACCTGCTTCTTGACGATTTGCTGTATCGAGTCGATGTTGACCAGCTGCGTGCCGATATCCTTCATGCAGATGTGCTTTGAAGCGACTTTTTCTGAGGACTGAGGTATGCTGATATCTTCCACGCCGACCATTTCTGTGGTGAGCTGGTCTGTGGGCGGCGATGTGCCGATGTCATTCATTATGGCTGCCATGAAGGGCAAAGCAATCTGTCTCGCCGTTTGGTTGGAGAAGACTCGTGCAGCTACAAAATCATGGTTAGCTGGAAGTCCACTCATCAACACAAGCGATATGCAAGGTGCGATTGAAGCAAGATCTGACGGAGCTCAAGAAGGCTGAAGTGGAAGGCGGTAAGTCCATGTACTCACAAGAATGGAAAACCTTTTTTGAAGTGACCGTTCTGTCGCTCAGATTAATCGATGGTGAGGTACGGGAACTGGCGCGACCGCAAGGAAGGATGGATTCAAATGCCGTTGCAACCCGTATTCTGCTGCTTTCAAGTCGAGATTGGATGTAAAGCTGTCCTCTGTGAAGCTGGCGCGTGATGTGCTCACCGTGGGCACTTTGCTTGGGGACCTTTGTGGTGTCGCGACTTTTGTTTGCTGAGTAGCCTTGGTTTCTTGTGTAGCAGCTTTCCTAGACTTTTACGTGACTTTCCTTTGCTTGATGCCAGAAAGAAAGTCAGCAGTCAAATTAGTTAGGGCCACAGAGCCGATGCGGAAGATGGTTGAGTGTTCAGATGGGAACGATGGGCTGGGTGTGGCGAAATCAAATTTGGTGACAAAAGCAGAGGTCCCTCCAAGATGCAGCGACACACTCCGGGAAGGTTTGTGATTGGGTTGTGTTTTTCTCCAAACCCGTCTGAGTTGGGGATGAGAAAGGTGAATAGGTGAAAAAGGTAACGGTCTGCTCAAAATTGAGTAAAGGTGAAAAGGAGTAAAGTGTCAGGAAGGACGAAGAAGGAAGGAAGTTTAGAGGCTGGAAATCGAAAGAGAGAAAAGTACAGCTTTCGCCGACCGCAGCAAGAAAAAGCCCTGGAACTCCAAGGCAGCAGTGAGACTTTGCAAAGTCAAACGAACTCAATTGCTTGAAAGTAGGGAGACACGAGAGTGACGCCCTGGATCAAGAAGTTTGTAAAATCTGCTCCCGTCCTTGACCGTAGAGGGCCATGAAGCAAAGCGCAAGCCTTTATCACGCCCGCAAGTGGGGATGGACTGGTTTGCGCGCAGTTGTGATGTTTGCAGTATTTCAGTGACAGCCTTGAGCCTGGTGAGCTACTTGTGCGCGCTTTCATCAATACATGCGCAAAAACCTCCTTGGTGCGAAAGGATCTCACCGTGACCCAAGTGTGCCAGTTGACAAGAAAGCCTACAAATGAAACTGCCTGAGACGGGGAACGAATCACCATAACAAAGTCCAGGTACTCATCCCTAGTTCAGAAAATACATGCATCTTTTGGTAGCCCTTAGTCTATCTACCCATCAATAGGACACCTATATTCCCTCTCCCTCCCATACTCATCAACATGCCTCCTCGCACCCGTGATCTCATCGCGCGGCTGTAGCGCCTCCAGACAGCTCTGGTGATAGATATGCCGACACGCCAGCACAACCAGCGGCCGGTATCCCGGCAGCTGGCCCGAGACCCCACCACCCACCGCGGCGGGCCCACCCTGCCCCGGCTGCTGCTGCGCGGAGGACAACTCCTGCTGCTGCTGGTCCTCATCCTCAGGCGAGGATCCTTCCCCATGGTCCGGCGTCCTCGCCTCGAACGACTCGGGCGTCATAGGCACGGACGAGTCCTTCCCCTTGCCGCTGCCGCCGCCAGATCCGCCCGCCATGCCGTGGTCGAACATCATGCCCTCGCGCCCGACCTTCTCCCTGCCCTTGCCGCGCTCCGCCGTCCGCCCCAGGCCGGCGAGCCTCGCCTTGCGCCTGCTTTCCTCGGCGGCCGTCTTCTCCTCCCACGCGTCGATGATCCCAGTCGAGATGGCGCCCGGCCCCCAAACCCGCAGCCCGCACGCCTCGCACGTCGAGCCCCTGGGCCGCCACCCGCGCTGTCGAAGCTCCGTCGCCTGCTTGACGCTCACGAAGAGGCTGCGCTCGAGTAGGCGGTTCGACAGGCGCAGAATCGACTCCTCGTATGCGTACGCTGCGAATATGGACTGGAGCACCGCTCGCAGGTCGGCGAGATTCGGTGATGAAGCGGCGGCCTTGGTGAGGAATGCGCGGAGGATGCGCAGGAATGTGAGGTTGTCGCCCACTGCTGATGCAGTGGTGGACAGGACACGCGTAGGGCCGCTTGGTTGCTGTGTGGAGGGAGTTGATGTGGCGGCAAGCAGTGCGGTGAAGGTGTGTTGGACAAGAGAGCGGAGGAGCCCGACCAGTTTCTCGGTATCTATCTCGTGTTGGTGTGCTTCCGTGCCATTGACCTGCTTGCCCTTTTCGGCATTTGAAACCGCTTGATTGGCCATGTTCTGGATGGAGCTCGATAGACGACGAGTAATTTGGACCGTTGCATCGATGAGGCTAAGCCACAATGCCTCATCTGGTGATAGTTCGTCGGTCGACGTTGACTTTTTCTTTCGTTGGCCAGCCGTCGATTTCTTCGCGGTCTTCGTCTGTCCCTGGCAGAGCCAAATGCCTACATGCGTGTACTTTTGCAGGCCTGTCAGAAGTTCTGCAGTTGCTGAATGGAGGTTGGTCGAGACATCATCCTCTTTCGCCCCTGTCAGAACTCCCTGCAGGGCAGACTCAAGCGTGTTTAATTGCTTGACAAGCCTATCCATGGCCTCATGAGTTTGACCTTCGCGGGCCATTAACACGACCGCAGCGTCTATAACGCCCGTCTCCTCCATGGTAGGCAGTAGTTTGTCCAACCTCAAATTGGTGGATTGTACAATCCCTACATAGTCCGAGACATGAGTGGGCTCATATCTACACATGAGCTGCACATACTGCTCGATCAAATCTCTTTCGGCTGATGGCTTGAAGTCCTCCGAACGCTCGACAGCAGGTTCCAGGATGGCATTGAGGTAGCTGTACTGCAACTCTGGCTCGTCGGTTGAGGAGTCCAGTATGTGACGATGCAACCCTGGTGCGTATGTTTCCGCCACCTTGGCAGCTCGTGAAGGGTCAAGCTCCACGAGATCTCTCGAATTGTCTCTGATGACCTGATGCACTTCTCCAATTTGGCGCTTAGAGAGCCCTGTTTGCGGCCGAAGACAGTTTGCAATACAGTCAAACGTTGCATCTTTGTCATTTGGATCCTCAAAGTACGTCTGCAACAGCTTGCCGTATTGCTTGTCGAGCCTGTACTGCCTTTTCAAGATCCGATAGAACCCGGCTTCCTTGAACAGTGGCATCAGCGTAGGAAGATCGGAGGGATTGTATACGGACAACAGATACTCAGCGCTCAACTGGGCGTCGTCTGCGAGATCCGCTCCTGGGAAGTTGCAAAGCCCAGTCAACACTTTTGTTAGTGCTGACCCTGGGAGCAGCAGGTACTGCGGGTATTTGGGCAAGTTTCTTGCGATGAACATGTCTAAGTAAATTGTGTCCTCAGCCGCAAAGTCGTTTGCGTTCATGATCTCAATCAGGATGGAGACGATGTATTGGCGATCCACCGTCAGTCCGAAGATTTGCTCTTCCGGCAGGTCTCCCCTCGCTCCTCCGTTGACTTGCTTTTCTGGAGAGTCGTTTAAAAACGAGTCCTCAAAAGCTTCGTTCAGCGAGCTCAGGAAGCTTGGCGCATCGAACTTCAGAATCATTCGGAGATATGGAAATGATGGCTCCTCGGCCTGGTTGGGTCGGGTCAGGAAACGCTTGTTACTTCCCTTGGGCCACTCTATACTCTTCCCAGAGAAGAGAAACCAATACAGCTCAGCTTTCGCTTTCATAGACAGTCCATGTTCAATTGCCTCGCCCGTTGGGTAGACTCGACTCGTCAGAATGTAAGAGAGGTACGGGAAGATTTTCAAGGCGTTGACGCTAGATGCCTCCTCATCCAAGACGTTTCTTGAAGGCTCATCGTCCGCTTCGCGCATCAGGGGTATCAAAAGTGTCAACAGATCGATGAGCGGTGTGATGTAGTCGTCGAGCGCCTGGTTCCAAACGTAAATGAGAGCATCGTAGAGGCCATGTTGCTTGCACAGGCCAGTGACTTGGTCCAAGTCCATGGTAGCTGTTTCCATGTGGCAAATCATCTCCTCGAGCCGGCTCTCTAGACCCTTACTGACGAAGTGAGCGACCATGCCTTTCACGATCGTAGGCGGTACCGCCGAGATCGTCTTTTCCAAAATATACGATTCCATGGTTTCAAGAAAGATGCCTTCAACGCCGGCATCCTCGTACCACTCGTACATCTCGTCAAATAGGAAATCGATGTTACTAATACTGTGGCAGGCTGTAAAGCACGTCTCGCTCAACTCTTGAAGATGGCCGTCATCTACAGCTGCAGGGTCCTTCTGTCGTTGGCCAAAAGCATACTTCAAGGACGCGCTCATAAGCTCCAACAGCTTGTCTTTGACCATAGTGTGCCGCACATCTGTGTTTTCTGGCAACCCCACAGTGAGCTTGTCTGCGTCCCCTGTATAGTAGAGCGTAGCCAGTTTGATTGCGCCCACATAGTCGCCGTTTTCCATCAGTGCAATAAGTCGGTCGGCCCAGTTGGACAAAGCTCCAATGGAGACGTCGTTGAAGCCCATGAGAAATATTCGATTCTTGTAGGACTTGAAGCTCATGTAGAAAGCGTCGGCAACTACACCATGCATCGACGTGTCTTCTTCGTCAAGCTGCTCAACCAAGGTATGCAGCTGCTTTGAGAAAAGATCAACATGGTATATATGGCGACCTATCAGGTCGAAAGCCTCGGTCATCCGCATGCTCCGATCTTCCAGAACGATCAATCTTTGGCTGATTGTGAGGACAGTCAGAACCGACCGGCTCAGCCATTGCACGGCCACAATCGCCTCTTCACATTTCCATCTGCTCCTTGCTTTGAATTTAAGACTTGGCGGTTTGTCCTTATCTTCAGCGGGGATCTCTTCAACGTCCAAGACAGTCAAGACGTTGGACCAGCAGTAGACAAGCTTTGCCTTAGCAGTTTGGCTACCGGTCGCTGGATCCACGACTTTCAGTTTGACGGCAGGGAACCAAGCCAGACAGCCAGTCATCGCACTATGGGCAGCAACCTCTTTCGGTCTCGCCGACTTGTGCTGTGTCTGGGCGATAGGAGTGGTTGAGACAATGACCAGTAAATAGGGTGTCAGCATTGCTGTCAACCCCATCGTATCTGTGGCGCGCTCGATGGTCCCAAGAGGCAAAGGCGCGAATGCCAGAACTGTGCTAGGTTTCAGGGTCTTACCCGAGGCGAGAGGTTTGGAGTCTGGATATCGTCCCAATATCCTAGTAGTCTTGACTGTCCGGCCAAAAGACCCAGTGCCTCGCGTTGCAAGGTGCGAAAAGGCCATGCCCCTGTCGTCGGCAGAAACGAGAGCTGTGTGTCTTGTTCCCAAGAATCCCAGGTGAGTAATAGCAACACCTGGCAGGTGGCCATCCGTCGTGCGGTTCTGCGTCTGCGCGGCGTCTAGTGGAGGAATATGAAGGAAAGGGCGAGACGCTCGTGTGGTGTCCCATGTAAAGATGCTGCCATCAGCATGGCCGCCGCCCAAGGTAATATGATCTGCTGATATAGCAATGGAGACGATCGCGCCACACTCTACAGCTTTGGTTCCCGGCCCGATGATCATCTTCAGGTTTTGGTTGTAGTCAAACATTAATATTATGCCCTTGGAGGTCCCGAGGACTATGTGCGCCGAGACAGCAATGCATGTTGGCGATCCAAAGTTCCGTTTGCCAACTTCTGAGAACGCCTGCCCATTGAGCTTCCTCAGTTTGGTCCATCGTACAACTTCCCACGGCGGGGATGGGGTCTCCGTATCGCCGGTGTCTAAGAGAATCTGACTAGTCAGGGAGGCATTCCGGCTGTGACTCGACAGAAACGCCGGGGAGGCTGGTCTAGGAGACAGGTTGCTAGGCGTAGAGATCCGGGATTGGAATCGGCGGTCGAAGGGTCGAAAGGAGGGAGTCGGGCTCCCCATTCGGGGTCTCGAAGCGAGTGATGGGAGGACGCTGCTACTGGGAGAGGAAATGCCAGAACCCTGGAAGTGTTAGCTTGCAGCCAGAACAGCTCATGGGGTGATCTGCATTACCTGAACTGACGGAGAACGATCCGGGACAGAGAGCATCGAGTCGACGGGACTGCCGGCCCTCCTGGGCAGCGCGTCCACAGAGCCATTGTCGGACGTGGCTTCCAGCTCATCCTCGGCAAGTTTCTTGTATCTGTGGGCAAGGCCATTCTCTTCCGATGGCAAAATTGAGTCCTGCTGTCGCTCCTCCTCTAGCAGATCAGAGATGTGGTGCTGGTCCTCGGCTTGCTCTGTCGCCGCCTGCTGCTCGTCGCCGGTGTCTTGAGCGGAAGGAGGGTCTGCCATGTCTGTCATCTCCTCTGCAGCAGCATCTTCCCTCTCTTCTGAAGATGCGCTCATCGGGACCAACTCGTGCTGCGCATGGCTTCAAGCTTGGTTGTGGGCACTCCAGGAAGTCCGGAGCTCGAGACCGCGGTGGGACGACGCAGTGCTGAGGGCCACTTGGCAGGCTGGGCGGTGCTGGGTGTGGTTCCAACAACGAAACTTGCTTCAGAAGTCTAAAAGCGTGGTCGCATAGGCTCCAGGAGTTCGGCGACTAAGACAAGACCGTGACTATCCTCGACTGAGTTGGTGTAAGTGGGTAGTCAACATCCTCATTCCTTTGCCGTCTCTCGCCCAATTACGCACACCTCCCAGCCCACCACCGAGAGCTATCCGCAGCAGCTACAGGGGGCACAGGGTTTAGCGAGCTGTTTCCTGGCACGGCTGAGCCGCCTCCGATAAGATAAGAATGTCCCCAGCAGCACCGTGCAGGGCAATGCATGTGCTCCTATTCTATACTTGAATATTCACTGCATTAACACAACCTCTTTTCTTCCTGCCTTTCACACCAAGACAAGCTCACGAAGGAATACCGTCGACACTTCCAATAAGCCCCCGCCAAGAGACTCACAATCCCAATTATGTCGTCAATTGGACCTCAACTACCACCACACCTCACCAAGCGCAAGCGCAGTCCCGAAGACGAAAGCCCAGACTCACCATCAACCAAGACCTCAAGACCCAACAATGACGAGATAGCCCTTGACGGAGAAGACAGCGATTCAGACGATGGCTACGGACCAAGCGCGCCAAAGCCAGCAGCTGCTGCCACTGCTGGCCCCCAAAGACCATCGATAGGGCCAGCATTACCAGCCACCACCGCCAACGGCAGCAACACAGACGAGATCGCCCTGAACTCCGAGTCCGACGATGACACAGGCCCAGCACCACCAGCACCAAAACCCACCGCCCAACAACCAAGGCGAGTGATGGGACCCGCTCCCCCGCCCGCAGACCTCGCCACGCGGCCCACGACCGGTGCAGACTCAGACCCAGACCCAGACTCGGACTCAGACTCAGAAGACGACTACGGGCCCGCGCTGCCAGGCGCCGCACCCCAAAACGCCAACACCACCGCCGGCCCCTCCCTGCCGAGCTCCAACGCACCAGAGAAGCCCGCCGCGCCCCGCCGCGACGACTGGATGCTCGCGCCGCCGGAGCCGACGGGGTACCAGGAGCGGGACCCGACCAAGATCAAGGCGCGCAAGTTCGCGAGCGGGGCGAGCGCCACGTCGCGGCCGCAAGGCGGCGGCGGCGGTGGCATCAGTGCCATATGGACCGAGACGCCCGAGGAGAAGGCGAAGCGGCTCGCGGACGCGGTGCTGGGGCGGGGCGCGGACGAGCAGCAGGCTACAGCAGCAGCGAAGGGCAAAGGCAGGAGTGCTGCTGCTGCTGCTGCCCGTGGTGGCGAGACCAAGGAGCAGCAGGACAAGATCCGCGCCTTCACGGAGCAGACGCGGGGCAAGAGCATGTACGAGGAGCACCAGGCGGCCAAGAAGGCCGGTGCCGCTGGTCCCGGCGGCGCCAAAAAGGGCGGGAACGACGACGAGGAGGACGACGACCCGAGCAAGCGGGCGTTCGACCGGGAGAAGGACATGGGGCTCGGCATGAAGATCACGGCGTCGCAGCGCAAGGAGCTGCTGAGCCGGGCGTCGGACTTTGGCGGCCGGTTTCAGAAGGGTAATTACCTGTGAGAGGTGTCCCTCACGTATAGTGATGTACGTGTGGTGTGGCGCGGGTCTGATATGCCCACGACTGGGGGTTATACGCGCAGGAAAGGAAAATACTGGGGGAGGGGGGTTAGTCCCTTGAGTAGAATAGTTCCAGGAAAAAAGAGAAGATACCCAAGGATATGAACACATGCAAACGTATCCCATCTAGGGCAAGACTACACATATCACCAGTCTGAGCATGGTCATAATTATCGCTTTGCGCCCGCTCATGCCTATCAGCACGGCAGGCTGAATCCATTCGCAAATGACTAACTGACCGACTCCAGATGCAACGCCCCAGTCTCCAGTAGTACAACAACAAATACAACTCCCCGCAGCCCACCCCAAAAAGTGATAGGGGGAAAATCAATGCGCTTGCTTTCCATCCCTCCGCCGTTTTCCACCCCTCCGTCCGTCCCTCCTTGGCCTTATGAGCCGAGCCTAAAAACCTCCCTACTGCTACGCGCGTCCCGGCGCGGCCTACGCTCCTCCTGTCCTCGCAAAAGCAACCCGACCGTCGTAAAAGACCTCCACACGTTGGGTTGTAAGGAATATCGAGACGAGCACCTGTCCTTTCGTGAAGGGTCCAAGTGTGATATCACGTAGGTGTACGGTACGTATATATGTATGTTGTGAGTGTCCAGCATGGCCCGTTTCATACGTGCGAGACCGCTCAAGTTAGCGGTTATCCTAGACGAATTATCGAACTTGGACCGCTGGTTAAATTGAGTTTGATATACAATGTCGATGATGGTCGACGGGTCCGGCAAATGTACGGATGGCGATTCCTTTTTGGGGGAAATAACGTCAAATTCATAATTCTAAATCTCTGATGCCCGTCATCTTGCCGCATCCGCACGCGTACCGGCTTCTAAAGCCGACGGTGTGACCTGTGCGTTTGCGGCTGACTGTTCTTGCGTTGCTCCAGACCGGCCAAAACTGGGTAATTGTTGCCGGATCGAAGACAAGAAACCCCCAGATTGTGTCTGAGTGGTCTGGGTTCCTGTGACGTTGTTTGTTGATGGCGACGAGCGTGATGATGGTTGTGTGGCCGATCGAGAGAAGAAGCCACCACGCTGCTGCTGCTGCTGCTGCCGTCGTCGTCCACTGTTGTCACTGCGTCCTTGCGCCTGAGGCTGGCTAGAGCCGTTGTTTCTGTTTCTGCCTATTTGAGGGAGAGCCATACGTCCTCGTCGGCCTGAGAAGATCCACGCGACGCCAGGCCGAGAGGGCATGTTCGCCCTGTTTGTTCGGGGATCCTGAGCAATCGAGACGGTCGGTCCCACCTGTGTCCCCTCCACGCCCTCGGGTTGTGGCTGACGGGGCTTTGGTGTGTAGTAGTCAGCCTTGCAGAGAGGGCAGCAAGCACGTCTACTGGTCAGCCATGGGTCGAGACACACGGCGTGGAATGCATGGCCACAGGTCAGTCCGCGGACGTCGTCGTCATCCTCTAGGGTATCGATGCAAATGGCACAGGTGTCACCGGATGACTCGAGTGCCTCTGGTGGGAGAGCATCGTGGATTTGATCGTCTTCATCCTCGTAGTGGTCATCGTCGGAGGCGGGGCTGTCGGTTCTCGCGGGTGCTGTTGTGGCGCCCGCGGTAGGACTCGTTACGGCCTGTGCCTCACCGGCTGGAGTTGTAGCGGGTGCAGCCTTCTCCTCGGCATGTTCGGTTGTTGGCTCGCGGGTCGTCTCTCTAACGATGGATGTTCCACCGGTCGCTGGCCGCTCCTCGATAGAATCACGATCTTTGATTGTGGGCACTATACCATCGGCGTCCCTGATACTGTTTGCTCGACTTGGTGGCTGGGAGATGCCGCCGCGGGTGGGTAGGCCTTCCTGAGCACGGCTTGCGACCCAGTTCTTATATTTCATCATAGGGAACTTTTCGTTGACCTCGTCCATAGTCATCAGCTTCTTCTCCCGGCGACGCCGACGTGGGTGCTGAGGCATATTTTCCAGGTTGATAGGCTCGCCATCCTCGCCCGTCATCCGGATGTTACGATTCCGAGCATTGTAGCGGAAACAGTACTTGACACCGACAATGATCCTGTTCGCGACAAAACATTAGAATGACGTGCCACCTGCACCGGTTGTGCTGTCTGAAAGGTTAGACCAAATGCTCACCAGAGGTTCGTAAACACGACACCAAAGCCGAGAGCAACAAAGAAGAGCAGTGGTGATGAGCCCTGGCCGCTGCCTCCGTTTCCGTTTCCATTTCCATTATTATTATTGCCGCCAGTGTCAGTCGGTGTTGCAGTTGGATCGCTAAATGAGGACGTTAGGGATGGTGCAGCACTGGAGGAAGCCAGAGTCGGATCGAGGGACGAGGATGAGGCTGCCGAGGAAATGGCGCTGGTGGTGGCTTGTCTGATTTCGTGCTGCAGGGTGCGGACGGCCAGGTTAGCCAGGCCGGCCAAGTCGACGTTATCGAAGGCCATGGTGAGAGCGAGGGCAATCGTGGGATGGTGGGCCCTTTAGATGGGTTCGAAAGGCTGCAAGGCTGTCTTGTCTTGGTGGTTGGGCTCAGGGCGTACGGGGCACGCCTAAGCGACCGAGGAGCCGCGGCAACCGACAGCGAAGTCAATTAAGAGGCAGATGGAACCTGGTCCATTGACGGAGACAATCCGTGATGGGGATCCAGCGTTGTAATTAAGCAAACGCGAATATATTCGCAGCGGCCACGAAATATTTTTCCGGGCGTTTGGAGGGTCCGATTCGGACGGGGATGGTGGTGGGCTGAGGGCGAGGAGGGTCGAGGTTTTGAGGGTGAGGAGGAGGAGCAGAGAAGTAGTAGTAGTAGTAATGAGTGGTGGGAGGGCGAGAGTGGCGGGTGGAGGGAGAGAATGTGATGAAATGAATGAGACCTGGGGCAGGTTGGAGGTTGGCTGGATTTCAGAGGAAGGCCGGCAGGGAATGAAAAGCGGGCGAGGGCGGCGCAGTGCAGACAGACTCCAGTAGACTCCAGCTGGGCTGGCAGACGGACCAGTGATCACAGGCTCTCGCAGGGCCCAGTCGCTGCCAGTGGTGGGCGAGGCGCTAACCCCGGAACGGGAGGGCCTGTACGTACTGCTGTAGCACTGGTGGTCCTGGTAGTATTTAGATAGTAGGAGGGGGGGAGGGGGGGATGGTGGACAAGGTGGACACTGCGCGGGTGGAGAGGTTGGCTTCGTCTGTGACGCCCCCCTCCCTCGCGCTTGGACGTTGCCCTCTGGGATTTCTGGGATTTTTTGAGGATACTGGGAGCATCCGACAGGGGTGACCCTCCCAGCCTCATGCAGGGCAGGGCAGGCCACCGGTAGAGTGAGCGTGGCTCTCTCTCTTTGTCTACTCTGGGGGCTCTCTGGGGCTTGGTCTTTCTTGGTCTTGGTGCCGTTTGTACGCGTTGATTGTGTGCTTCGAATACGCTTCAACCGACTTGGACCAAACGAGTTTCAGAACATGAGCCCACCCCTATGGCATTTACTCCGCGTCACCGGCAGGAAAGGTGGTCTCGGCACAAAGCAAGACTATCGATTGCCATTGTTGTTGGGAGCTGCCTATTCAGTGTTTGTGAGTAGCGAGAGACCGGGTGATTGTGACTGGCATTGAATGAACGGTAGAGGCAGATTGATTGATTCTTCCAGCTCCAGCTCGAGCATAAGTGTGGCTTGCATGGATGCGGGCCCAGACTTGTCATCAAGGGGGATCTGTGCCTGGGGTCGGGAAAGGAGCAGGAGGCACAGGTCTCACAACTCGGTCAGGTAGTCAGTCAGGTCAAGTTGACGACGACAGGGACAGGATCAGGAGCTGGACCAGGAACGGGCAGTAAATCCCTCGCCTGGACGCAATAGTGTGTGCTGCTCTATATCCTGTAATGTACAGTAGTCTCAGTCCTCGATCACCATGGCTTGTTGTCAACTGTCATGTATGTCTTGACGCATGCAGCAGTTTGCTGATCTCAAAAATAAAAAATAAAAAAAGTTCACCACCAGACCAGCCTCCCTCCCTCCTCCGACTCGGATGCAGTCAACCAGTCAACCGAGCAGTCAATCACTGACATCACGCATCTGGATCTAAGTAGACTCCTCCCCATCCCCAGAATTGGGGCCACTCATCATCACTGGACAAATGACAGATGCCCGTCACCAGCATGAGTGGGTCCGCCTGCAATGTGAGTCTGGGGAAGAGAGGAATCGCCAGATGCTGCCCGCCCCGCAAACGGATGAGCAGCCCGGATACGATGCTACCGTAATGTGGTAATAATAATATGTACTGCACCCTGCACCCACCTACCGCACAGCGTGCTCCATGCTCCATGCTCCATGCTCTGTTACCATGCTCTACTGTATACAAATGCAGTATGCACAATGCGGGCGGTCTGTGTCCACCGCCCCCTCTGTCGATTAATTGACCATCGGCCATCGACACCGACATTGACATTGACAGCGACTCGACTAGCCGTGTCTAGTATCATGATCTCGCTGTCGGAGTTGCCATACGCGCATACGCAACCGCATACGCCTACGCATACGCCTGACTCGGCCTCGCTGACAACACGCGGCGGGTCTGCCTTCAGCCCAGCCAAGGTTTCAGCATCTTTCCAACAGAACTGGTACCTAGATTGAGTGCCAGTCACCCAAGCGCAACAACCATCCTCCGCGTGCGACTGCGACCGCGCGAAGCTTATGGCAAAAGGATGGAACTGCCGCCGCCGACAACAAGAGTCAGGCCGGCCGTGCCCTGCAGGTGAAGCAATCCTCGCGGGCGCCGAGCCCGTCCACACCGGACGAGGAATGGGGCCCTCTGCCCAACAAGAAGTCGATCCCGACAATGTCCTGCAAAGTCATCCCAACTCTCCAACACCAACAACTCTAACCAGGAGCCTCTTTGGGTGGGAATGGGGAAGCCGTGGAACCGAGAGGCTGCTCCTCCCCAGCAATATAGATAGTATAGTATACGTACATTATGGTCTGACCGCGTGCTAGGCACGATCCCACGCCGCGGGTGCTAAGCGGCTGGATGAGACGCCGCCGGTCCTATCACGCATGGCTCTGCGACAGACAACCTTGGCAACCGCCCCCGGACAACCAACACCCAAAACTTCTGAAGCAGAGCCCACTGCATTCGCGCCGCACATCAGACTCGAATCCAAACCCGGCGCCCAGTAGTGCAGACCGCGTATGCCGCCGGACCGCGCATCATCTTTATTCAGTGCCACAGCCGCCAGTGAACCCAACTAATCACGTCTCTTGCACCCTGGTCGGAGGACGCAGTTTGCAACATGCGGCTGATTGTGTGTCCCCTCCCTTCGATCCCGGCAAGAGGCCCCGATAACATGGATCCCACGAGCTGACAAGGCAGGCGGCATATGGGGCCCGACCAGAACCCACGGGTGAGAATCATAATATATTTGGCACCATGGCGCATCTCATATGGGGTTGATACGACCGGCAACTGCAACCTCCTGCGCGAATAGCCCCTCTCTTGAATGCGGGACTGTGTGCGTGCGACCGACACAGACAATAGACGCGCACGTCTGCTTTGTCACTTGGAGACGATAGAAGGGGTACGCACGGCCTGTGATGCATCTCGTCTCGAGCTGCTGGATCTCAAATCCCACTGGGGCCGTCATCAGCTGCTGATTGACCGCAACCGTTGGTCTGCATGGCGCAATGTCGATCCCATCCCAGTGTGGGGCGGGTTGGTCCCCAAAGTCACTCGACGTCCTCGGGTGCCTCTGCTGCAGAGGGAACCCCCGCGCTGGGTTACCCATCATGGTAATGATGGGTACGCGTGGACCAACGTGGTGGTGCAACAGCGTCTATCGAAAATAATCCGCTGCATTCCAAATAGCCACCAAGGCTAACAAGAGCGCACTCGCTAACGGGAAAAAAGTATTTTGAGTCATGGAGGGTACTCTAATTAAGATTTTATGACAGCCGCGTATCTCAAAGATTCATCACCTCGATGAAATATCTCGAGATAGCGTGACAGCCGTACAACCACCCAGGTGACCCTAACACAAACCATGAGCTTGCTACTGCGAACAGGGTGCCACCGGGAGGGCCAGACCACCTGGAATCCTGTTTCAGCATCCACACATCATCCATTCCTGCCTGGCAGCCAGTAGGAGTCGTGGGCCGCCACCACGAGAGAAGGGCAGTCTCAAGTCGGATAAGCAAGTCTACGATGGCGATGACGGCGACAAGCCCGTGTGGCGAGCTGGCAATGCTTTGCCCGGCAGAGCTAGCTAGGCGTTCTGGGCCCCTGGGGAACGAAGGGGTTCGCCGAGCGACAGCCCAGAGCAGCTAGGGCGGCACAGCCCTATCATGAGGTCTGGGGATGGCTGCTTGGCAGCTTAAATTCCTGATTGTCACGTCGTGACCATCTACCCCCGAAAGTGCTATTACTGTGGTAGATACCACTCACACACACAACCGCAATCGTCCATGCCTTGGCTTCCTGCTTTACCTCCTCGGGAGGGGCCAGGCGAGGCGCCCATCCGTGCAAGCCGTGGGCCGTGAGCCGTGGCATCCGCTAGAGCCGAAGGGGCGGGCGCGAGCATCCTTCCAGAACTGGCCTTGGTCTGCCTCTCAGCACCCGTCACTCCATCTTCTCACGCACTCACTCCATCGCCCGTGCATTATACCGTATCCACGCCGACCCCCCTCTGAGCCTCTCTGTCCACGTCGCCTTGGGGTGAGAGGGGGACGGTGCCGAATGGCCGGTCGCGTGGGTGCCGAGCATCCGGATTGTGTCTTGACGCAATAGAAAAAAAAGGAAAAGGAACAGAAAATAGCCAGTCTGGATGGATCCTTGTGTGCCACCTTTCAGAACCCGCCCGCCCGTTTCTGCCGCTCCTGCACCCCTGCCCGGGACTTGTGTGTGGAAAATCATCATGACATCGGGGTGATTCCGCCACGAGATTTTGTGTTGCGGTGTCACCAAATGTGGGTTCACCATGTCATTTGCTGCTTTTTCCCGCTTCCGCTGTCGGTTCGCGTGTTCTACCACCCAAAAAGAAAGACAAGCTTCTGCCTCGTTAATCTGCTATTAAAACCACTTAGCCCGTTCGTGCGCCTGTCTCGCGGCAGGCCTTGCGACTGGCCGGTTGGCATTTGAAGATTGTCTACAGCAGACTGGCCTGATGGCACAAGGTTTTTCTTCGGCAGGGACGATGACAAGGAGAGAGAGAGAGGCACATTGTTCTGTTCGTCCCGTGTCTGTTCGTCGGTGCAACCGGCCTCGCTTCGGCCGTGCTTTACTATGCTTCCCTATGCTTTAACTATTTTACCTTTTGCCCTGCGACGTTAGCACCGTGAAGGGACCCGTCCCGGAGAGGGCATCGCCCGCGCAACGGACTGCTCGAAAGGGGGGCCTCCTTGGCTTCTTCTGGCCTAATAAGTCCCCTAGGTAGAGTGGTCCGCGCTTACGGTATGCCACCAGGGCCACCTACGTCTAGCGGATTGCCCGTCTTGGGTCGCCTCTGGGCCGCTCCAAAACAACAGGCAAACCTAAACGTCTAGGGCAGATGTAGGTTTGCTCAAGAGCTGGATAGAGGCATTCGGGTTTCCGGTGCACGGCTCACCAGCCGGGCTGTCCTGTGTAGTAAAGATTTGTTATTTGTGTGAAGACTGAGAGTGCATCCGGTATTCCCGTGGTAGATCCCGAGATGCCGGCCCCAAGTTTCGGTGGTCCACTGGGGGAACCGTCGGCTTGACGCAACATGGGCAAACCATGGCAGACTGGAGGTGGGTCCCGGAGATCTGCCAAGCTTGCAGCGGGCACGCCTTCCATCATCCCGCAGCATGCTTCCGATCTGATGCTATTCCCAAAGCATACCATCACAAAAACACAACCGCACTTACCGTCCATACTGCCACCTGTCCACACCACAGCCCATCTCGGTGTTGTTTGGCCAGGCACAGAGACGATCATGGCTCCCACCCAGCTGCCCGACAACGGCAATCCGCTGTAAGTCCATCCACACCGCAACACAGCATAGCGCAACACCACACACACACAGAGAAGAGACGCCAACCACATCACGCCATATCTCGCCCACCCTGCCCCAGTCCCGGCCCAGTGCACAACAATATCTCGCCCACCTCCCACCAATCTCTTGGTTCTTCTGGCGGCTCTGCATGGCTGAGAACCCTAACCCCAGCTCCAGCCCTTTTGAATGCCAGATGAGGCCCCCTTTGCTCCTCTACCCTGGCCTGGAGCACCCCTTGTCCGACACGATGCTAATCGTCAAACAGGGTCTTCTTTGACATCACACTAGGAGGTAAGCGCTTGCCTCACTTCCCAATTCTCCAAGCACGCCGCCGCGTCGGTGTGGTGGTTGAACGTGGTAGCTCCCTCTCTCAGGTCACGCGACTAGTCCTCCGTGACCCTGTGCTCGGCCGGGCCGGCCGATGCCGACTTGTCCTCGGGGGAAAGGGTCAGGGGAGCACGGCCTGCCGTCCGCTGGTCAGGCTGTGGGAGGGAACATATTCATTGACGGCCTCGGCGCCCCTCCCCGCGCTTGCCGCCGTGTTTCATGCGTCCTCTCACCGCCCATGACGGCCCGGCATAGACCCTGTGTCATGAGAAGGGCGGCGTGCAGAGGGAGACGGGCTGACATTGCAATGTCTCTTTGGCTGACAATTTGCGTTCCACACAGGAGAGCCCCTTGGCCGGATCACGTTTGAGCTGTTCAAGGATGTCGTGCCGCGCACGGCGGAGAACTTCCGCCAGCTCTGCACGGGCGAGTACAAGGTGAACAACAAGCCCCAGGGATACAAAGGCTCACGATTCCACCGCATCGTAAGTATTCTCACCGCTTAGTCGCAGCCATGCAAGCCCAGTGCGGACAGCTAGAACAGGAAGAGACTGACCCTATGGCGCCACCCCAGATCCCCAAGTTCATGTGCCAGGGCGGCGACTTCCTGCACGGCGACGGCACGGGGTCGACGTGCATCTACGGCACCAAGAGCTTCGCGGACGAGAACTTCACGCTCAAGCACGAGCACGAGGGCCTGCTGAGCATGGCCAACGCGGGGCCCAACACCAACGGGTCGCAGTTCTTCGTCACCACGGTCCCGACGCCCTTCCTCGACGGCAAGCACGTCGTCTTCGGCAAGGTCGTCGACGGCATGGACGTCGTGCGCAAGATGGAGGCCACCAAGACCGGCCGCCGCGGCAGGGACGTGCCGGACCTGGACGTCCTCATCGCGCAGTGCGGTGAGATGTGAGCGGGGCTAGGAGTTTTAGTAAATCACGAATCACAGCTCTGTTCAGGCATGACGATAATTAGGTTGCGTTCGGCATGGTATCGTTCATGTGCATGGTGATATATCTATGGAAAATTGGACGAACACACTCCGGATAGAAATGCTCAGCCGGCTCTAATGACCTCTTCAGTACTTGAAATTCGCAACCAGTCTGTGACTGCGGGACTCATTCGACGGATATCTAATTACACCACCATCATCGTCTCATCCTGACCATTCCCAGAACCACTACTATCACTGCTCTCCAGGCTGACAGCATGGTACTGCTCCACAAGGTTCTCCAGAATCGACGCGTTGAGGTCCTCCCCCACTGTTGTGCGTTAGCCACTTGCCACGAAGTTCGAAGCGATGCACTCTGGAAGACTCCAATGCAATACGGGATGGGCAGCCGTGGCGGGGCGGGGCAAGGCTTATACATACTCTTGACGACCGGCACGGGGAACCGCGACCGCGTGTGCAGCGCCAGGTCAGCCTCCCTTTCCTCCTCTTCTTCCTCGGCCTCGGCGGACGCGCCGCCGCTGGCACTGCTGCCGGCGGCGCTCCCCTCGCCCGGGGCTCCGACAAAGCGGCCGAGGATGTCGGCCTCGACGGGCGGCAGGCGGTCGCGCAGCAGGCGGAAGAGCACCTTGCAGACGTGCAGGTGGCGGCCCTGGTCGCGCAGGCCCTTCATGGCGAGGACGAGCGTCGAGCGCAGGACCTCGGGCCGCCCGCGCCCGGGCGACAGCCGCGCCCCGTCGCCGCTGCCCTCGAGCGCCCGCAGCGAGATGCTGGCCAGCAGCGCCAGGAAGTACGTCATGAAGCTGTCGCACGCCTCGAACCCGTGCCGCATGTAGTACAGCCGCGCCACCGTCTCCAGGTTCCGCATCGCCACGGGCCCGCTGCGCGCCACCGGCGCCGCGTCCGCGCTCTCCAGGTCTGTTTCCGCGTGGACCTCTGTTTGCTCCTCGATCACCGTCGTGGCGAGGGTGATGTACATGGCGAAGTATTCGAGGCTGGAGTGTGTGTCAGAGAGCGTTTGAGTGCACTCAGTCAGTGCAAGGGAGGGATAGAAGCTTTCACTGAGCCCTGCAACATTGTGAAGAATGAGAGAAAGGCATTGGACCTACTGAAGTCTCAGGTGACACGGAAACACAGCCGTCTGCGGCCTCAATGGTCCGGGCAGGCTCCCATACCACTCCTCAAGGCGCGACTGTATCTCCAGCGCCGTCTCCTGCGGCAGACCCGTCACGGCCTGTGGGTGGTGGTCCCCAAAGGTCTCCTGCGCGACCTGGTTCATGATAACCCGCAGCCAGCACATGGCCCGGAACGTGTGCGGCCAGTGCATCGGCGTCGGCGCCGTACTCGGCGCGTACATGAGGGCGAACTCGCCGTACCAGCCCGGGTCTACGTCTGGGTCTGGGAGGGCCACCTCCGGCGGCTCACTGAGCCAAGCTCGCCGCATGAAGTAGTAACCCGAGGACCTTGTAGCGACCCCCAATCCTCCGTCAGCGACCTAGTCCGTTGCTCGGTGGTTGTTGGGTTCTGTTGTATTGGGTGGCCTCGTTCTGCGCTGACTTACGTTTGAAAGTTATAGAAAGCCCACGCGGTGAACTCGCGCGCCCTTTGTACCCTGGAGCTCTTTATGGCTGGGTTGGGCTTGAAGAGGTCCATTTTCCTGGCCATCGATACGGCGTGCCGCAGGAAGATGTCGCCGATCTTGTCTAGGAGAGGATCTGTCTTAGTTGACGAACAGACCGAGCATTTGCGTAAAAGCTCCGCGGATGCGTATGGCTTTGGGAAGGAGGCGAGCGGACGTATCTAGTTCGAGTTTCGCATATGACTGTTCACTCACCCATGCCGTGGCTATTGTACGCCAGGCTCAAGAGAATCGTCGCCTGGAAAGTGGTCAACTTTGGATTATCAAGGTCTTCCAGCTCCCAAAGCCGTCTGGCTTCCACCAGGAACCTGTAGCCGATGTTCTGAGGGTTCCATATTTGGGATCGGAAGGCGATGCTGCGGTTGCAGTGCTAGCAGTGCTTCAGGTCAGTTAAGATTTCAACAGAGGTTAGTAGCGTATAAGACACACATACGCTTCCTATCGCCATGACAGAGTTGACGAGTAGTGGCGAGCATAAATGGCCTTTTCCTCGAGCCAAATCATATAGAAAATAATCCTTGTGGAAAGCAGGGGCCACACAGTACTCGTGAATGAAGTATGCACGCAGTAGCTGCCGGAAGAGATTATCATCTTTTGTCACCGAAGTCCAATTAGATGCCTTGACAGATGCAAGCCGACCATCTATAAGTTCCGCGGCGTGATACGGCTTCAGGTAAATGTGGCTGTAGCTCCAGGCCTGCGCCGCCTCAGCGGTCGACAGCGACTGCGGCGAAAATTGACGAAACCCTTGCATGGTGCCTTCGTACAGAAAGGATCCAAGATACGGATTGTCAGAAGTCTGCAAAGCGGCAGGCATTGAGGGCAGATATGGGAACTGATATCGGAAGCGGGATTCTGGCCTCAGGGAGAGCTGCAGCAGGAGGTCACCCTCCTGGACGCGACGAACGATGGTCTCCACATCCGTGCCAGCCCGCAGTCGCTGGAGGATGTCAAAGGACTCAGGCTCGTTCACGGTGACGAGGAGTCGGTAGAGTTCCTTGTAGACGAAGTGCTCCTGCTGCGACTCCTCGTGCTTGCGCTTGAGGGCCTGCACTTGGGTCTCAAAGTAGCCGGCGAGATAGACACACTCCAGATCTCGACTTTGGCAGCGCGAACAGACTGGGCGCTCACCCGTACACCTGTGCACAGCACGTTATTGTATCAGCGTTGAAGCGTAGCTAGACTACCTACCCTTGATCGTGTTACTTCAGGATTGGCATACCTGACTTTGGATTTCCGACACATCTCACATGCTGCTTTCGTATTTCTCCTAGGCGGCGGCAGCGGGCGATGCGCGCCTGGTGGGCCACCTCCGAAACCATCGCCGTCGCCAGCAGAGCCGGCTGCGTGAAGTGGTTTCGGCAGGATTGGGCGTTGTTGCGCTGACATCGAAAGGGCCCGTGATTTATTGGAGAGACTGGTATTGGTTGAGATCGACTATTACACAGATCTGCTGCCTAGACGGCAGATACTAGCTCTGCGCTGGAGGTTGCAAGGTATGGAGCACATCAACCCGGATTCCACGAAGAGGTTCATTTTGGCATTCCTTTCACCACCAAGGCCCTGCAAGATCTCCTGCTGCTTGTCAGGTCTCCTGTGTTGATCCTGGCCAATACCCACACAGCTAGGTGACCTCATGCCTACATCATCCCTCTGGACAGAGGCAAATAATACCACGAGGTCCGAAAATTTTATTTCTCTCTATCATCTGGGACAGGTCGTTATCATGTCAAATCAATGAATTACATTCGTGCCAATATACTTGATCACCTGTCACTGGTTTAATACGAAGCAGTCTTGGCGGGTATTAAGGTGGCCCCTCTGGGCTTTCATTTGATGGTAGCAAGCCAACTTACATTCGAGCATGACTTGTACGCATTCCTTCTCCAAATTTAACGGATATTGGACAATCAAGACGTTAATAGAAACACAAACCCTGCCGCGACTGGCTTGGCTCGCTTGATGCTCACTGCGATGTCACTGCGACTTTGTTTCGAAATCATAGGTGAGAGGGAACGGAACATCTGCCGGCAGCATGACCAGCTGACCTACGACATGCCGCGAGTGCGCTCGAAGTGACGAAATTCAAAAAGCAGACAGAATCATGACGCGGAGGCTTGATCAGAAATGCCACAAAATGACATGGCAACATCTGCTGTGCATCCATGTCTAGTCTTCTATGCTGATGCTGAAGGAACGAAGTTCGGTATGGGGCATTTTCAAGTTCAAATTACTTGTCACGAATTCCTGAAGTCGAAGGTCGGCTTTCTTGCTGCGGTAACTTTGTCGTTGACCCAGGAAAAGTCGTCATCCAAAGCGTCGCCACTCTGGGTCAGTCCAAGTGAGACATTTAGGAGCCTTGTTGATCGATTTTTTCTGGGAAAAAAACATCAATCTTATTTTGCATATTTGTGTGTTGAGCAAAGAAGGAATTAGAGAGTTATGAAAGCCCGAGTGAACTTACACTGCATTTCTCGAGAGAACTAAAAACTGTATCGACGTTGTATTGATACTGCCATTCTTTCTCAAGGCAGACATCTCTAAGATTGAATGTAAATTATAATTCACGCTACTGCGGCCGATCCAACTGAACCGACTGTGTTCGCAGCTTGACCTTTTATACAAGCAAGGTGGAATTGAAATGGTGCGACAGGAGTATCAGTAAGTAGATCGCAACCTTTCGAAACAAAGGATATATGTGGCTTGTGTGTTCTTGCATCTTTTCTTCAGGGTCAATTGTCACACGAATATAAGACTGCTGGGAGTCAAGTCCGTTCTTTGACATGGTACCCGGGTTCGTACGGAATGGTGGTGCGTGCGGTTGGATACCTGGGCATATTTACCGCCAAGTCTCCATGCAAACCAAAGGCCTTCAAGGTCCAGGTACAGAGACAGCAGAGCCAAAGTTTGCGGGTTTTCTACAGAAATAGCGAAGAGTTCCTCAACGTATTATCGGCGCGTGTTTTCGAAAGCCAGGCCTCGTGCAAAATGCAACCAATTACCTCCCAGCTTGTTCCGCCGAGTCGTCACTTCGAGGGGAGGGGTTTGTCCCGGTGCGAGGGTTAGGGTCACCCCCCCCTACACGTCGTCGCGTCGTTCACTTACCGCAACCACGCCATTAATTCGCGACTTGTGAACTGGATACATCTCAAGGCCGGCACGTCGCATAGCCCAATCCATGTCGCTAAGCTCAGAGGAAGAGGAGGAGGATCCGTTTCTCTCCGACGGGGAGGATGGCAACGAGAACGACCTTCCGAGCGACCTCGAAGACGACCTCGACGACGACGAGGACCCGTTCGGTCCCGCGCAGCCGCCCCCGACCCAGTCGCAAATGCTCTCCTTCGGCCCGCCATACTACGGGCGGCCGCCGACGCCCCTGCCTCCCTCGCCGTCCCTGACGTCGCTCCTGCGGCCGTCGCGCCCGACCACCCCGGACGCCAGCGACGACGAGGGCCTCAACAGCGCCGAGCCCGTGCCGCGCGCCTCGCCCAAGGTGCCCACCTACGAGTACTACGGCTTCGTGCTGTACCTGTTCTCGTCGCTCGTCTTCCTCATCTACCTGCTGTGGTCGTACCTGCCCTCGCCCTTCCTGCACGTCCTGGGCATCTACTACTACCCGAACCGCTGGTGGAGCCTAGCCATCCCCTCGTTCCTCGTCATGCTGCTGGTCTACATCTTCGTCGCCCTCGCCCTCTACAACACCGAGTACCTGACGCTGCCGCTCAACAACCTCGAGACGATTGTCGACGACGCGGGCAAGATCGCCGTCGTGGACGGGAGGGGCCGCATCGTTGTTAGTGAGGAGAGGAGGAAGAACCTCGAGCGCGAGAGGGAGAGGGAAGGCCAGCGGGGCAAGACGCATCACCAGAGGAAGACGAGCTGGAACGGCTACCCTTTTTTCAAAGACAGGGAGGTCGACTGGAGGGAGTGCTGGAACGAGGGGACCGACGCCGTCATGGACGTGCCATTAGCGGGTGTGTGTGAGATACTCTACGGCGGCACGAAAGGCAAGGACGACTACGTGTTCAATGTTAATTAAGATGTATAAGGCTCTTCAATTACAGCTGTTTGCAAGATCAAATTCGATGATCGCGTTGGCACGTGATCCATTCGTCAAAGAGAGGACCTATTCGCCCGGCTTACTCTAGACGTCCAGGCTCGATACGTTTTACATGTCTGAGGTCATTTGCGCCTATGACTAGAGTATGTTCAGTCAAAGAAGCCTCGCAATCACTTCCCCAACTATCCTTCTCTCGCATCCTGGCTTGTATTGCACCGCAGGTTGGTTCTCTATGCCACGAGGATCGCAGGCCATGCCTGGATACGCGCTTGTACCTTGCCGTGCTTGCCTAGCTTTGCCTAGCTTTCTGACCGCGGGAGAGAAATGTCTAGACCAGATCCAAGAGAGAAGAGCATCCGACATTCCCAAGAAGCATATGTTTCCCAAGCCAGCAGTTTCCCACTCGGCCGACAACTGGCAGACCTAGGCAAGTGCCCACTCTGACAGAAGCACCCCTCACTGTCTCTGACCATGTGGATGATGACAATTACTAAACAAAGAAGCTTCAGCATTTCTGCGGGCCCGGACTCTCGCATCGGACTGCATACTGTTCAAGCTCTCAGCAGAGGGGCACGCGGGCCAAGAGAGGGGGGAGGGATTCTAGTCAGTTCTGTCATCCTCACGGGCAAGCTTCCCTACGGCGGCATTTTAAGCAAGCCTAAAGCATGTGGAAATCCACAGCGAACATGCGGGCTCGCGAGGGAAAATAGTTTAGTCGGCTGTAGGAAATACTTGCTTCGCGAGCCTGGAAGGGCAGTTCACGCCCGCGCTGAAAATCACTTGGATCAGCGACACGAATAGATAGTCTACTACTCCGCACGGCTCCAGGAATACAGCTGCCCAGATCTTACCCCAGACTTTCCCCAGACAACCCCGCAATACTACTCTGTATCCACCTCCAGCATCCCTGGCAATACTTGTCTTCGGGCTAGAGTAGGCTTCGGCGATGAGGCACAAATTTTGGTTGAATCGTGCAAGAATGCCCGTCCTGAATAAGCCCTGACCACTCGTCAAGATGTATAAAGCATTGTTCTGGAAATGGCTTATAAGGGGGCCCCCTGGAATATTTTAATGTTAATGATTTTCTCTATGTGATGTGTTCAACTTGAAGTACACGCTTGTATTTGGTCTTTACGACGAAGAGGACTCACACTCCGGTGAATACAATATCCTTCAACAGGCTCTCTACCTATTGTGGCCATGGAGACTCAAAAGTCGGACGCAAAGCATGCAGAAGATGTCAAGGATATAGAAGAATACGAAGGTGCAGTGTCACACATCGACAAAATCGACAAAATAGCCAACTACAACGATTCTATCGAGAGCACCAAGGTCTCAAGAGCCGTTTGGCTCATCACCTTTACTGTAGCAACGGGCGGGTTCCTCTTCGGTTGGTCCCCATTCGGTGGTGTTACCTATCTACCTCACTGACGTTAAGCGCACAGGCTATGACACGGGCGTCATTTCAGCTGTGTTGGTCACACTCGGAAGCGATCTGGGCCACGAGCTGTCCTCGAGCGAGCAAGAGATGGTCACTTCCTTGACATCCGGCGGAGCCTTGGTCGGCGCTCTGATCGCAGGTCTCCCGGCAGACAAATACGGGCGGAAATTTGGCATATATGCCGGCTGCGTGTTGTTCTTGATCGGCTCCGTAATCCAGGCTGCCTCCTTTACCGTCGCGCAGATGGCTGTCGGACGGTTTATTGTTGGCCTTGGAGTCGGCTCGGCAGCTATGATCATTGTAAGGGGCCACCGAAAACCTGCACCTGGCACTTTCAAATGAAGCTAATACGTTCTTTTCCAGCCTTTATACATCGGTGAACTTGCTCCAGCACCACATCGCGGGCGAATGATAGCACTTGACAACCTAAGCGTGACCTTTGGTCAATTGATTTCATACGCCCTCGGCGCCGCGTTCACTGAGGTTCCCCATGGCTGGCGATATATGGTGGCTGCGGGCGGTATACCTCCTATAATCCTCGCTGCCCTCCTGCCGAGATGTCCCGAGTCACCCCGGCAATTACTTGCCATGACAGGGTCGCTGAGGCCACAGAGTGCATTAGGCGCGTCTATCCCGAGGCTACAGAGGAACAAGTAAGATCCAAGGTGGAGTACATGGCATGGACGATCCAGGTGGAGGCACAAGCAGTCGGTGATAAGTCACTCTGGTGGCAATTCAAGCAGCTGCATTGTGTGCCATCGAATCTCAGGGCGTTGATCACTGCCTGTGCGGTGATGGCAAGTAAGTTAACATTGCCTGCCTCAAGCATACCAGACTAACGTATCCTCAGTCTCCCAACTCGGCGGCTTTAATACTCTGATGTACTACTCCGCGACGCTGTTCTCCCTCGTCGGCTTCAAGAAAGCTACCGCAGTATCGATCGTCGTCGGCGGCACCAACATGATATTCACACTGGTTAATATGTTGTTCATCGACCGCCTAGGGAGGCGCAAGATCCTCCTCATCACGGTTCTAGGAATGGCACTAAGCATGGTCGTCGCCGCCGTCGCGTTCCACTGGATACCCATTTCTCGCGACCTGGTCCTCGAGTCAGACACCGTGAACTGGGCCGGCATCCTGGTGCTCGTCACCATCATCTTCTACGTGGCCTTCTTCGCCAGCGGCGTGGCCACCATCGGCTGGGTGGGCACCGAGCTCCTGCCGCTCGAGGTGCGTGCCCTGGGCACGATGATGAACACTGTGACCTGCTGGGGCTGCAACATCATCATTGCGTCGACGTTTCTGTCGATGATGAAGGCGTGGACTCCAAGCGGTGCTTTCGGCTTCTACGCGGCGATCTGCTTCTTTGGCTGGGTTTTCGTCGTTTTCTTGTACCCCGAGGTGAAGGGTCTGCCATTGGAGGATGTCAGGCAGATATTCGAGCATGATTTTGGTGTCAAGGCAGCCGCGAGATTGCAGAAAGAGCAGAAAGCAAAGCGCCAAGCTGGTTTGGCCTAGTTACTTTGAAATATGATATCTTTGTACGTCCTTTGGACCAAACATTGAATGTTCTCACCTCAATCTGTGTCATATTAGCACTCGGTAGTAGGAAACACAAGCTTAAACGGCACCAGGAGTTATATTGGCGATTACTGTTTGAAAAGTGCTAGAACAATACCACTAAGTCCGAACGTGAGAAGTGATGTATACAGTTCAGCGGTAACCGAGACCGCGTTAGTTTGAAGGACGTATGACAGCCATCCTCTGATTATATTGGCTTCCCTTTAACCCAATCAAGTCTAACCCAAGGTGAATGCAATAACGAAAACGGTAAAAATAGATTCTATGAAGAATGTGGCTTTGCTAACGTGTTTTGGACCTGTGCCAGAGCTGTCTGCGGCTTGGGTGGTACGCGCAGTCCCGGTAGAATCAAGTGCAGTTGAAGTTGGGGCGGGCATAGTAGGGCGACCATAATGGTTCTCCGAAACAATCCCTGCATCCACCGAAGCATCTCGATACACAACGATGTCCTTGACCAAGAAGTAGGAATTCGCAAAATCACCTGGATTCTTCGCGACGTAAGATGTGCAAGATCCGTATCCAGTCGATGCCGCACACTGTGCCCAATGGTTCTTGGTGTAAGGCTGGGTTCCGTCCTGGCCCGCCACGCCGCAAAACCCAATATTTAGCACAATTCTCTGGTCTCTCCAGCCCTTGTCCATATCGCAGCCGACAATGGCGTAAGATGGAACCCCCCAGGCTGTCGGACTCGGCCGGCCTTCAATCAAATCGTGCGGCACCTCAGCGTGTGACCAACTCCAGACCTTGGCGTGGCCGCCAGTCCACTCAAGCACGTAGACTCCTCCCTCCTGAGACCCGAAAGCCGTGTCATTGTAGTTATTGCTCGAGCATCCTTGATACCAGTATTGTCCCGGCGCATGGGCGTCGCAGTTGTATGACTCGATCTCGCTGGACATGTCGGTAGCCTTGATACCACAAGTCGCTTGGCTGCCGTTGATCATGGCAGTGTTGCGATTGAAGTCACGCGAATTCCAATTTTCCATGATGTCGAATTCACCAAGGTCCGGCCAGGGCCAGCCAAATGTCCAGAAGGCTGGCCATGCGCCACATGTTGGCATGGGCAGGTGAGTGAAATTCGCGACGAACAGACCATGGTTGAACGCGTCCCAACTCTGCAACCTGACCGATTTGCGTCCATATGATTCAGGGTCATATGTGTTCTCCGTACTGTTAGAATTGGAAGTCAGCAACTGGCCGCTGCAAAGTGGGCGTACAGGAGTTGAGCATGGCTCGTCAGAAATTACATCCACTCACTCAACACCGACATACACCTGCGTTTCTTGGACAGCAACTAATCCCAAATCCTCCGCCACGGTGCGATTCTGATACTGAACGTACCCTCCTGTGGGGTCTACATCGTAGATGGAACCAGTGTCGAGTTTGCTCTATTGTGCGTAATGTTCTGAATTAACATCACCACCCCGTCACGTATAATTCAACACACGGCAGCACCGGCAGCGCCGATAGCGCCGAGACAGCCCGGATCGCAACCCAAAAATTCACTCACTTCGAAGAATCCAAACTTCTCGAAAAAGTTAGTATGATTGTAAGCCGCAGCAAAGGTATAATTGGACATATCCGACGCCATTGCTCCCAAGGCCATCGTCACAAAATACAACGTCCACTTTCACATACTCTGGACAAGAGAAATGGAAGGGTAATAAATATAATTCTACGGAGTGGAAAGAAGGGCAGGAAATTGTTGTGAATCTATTATGACTCGAAATCGACTAAATCGGGAATACCCAGGAACCAATAGAGTGGAACTGTGGATCTTGTCTGAATATCAGCGAACAGGACCCATGGGTTGGATGTGGTCACTAATTTCTACAAAACTTAAAAGTTTGCCCCTGCTGGTTGTACATAGGTAATTGATCTTGCGTGACAAAGTGATGACAATGATATTGGAGTACATGCAGTCTTCCATTCCCAGCCTAATTCAAATTGTTACTGGCTTCTGCCCTCGCCTCCAATACTCGATACATTCTTCGATCTGTTTCCCCTCTACCTCGGCGCATTGTGCACATCTTCAACCTCCACAGCGCTAACCTTCTCGTCTTCAAGCTGATCTTCAGGGTCTTTCGAGGAGCGGTTAAGAGCTCTCGCACCAGGCGCGCCGAAGAGCGCGTCCATCTCTTCGATCGGGACACCTTTTGTCTCGCGAATGCACCACCAGGCCCAGACTCCCATGCACGCCATGAGAGCGCCGAAGAAAAAGTAAGCTGTTGAGACTAGATGAGTAAGAGTTCTCACAAGTCTACTATGAATTTAAATGTTACTTACTTCCGTATCCAATATCCGATATCATGTAAGGAGTCGACCGGGAAACAACGTAAGACCAAATCCGCTCGTCGGCAATGGTTAGAGCCATGCATAGAGATCGTATGTAGAGTGGATAGATCTCAGAAGCGTAGAGCCAAGTGATTCCCTGCCAAGTGGCACAATAAATGACACCATAGAGGTAAACGCAAACGATGGCCAGGTATCCCCAGCCTGACATCTGAGTCAGTCCGGCTTTTGCTGCCGCCTCAGGGTCATTCTTCATGACATAGCCTCCGAGATAGAGCTGCAGCAAATTAGGGTGGTGGATATACGATTGTCTTGAAAGAGCATTTACCATAGGAATGCAGCCCAGAGCAGAGCCCCAGAGGAGTCCCTTGCGTCTACCGAGATAGTCGGCGACATAGAAGGAGAAAATAATCATGCCGAGGGTTTTGGCCACACCATAGAACCCAGTCGCAAAGAGCTTGAGGTCGGTGCTAGCAATTCCAAGAGTAGCAAAGATTCGGGGCGAATAGTATGTAATGATGTTGACACCCGTCATGTTTTGACACCTATTCAGAAGTCAACAAAAAGGGGTGGTTTGGTATCAAGGTTGAGGAGGGCCATACATCATCAGGCACAAACCGATACCAACACGGTTGCGTATACCCTTCTTGAACAACTCTTTGAATTGAAGCCAAGTCCCTGGATTCAATCCGGCAATGTGTGCCTCAAACTCGACTTCGGCACGAATTTCACTCATCTCGTTCATAACATAGGGGTGGCTGGAGGATAGCTGACGAAGGTCACAAATTATATTTTCGGCTTTTTCCCAGCAGTCCTTCTTAGCCAACCAACGTGGCGATTCGGGACAGAAGGGCACGACTGCAAGTACGATGACGGCGGGGAAGAGTTGAAGACCCAGCGGGACCTGCCATTGAGCTGGAGCTGCAAGGTCTCAGCTGAATGCATTGGCAGCTGGAAGTAGCTTAACATGGTGAACTTACTACTCGAGCTTATAGTCCTGTTGACAGCATAATTGACCCAAAAACCGCACATCTGTGCACCTTGCGAGCCGATTTCATAGAAACCAACCAATCGGCCGCGAATGGAGGGTGGAGCGACTTCGGCAATATAACTGAAGCACCACAGAGTCAATGAAGATTTTCTACCAACATACACAGTATGAGACTTACACAGGAATGACAGGAGCAGTTGCACCGATACCAATGCCTGCAATGGCTCTGCCAGCCATGATCAGGCCGACAATTCCGTGAGAGGCAGTTTGCATAGAAGCTCCGCACATGAAGACGATGGTAGCGTAGAATATACATCTTTTGCGGCCCCACCGTTCTGAGATGAAGTGGGAACCCAGTGCGCCGAAAAACATTCCTGCTTGGAAGCACGAGACAATGTTGGAGGTAAGGTCATCGAGTTCTCTTTGACTTTTGCCCCTTAGGCCAAAATCACGTTCGAAAGAGGGGAGGATCAATGTCCCGCCCATGACAGAGACATCGTAACCTGTCTCTTACTGTAAGATGCTGGTTCGTATGCTGAATCGAAAAGACATGTTAGAAAATAGCGAATGACCTACCAAGAGCAAGAGCGCCGAAACAGACTCCGATACAGTAAATGTTGACCTTCCAGTTTCTTGTCTCCCGCGGCTCGGGAATCCGCTCGACCGTCCGCTCAGAGATTGAGGGATTTTTTGAATGCACCATGATATCTTTGGGACAGAGTCACAAGTTATAGAAGATAGAAGACTGTATTGAATATGATATTCCACTTCTGCGCTTTAGACTAACTTGTGAAAACACAGCCCGGCTTTGCGATCTGCAGTACATACTGGCCGCGAGTTGCAAAGACACGCAAATTTCTGCGAAGAGGCCTGCGAGTGCGCCTTATAAACTTGAATAGATCGCCATCCTTCGCGCCGTGCCTTATACCATTGCCGGCCATACATCTGGAACGTTGATCGAGTAATGGCCAAGGCGTTACCAAGCTTGACCCCAAGAAGCTAAGTAGAAGTTGCGCGTATCACAGCACTTTCCCCGCGGGGTGGGATGTATGAGAAGCTTCTAAAGCAGATGAGGTGGTAGTAACGCGAGTGGGCCAATTGTATACGCGTGACCAGAGAATCAGAGCCATGGAGCGAATCGTTTGGGACGGTCCTAGAACACAACGCTAGTGTGTGTAAGTTGCGTAGAGTTGGCGAACTTGGCACTCAGGCTCCTCCTCAGCAAACCTCGAATGCCTAGACGGCTGGAACTCTAGGGTTGGTTAGATTACCCGTGATGGCTGCTATCCCCGCACGGCATATTCATTGTTTGTTTTGACTAAAGACGCTCGCAGAATCTATCTTTCTCAGTTTGTTGATTCTCTCTGAGCGAAAAAAAAGACGGAGCAGTGGAGGCACACCCGGCGTTGAGCACGCGCTTTAGGTCTCGTGAAGGGGAGTCGTAGTCTTCTCTTCATGGACGTGCTAGGCCATGAAAGGAATCATAATTTGATGCATATAGACGGATTATTGCGGATGGTGTAGGGGCTTACTGTACATTTATTCACGGTCCTTCACTTTTCATCGTTCCACGTGCCTTCAGTCATACGATGCAACGTAGCTCTTTGATGAGGGAAAATCTGTATTGGATTCTCAAAAGACTGTCTGTGTGGTTACTTGGTAAGAAATTCTTTCAAGTGCTAAATGCAGCTACAAATCGCAGTATTTTGACAGAGACTCGACGATTCCTGGGTGACAGCGAGGCAAGCTATTCGCAGCAAGCATTCATTTTCTTACACATTCATCCTCTCGCAACACCCTGCCATCGGAAGGGCGCCCCGAATGGGCTGTCTGTCAGCCTTTAAGCTGCGTGTATGCTGACACTGCATTTACGGGCCCGTCCGTGACCCCATTGGGCTCCTGCAGTAATACGAGCGGAACTTGAGCTCAAACTATTGGGCAGGATAAAGAGAGTCACTGTTTGAAATTCGTTTCGAATTCTTCATTCCTTAAATCAATAACTAGTTGCATACACGTTATTCGAGCTTACAGACCAGCAGCGCATCGCAAAGTGAAGTTTGACCTGCTGTTGAAGTATAGCAATGCTGACGAGGTCCAAAGACAAGCATCAGGAGACGCTGGGCTAAAAGTCCCAGTGAGGAAGGAGTCCGACTCCCGTTCGCATTCTCGGCAGTAACTCCCGTTAGTCTTTAATCAGCCATGTGTACGTTCGAGAGGTCTCGACAGCTCAAGGCGCGCCGGCACAAATCAGGTCATATTTTGCGTACTGGAATCCGTAGCTTGAATCCTTGAACACGCAGCGCAACCACTCTTGCAACTCCTACCCAGGCCTTCTTCTTTCGGCCGTGAACATTGGGCTGCCTGACAATGCAGCCATTCCCTCTTCGGAGGGCGGATATACACGGATGCGTCACTGTACCTTGTAAAACCCGTATTCAATGCTGCAGTCATCTTCCATCTCACTTCCTGTTCAGCCTGACATGGCTTGGCATCATATGCTCGGACTCGATTAGCTGGAGCCGGGTAAATCAACCTAAGACTCTGTGAACTGTCAGGAACGCGAAATTCATTGGGACCATCATTGGGGCCTAAAAGTACGGCAATAGTACATATAGTTGAATTCAATCTGCTCCCAGCCTACCGGTTTGAGGTTGTTGTTCTCCATCAAGACTACCAAGCTGATCTGCCGCACTGAACCAAGCCGAACCCACTCTGTCACCCTGCCACTCAAGTCGAACACTTAGATATCATGATCATGCAGACCTCCAAGTCGTTCGCTGTCCTGCTACTCAGGTATAATCAGCTCTCATCTCCGTCCTCACGGATGCAGGCCACTAACTGTGCCCCATGAAGCTCCATTGCGGCAGCTTTGCCCCAGGAGCAAGTCAATGACCCTCAAGTCACTCTGACAACCATAACCGTCGGGCTGCCTACGTCCTGTACCTTCAAGCCTACGCAGACCATCACGGCCACGACCGGCTGCGAGACGCCTTGCAGTACTTATGCCGACAACTGCTGGTGGGACAGTCAGTTTCCCATTTCACTGCCGTGGCTCCTATGAGGGGATCAACTGACCCAATGTAGATAGTCTTGAACTGGCCTGCGGATGCCCGAGTATGACTGTTCAACCAGTCACTACGACGGTCTGTCCCACGACGACCAATTGTGTCCAATGCACGGTAAGAATCACGCCCTCAAGTGACAGCTCATGAGCTGCAATCAGCCAAGATGAGGCTCGCTGACCTCTATTTCTAGACGGCTTGGGGTATAACGACGATTACACCCACCACCTGCCCAACCCTGATTCCTTCCGGTATCTAGGTCCGTGGCAATTTACAATTTTGCCATGGTCCGTAATATTGGGTGATTCATTTCTGGGACAATGCGAAGACTTCGGAGCTGGCAATACTCTGTGTCTCATACTGGTTGCCGAAGTGGCCAGATGATCACGCTGTCATCGCGGCCGGGCTTGAAAATCCCTGAGAATGTACTCAAAGCCATTTATATCTAACTAAGATAATGGAAACCAAGGAATAAATAGTTTCCATGAAAGTACAATAGGCAGCCTCTCAGCTAATGTTGAGTAAGGTGGACTTCAAAAACGATCTTGTTACCCAAGTTATTGCGCCGCTTCCTACCCGGTTGTGATGCTTGGTTTCACTCAACATGAATGAAAGCCTTCCCAGGCGTATGAGAGCACCAGTGAAATTGAAAATATGAAGTGGTCGTCCCACATCCGGAAGCACACGAGGCTTCCTCTTTTCAACAGTACACGCATACACCGTCGTACTGGTGACAACACGTCCTTTTGACAAGAGGAAGAGATTTCCTTTTCTCAGAAAAACAATCTGCAAATCCTGCAGTACTAATTACAGTGACAAAGGGATGGAAACATTTGAAACCGGTAGGTAAGAGGGCAGCTGTGTGCTCGAAGGCCGAACGAATTTCTATGCTCCGTTTCGCTACTCAGCTATTAAGAGCCTCTATGACGAACCACACGGATCAATCTACTGAACCTGACTACATGAGTCCTTCGCTATAAGCTCTAAAATGAACCCCCTCTTACCCAGTGCCGCCTGCCGCCCTCCCCTTCTGAATTATGACGTTTACGATTGGCCTGATGTCGCGCCTCGGCTGAATCATCATCCACCAGACTATCATCATCTTTGGAGGCCATGGTGATATCGTAAGGTATTGACGGTTTCGTCGTGCTGGCTATGCATCTAAACTCTAGATGTGAAGAACCACATGGAGTAGAACCACATGGAGAAGAATATTCTGACGAATACTCGGCCTCAATTTCAGCCCAGTCGTTCCAGATTCGAGGGCCTATGTTGGAGGAACAGGGAGTGAATGAGACAAAGTATTGTCTTTCGTTCCGTTTACTGGAGTAGTCTCGTCGTCGGACGGCGGTCCGTTTTCAGCCTCTTGGAAGACCCTCCCAATCTCACCCTTGGCTCTCCCTCTCTTTTCCAACCACGCAATCAACAATATGATCGGAATTGTTATTGCTCCAGTTACAAGGCTGGAGATGAATCCCTTCTCGTAGCCCGGGGCATCGGTGACTGGGTAGAAAACGATGGGCCACCCTAAGTAGTTGTTAGTATGTATTGATCTGGAATGCGTAGTAAGACAAGAGACAACAGCGGCTGGAGGACTATTTCTATCTGACCGTTTCTTGAACGGCGAAAATCCCTCCTGGAGCTACTAGTGACTTGTGAAGGGGAAAAAGACATCTTTGCAAGAACACTTACAGCTCACAAAAGCAAAATCAAAAGAGTTCATGAAACCAGTTGTTATGGCTCTCAGCTGCACGTCTTGTGCTGTCAAATCTGCCATCCATGTATACCATAGCGCCTGCGGCGCGTATGTCGAACCAAGCAGGTAGAAGGCGAAGAAATATCCAGCATCATTAGCGGGGTGAGCAACGAGTATCGCACTGCCAATGACGAAGGTCACACCGATGGCCAGGGAGCATTCCCAGCGAGATTTTATGCGGTCAGAGATGGCGGTATAGATCAATGTCGCAACGATAGCCACTGCGTATTTGCCAGTGGGGTAGTTGTTTTGATCGATGACACTATACCCCCGCGAGGCCATCCAGAGCTGCATGACGTTGTTGCTCAGTGACTGCACGCATAGAGAGTAGACTGCGATAGGTGACTTTAGTGTGATTGTTGTGCTGCCTGGTTTACTCGGATGACTCACGCATGAACACAGTAGGAAGCAGCCAGAATTGCCAGCTCAGGAGCACGCGGCGAAAAACTGTCAGATCCCATGCAGTCTTTCGAGACTCTCCAAGGCGCCGAATTGCGAAGTCTTTTTCCTCTTCAGTCAGGAAGCGTGCTGACTTGTGGTGTGGCAGATCAGGAATGGCGATCCAACCTAAATGGATAGTCAATATCAGTACAGGTGGGTGTCGAGCCACGAGTGGCCGGGTGTTCACTCACCAAACAGCGCGAAGGGGATTGTCATTATAGAGACTACGATAAACATCCACCGCCAAGGAGGCAATGAACCTTTACCACTAAGCGATCCAAGCAAGGCTGCTTGGATCCATCCGCCTGCCATATTACCAAGGTTGCCAAAGCCACAGAAGACGGCGGCCCGGGTCCCAAGTTCGGACTGCTTATACCAGGAGCCATAAATGAAGTGCGCCCCGACGCTGCACAAGGTCAGTGTCCATCAGTTTCCTTACGGGATAACTCAATACACAGGGCAACATACTATGCGATAGCTGAAAAGGCTCCCTCAAATCCGTTGAGCACGAAGACTTGCCACACATGGTCCACCCGGAAAGTTATGAGAGTCAAGACACTCCACACTGTATTTGCCAAAACGAAGACATATTTCGGCCGTATGATTGTTAAAGCCGCGGTCGAAGGCATCTGCATAACCGCGTAGCAGACCAGATAAATCGTGGACATGTAGTTGAAATCCTTGCCCTGAAACCCAACATCCTCCTTCATTCCGCTTATGTACGCAGTGCTGTAGCTGGCGCGGTTGATTCCGAACAGGAACCAGATGAGCGAGAAGTAGATGAGGACCGTGCTGTCCAGCTTGATGAGCAGGGACCGCTCGAGTGAGGGAGGTCCCCAGATCGCCGTCTTGAGTCCGGACAAAGCCATCGTGAAACGTGAAGATTGACGTTCACTGAGGCATCTGTTGATTTTTTCGGCGGTATCCAGTGGATAAAGTATGGAAGAGGCAGAGGCAAAGACGTCACGAAATGCCGAGACATAATGACAAAAGAGCCATCCCAGTGACTGACTACGGTGGGACCTCGGGTGTCCCGCTTATCGCGCCATCGCCGGGCTGCAATCGCGCATTGCAGCTCTATACCACATTCTCCTGCTTACACCCCAAGATTACCAGCTCGCGGGGCAGAAATGAGCTTAGCTTCATCTAGGGTTGCTTTGATCAATCAAACAAGATTGGCCAAAAAAGACATTGCAGAAAACCCTGCTAAGACTTGATTTACTGATAGACTACAGTATGTCGATTATCACCAAGGATTTATCTGAAAGAGCTGAAGCGAAGTGTGAAATCGATTTCCGAGATCAATTCCCTCACAACGTCGCCAAATCGCATGTTCATTCACATTCCCAAAAATCCTGTCACTGAATGGTAGACGGTTTTTTTTTTCTTTTCTTTTTTTTAACAGACAGCGTTTGAAAATCGCAGCTCTTCCTGCCTCCTTTTTAAACACTTTATCAAGTATGCTGGAAACCATCTACGGCGTTGCCTGGTGTGTAACGTACCGGCCGCTCCTGAATGAGTACCCGTATCGCCAAAAATTCTTTGCCAGGTCTGGCCAGCTTGGAGCACCTGAACAGTTCCGAGCCTTTGACGGCTTTGCCATTACTCTGGTTGGAGCAATTGCAATATTTTCGGGCATGCTTACAATTACCTCTCCACCTCCAGGCTGGCCTTTGTGCCTTTGTGTCATCGTAGCTTGGAGCACTGTTGGTGGCACGCTGCGGCAAGCGTACGCGTAGTATCGGCGGCAAGACGCTCGCAGCACTGTGGAAAAGCATAGCAAATAGTTCCACTATCGCTCCGTTGATGGGACCTCCTTCCTTATCTAACAAAAAAAGAGAAGCCTGTTATATGGGAACACACATCGTTCTCTCCTCCTCCATTGTCCATGTCATACGAAATTGTGAATTCTCGAGCTTGAAGATCATGTTTTTGATCCTATGCTGGCAATTTTCCACGTTGAAGAGTCATCTGCTTCGACCTCTTCATCGAGATCGAGCGTATGCCGGGTAAAATACTGGCCGATGCCCAAAGCTCGCCCTCGACAAGTGACCAAAAGCTTGAAAACAATCTCATCAGACGCCTCTACGAGTCGGACCAATCTCCTGACAACTGTATCCGCATCGCGCTTTGGCACACCTGTCTCGTACAATCCGACCTCGTCGAGGATGCAGAGAAGAATTGTATTCGGCGGGAGCTGCTTCACAAGCTCGAAGAAGACGGTGCAAATCACCTTGAGGTTGTTTTCTTCCAGCACGGCCCAATTCTCTGGTTCTAAAAAGGAGAGATCGACCGCAACGGATCGGCTCAACATGTGGCTGACGAGCTGGCCTGTGAGACTGGCCATCATGGTCGCTGCCGGGGACAGATTTTGATGCTCCCTGCCGTAGTGGCTGTGCTCGGCACAGAAATATCTCAGGGTAAGACCCTGGGTGGTCTCATTTTGCTCAGATATCTGGGCAAGTCTGGCTGCCACGAGGCTGAGAGGCGAGACGCCTTCTGCGCTAGATAGGTCTTCATTTCCATTGATGAGAAGGGCACTGGATGATGCAGTTTCTGTCATGAAATTTTTGAATGTGAGGTTATCGACGAGGGCGGCCGCTCTGGCTCTGCCTGCCTCATCCAGTGCGGCTCCAAGGCGCAGACACATCTCGGTGTCTGTCAGGACAACATCAGGGTTAAATCTAAGTATGTCGAGCAAGCCTTTCGCTCGTTCCAAGTCACCTTGGTAGTTGGGTCTCAGTCATGTCGAACGGAGCCTACTTGAAAGGAAAAAAGAAACCTCACTTACGTTCACGGTTGTCTTCCACTGGCTTCTTGTTTTTGGTTGCTTGTATGTCTTGAACGATGTAATCTGAAAACGCCCATCTTAGGTCTTATCTGCTCCCCAGAGTTGAGATAATATAGGCAAAACTTACCTTGCTGTCCAAAAATGGGGAGGAATCGAGCTTCTGAGCTGAGAAAAAGTTTATAGTACAGATTCTTCAAAATAGCGAGAGTCTGGTCCATCTTTCCGCTCGATTCACCCAGAACATCGTGTTGAAGGTGGATTGCCTGATTCAGTTCGACTATGCGTCTCTGCATGCAGATGTTGGCCTCGTTCTTGACGCGACTTGCTCGTAATTTGATGTCCTTGCAGCTCTCGAGCAGCTCGCTCTTGTAGGATGACTGCTTGAGAATTGGCTGGTAGACCTTGCCTGTAAACAATGTTGTTGAGCACTTATGCCTTGACGTGAACTGGTCACAGGAGTGCTGTATTGGACCTACTCCATGAGCTGTCCACAAAAAATTGCATGACGTGCTTCAAGGCCGTGAGGATTGACATGTAGAGCTCGAAGGTCTTTTTCTCTAGAAGCTGGTCTCGATATTTGCCGTATATCTCGATGTAACGTTTGGCGTCATCCAGTACCTCAGGAATTTCAGCTAATGTTTCGAGGATGATGGCTTCAACCTTTGAGAAGGCACCAGCAGCCTGAATAAGGTCAGTCATTTCTCCGTCTTGTTTACCAGAGCCATTGAAACCCCGCCGTCGAAGAAAATGCGTGTGAGACTGTAACGCACCCCGACCGCAATTGTAAAAATACCACATATGCTGAGTGTGAAGTTAGCGTTAATTCACGTCCGAGTCAAGTCCAGATGTGCAACTAATTAGCACTTACATACCTGGAACCATAATCACCTGCCGGTAGCAGCTCGAGCCAGGACTTGAAGGCATCTGAGTTTTGTCCGAGTTTTTCCAGATATATCATCATCTTTGACGATTTCTTGGGGCTCGTTGACCATCGTGTCGCCAATGACTGAACTTCTCCCATGACTTGCTCCCACGTGCACTGTCGCAAGTTTAGACTTGTTTGCTGCTGCTGGGTGCTGGAGCTTTTTCTGTCCATCTTCGCGCGGACCTGGACTATTAAAGCAAAAAGCTGGTTGATCTCCTCGTCGGCTTCCTTCCACATTTCAACACTGGAAGTTTTACATTAGGCTCACTTTTGTAAGTTACGGACAGCTTCACGTGCTAGGAATGACCTAACTTGATTTTATCCTGCGTCCTGGCCTCCGCTGTAGACCCAAGGCGGCCGAGGCCTTCTATGTATACAGATGCCGGGCCACCGAGTGTACCACGCACAGGGTCGTTGGTCTCCATGAATACTGCTGCATTTGTTGGAGGTGCGCGAGGACGGCGCATAATGAAGTCTTGCCGTTCAAAATCTTGTTGCGAATCCATTTCCCTGGTCTTCACAGGGCTGCGCAAACAACTTTGTCGATCAACCATTAAGCCTTGTTTCGAACCAGGACGCGCTCTGACGAGCAGCCCGGCGACTCTGTCCCGTCGATTCTACAAGTAACTGCCTCGGGGGCTTTGGTAAGCTGCATCTGCAGTCATGCTGACCGTGCTAACTGGATGTGGATAAATTGCGCAGGATGTGGAGGCTTGCCTGCACCAGCATATTTGCAGATTTCGGTGAGTCTTTTACCAATAGATCAGCGTTGTCATACCACACCTCTTCAATCCCGTGCATGTGGCTAGCACGGCAAATGGGGTCGACATTGATGAGCACCTTGCTAGTCCTGAGGCTCTCCATATTCCTCCTACCTTGTCAGAGTCTCTCTGCAACCACATTCAAGAGCAGAAATCAGAGACTGAATTACAACAACTGTATTTTGCATCGAGACCAAAGAACCCATCATCTGGCTTGGTCAGCATATTGTGCCACAGTTTAGAGCCTCGGCGAGTCTCAATCCATAGGTTGTTACCATTTCACAAATGAACCCTGAAGCCGCGGATATGGGGTTAGACGCCTCAGAGCAGCCTGACCAGACGTCGTCTCCGTGCGCGTATCCACCCTTTTACGGGCCCGAAATCAGCTCTACTGGTCATCTAGTACCTGGAGACTTGGCAATAACTTCTAACGAGACACAACATACAACTCCGGTCGATATGGTTGATGCCGCCGCCGTGGACTTGCTGAAGGGTGCGGTTGAGGATGGACCAGGCGAGGACTTGTCTGCTGCCAAGTTAAAAGTTTGAAATACCACTCTATCTTGTAGTCCGATACTTATGGACACATAGCTGACTGCTAGACATAAGGCCCAAACCGCTCAGTATGACGGCTTATCCCTTCGACTTCTTGAGGACGAGAAGAAAACCGGCGATCTGGGCCGACGATCAAAACAGGCGGTTCTGCATTTGACCTTCACAGAGATGAGAATCACGCAAATGGAACAGCAGATTCGGAAACTAGAAGCTGAACTTCACAACAAACCAGATGACTTTCAGCTCAGCGTGGTGAGACGGCAGGCTCCTGTATATAAATGGTCCATCAAGCGATCCTTACATGGCGAATTCTCCCTGACACGTCAGTCAATGGAGATTCCTTTTCACGAAAAAGCATCCCTGGAAGTTCTTGTCACAGAGCATGGCACATCAGCGATGCTTGGTTCAGATCACTATGACGCCGGCCACTCGACCAGAATTTGCCAGCGGACGCATCAACAGACACCGGAAAGGCTGCGGATACGATACGCTCCACTTATAAAGACACTCGAGAAAGTCTGCGGGGAAACAATTTCCAATCAATTCATCTGGCCCAGTGATAGTCGAACCGCGCTCATGTCGGGAGTCCGAACTGGAGGTGCTGCGACCATACTTTTGAGACCATGGAAGCTCTTAGTCACTTACGAAAAGGAAATTCGGGCCAGCATTCACAACATCGATACTTTCGTAGAACCAGCCCGACGAGAAGATGTGAGCGGTGGAGTGGCCGAGATCGGGTTGGTGGAAGATTGTGAGTACTATCTTTCGTAATTCGTCATTGTGAACCTTCACGCACCGCCCGGCCGGGAGGGTTTCGCTCCATTGCCGTCCTGACACTTTGCTTCGGCTTCAGTCGAATACAGGCGCGAAGATCTACTACGGGAACTGGAATTGCTTGAGGAGTTTCTCGACGTGGACCTCAAGCCCACTTTCGATCTACGTAGAGCAATCAAAGAAGGCACAGCGACTGAAATCGAATACGGTGACCTGTGGCATCTATTTGAACTCGGGGATACGGTCATCAGCCCCAATGAAAAGACCCAGGCCTTTCGAGTGGTCAACTTCACCGGCGGGAGGGAAATTTTGACACGGAATATACTATATGACGATGAAACTCAAGCAAAACCACTAATGGGTGTGGGCGGGTTTGCGGTGGATTGCTGCAGCTTATGTTTCGACGGGACAGAGTACGTGCCAAAATTGGAGAAGTTCTTGATCCGGAAATACCATGGTCGCAGGCCTATCACGTCTCTGGAAATATTCCCGCTCAGGTTCGACCAAGATTGGGAAGTTCGTTACCGCGAACTCGAGACCCAGGGGCAGAAATACTTGAGCTTAACGCGTTTACCGTTCTCTCATCACATGTTTCGGGGCAGAACAATAGACGAGCCACCTCAGCAACTCGATACTCAAGTCATCGTGGATGTTACCTTGGCTATCAATAACGAGCCCGATTGGCAGCTCGGCAGCAGAGTCTCAGTTGAAGACTTTACCCAGATCGACGAACGTGAGACACATATGCCGCCATTTTGTCACCACGGGACTCATAACGAAGGTCATTGTGGATCAGACTTTGTCTTCAAAGACTTGACTATGAAGCACTCTGGGATCAGTCCTTCAGACTCGGATCTCAGTGGGTTCCTCCGGCCTCGGAGAGCTGAAGAATTGAAGCAAGAGGATATTATATTGCTCCCAGAGTGGGTGCATGCTTTCGTGTTACGCAGTCGCCAGTGGGTCACATTGAATACTAGGGACCTTTCCGAGGTGCGTTTTGACAACAATTTTGACGAACTTATGTTCTCTTCCAGTCACAAGCAGACCATAGTGGCTCTTGTAGAAACCCGCGAGAACGCGAGGACAAGTCCTACACAAGGTCCTCGCTCGGTCGGCCCTGCACTGGACTTGGTGAAAGGGAAGGGAGCTGGACTCATTATTCTGCTGCACGGCGAACCAGGTGAGACACACGCCACTTTTGACACCTTTGTACTCTATTTCTGGGGCATTCAAATATGCTAATGTATTCGCAGGAGTTGGGAAGACGTCGACGGCTGAGTGCGTGGCCGACAAGACCAAGAGGCCACTGTTTCCCATTACCTGCGGTGATATTGGAGAGTCAGCCATGGAGGTTGAAAAGAACCTTCATCATAATTTCCGCCTGGCCTACAAATGGGGTTGCGTCCTCCTGCTCGATGAAGCGGACGTCTTCCTTGCTAAACGGAACAAGACTGACCTCAGGCGCAACGCTGTCACTAGTGTATTCCTCCGCAGTCTAGAATACTATGCCGGCATCCTGTTTTTAACAACCAACCGCGTGGGTGGCATCGATCCAGCGTTCAAATCGCGTATCCAGTTGAGTTTGTATTATCCGCGAATCGATCTCGAAACAACTGTGAAATTGTATGGAGTTTTCCTTCAGCGAGCTCGCGATGAGCAGACAAGAATCGGAGTCACACATTTCAAAATCAAGGAGAAGGCGATCCTGAGGTTTGCGGCGCGCCACTACCGACGTCTTCAGAAGGAGGGGTACAATACTTGGAATGGAAGGTCAGTACTATTGCTAAACATTTTCTTATTTTCTCGCCATCCCAGATATTTGTTTTGACAAACCCATAAGGCAAATACGGAACGCCTGCCAGACAGCCATCGCACTTGTGGAGCACGAGGCCGCCCATTTGGAAGACGGCCAGCCAATACCTGTGCTGGGAAGGCAACATTTCGAGACTGTAGCCGAAGGGTCGAAAGAATTCGACCATTATCTTAAGAGGACTCTCCAAGGCGGAGACGACGAAATTGCCATGAGGGACCAATGGCGGAATGATCACTACCTGGAGGCCGATATCAAGCGGCCTTCATCGTTGAAGCCCTTGCCTAAAGTATCTTCTTCGCGCACTGCACCCCCACCCCCCATTGTGACGGACTCAGAGAGTGAAAGCAGCGATGGCTCGGAGACTGATGATAAGGATGACGAGGACGTCAACATTAAGCCTATGGCTGAAGGAGGTATCGCTCACTTGGACGCTGGAGCGGATGTGAGCGATGATGAGATTAGCAGTGCTGACTTCAAGGAATACCTAAAGTTCAAGGCCCTTATGGGGAAGAACAAAAAGAAATAGTGCCATCATCTGGACGAGGTCATGGGGATCAGACAGTCATTTCAGCTCATTTCCAAGTCGGTTGAAGTATGCTACCACGTGCTTCAAGAATGGTGAACCTTGCGGGTTGATTACGAGCATGTGGAGGATTGCAGAGTGACAAGAAAAATTCTCACTGCCTTTGGTACTTTCTTCACTTTGTTTATGGCGTCCTGGTATCATTATTCTTTACCCTCTCGTCTCAGCTGGGGATTCGAACTTAAGTAGGGAACGTGAAGACGGGAAGAGAATACAAGTTGAGCCTTTGCCATCTCTTCATGTTGAATTTAGGCGATGTCGCTAGAAAACCTGGGGTTTAACGCCCAAGCTCAGTTTTGCTATTGTTAAGAAGCATCGTTTTCACGTCTATACACACATACAGCGTAATCAGGTGTGTAGTCGAACCAGTGCCTCGAATGAATTTAAGCTGCAATTCACGCAGGCATCTCTTCTTAAGTATTGCTCTCATTCGAATTGTGCAACGCAACAGCCCAAGCAGTGCGTGGCGCAATTTGTTCCCTAATCCAAATCCCAGCACTGCAGGTGCAAAGGCATGGGGCTGAATCCTTCAGGAGTCTGGCAATTGGTCGGTGCAGGGCTCGGAGATAGGGGCTCGCACCTCGGCTCAGATAACCGATATCTGGAGAGGGAGCATTAGTAGATGCCTAATGCCACCTATTGATTTGCTTGCTTCACATCGCTTAGGATACGATCAAAATCGTAGTTTCGATCACAGAGGTCTCATCAAATCTTCAATCGAACTAACCACCCTCTGCACATACTGGTCCCATTACCATTCTGAACTACCAAACGGACAAGCCAAAGATATCGCAGTAGGCTCTCTTGACCCCATACTTCCCAGGCTGAGAAGTCAGTCTGTAACGAGAATAATGGCGAATAACACTGTCTCAGATGCGGCTCAGACCGACGAGAAGCAGCTGGAAAGCACCACGCAACAGGGATCAGGCAACGCTAGCCTTGAGGCGAACCAAGATCCAAGTGTTGCGCCCACGGACGATGATGATTACCCAGAAGGAGGCGCGCAGGCATGGCTTGCGATCGTGGGCTCCTTCTTGGTCTACTTCGCGTCCTTCGGCGTCGTCAACAGTTTCGGTTTCTTCCAGACCTTCTACCAGCAAGAATACCTGAAGAAATACCCGCCGTCGGTTATCTCGTTCATCGGCACACTGCAAATTACTTTGATGTATCTGTCAGGGTCGGTCGCGGGCGCCTTATTTGATCTCTACGGTTCCAAGGCATGTGAAATTTGATGTTCCGTGCTACATGATTTTGCGACATTGGCTGACTCAAGATATCCCACCAGTGGCTCTACTTGTTCGCAGCTATCGGAGGCGCTGGCTCGATGCTCGCTACGTCTTTCGCGCAACCGAACGCGATCTGGCAGCAGTTCCTGGCACAGTCTCTCCTCTTTGGTCTCACCGTGGCGTATGGAGTGCAGGTGAGTAGTTCAGTGTCCTCGCAAGACTTGCAATAGCCCATCGTATCCGAAACGGAGCCCTGCCCGCTCCCTCCTTCAGCTCGGCCGCTTCAACATGCTGTCCTGTCAAGACGCGACAGTGCATTGAAAATCGGAGATCTTGATCTCCACCGCGCCCAAGAGATGACGAGTCTTCCAAAATGTATGGTATGCTAACATCGACGGCTCAGCCTGCTCTCACTGTCGCAGGCCAGTACTTTAAGCGCAAACGTGCCTTAGCCATGGGCATAGTTGCTTCTGGAAGCAGTATTGGAGGCGTTTGCTTGCCAATTATGTTCTCGAAGCTCATCCCAGCGATAGGGTTTCCGTGGGCGCTGCGTGTCGGCGCACTGATCCTGCTAGTCTGCTATGCAATAGCCATGGCCATCTGCCAGCCTGCACGGCCCAAGAGGAAGCTGGTATCGCTGCGACATCTTTTCGACTACAAGGGCTTCGTGGACATCCGCTTTGCGTGCCTCTCTGCTGGAGCAGTCATCTCAAGCCTTGGGATCTATGTTCCCTTCTACTACATAGGTAAGTCCTAATTATACATGAGTGCGAATTGTACCAGATCTGACTATGTGGAGCAGAGTCTTACTGTGTGGCCCTCGATGTCAGCACGGAGCTCAATGCTTATTTACTACCGCTGATCAATGCTTCAAGCCTCCTCGGCCGGATCAGGTATGCCACAAGCTCTCTGGCTCTTTCAACCTACCGAATCAAGCTGACTTCATCAGTGGAGGATATGCAGCAGACCGCCTCGGACGACTCAATGTGCTCTATCCTATGACAACCCTCTGTGGTGTACTTTGCTTAGCTATGTGGCTCCCTGCAAAGACACCGGGGGTTCTCGTTGGTTTTGCATGTATATATGGATTCGCTTCGGGCATTTTTATCTCCGTAATGCCCGCTGCTACGGGACAAATCACGCCTACGGAGAAGCTGGGAGCTAGGCTTGGGGCTTTCGGAAGTGTGACTGCGGTGGCTTTCTTGACAGGGACTCCGATTGCAGGAGCTCTGATTCGCAGCGAGACTAAAGAAGGTTATGAGCCTTTGATTATATTTGCCGTGAGTTTTTAAATACTGTCATTCGACTTGAACTCGGCACTAATTTCTCGGATACAGGGCCTTTGTCTTATGATAGGTGGGATTATTATCTTTGTCGCCCGTCTATTTCACGACAAAGACCTGAGGACCAAGTGGTGAAGACAGTCATTCATGGTCTCCGCAACCTGGCGTTGACAGGTCCTTCAGATATCTGCGGGTGGGAATGGGGAGGAGGGGGTCCATCATGTTGGCTCCTATGTCTCACGTTGACCTGATTGACGGGAGATACCCGCAACCGAAAGCCTTGTAACTGGGTCTGCAGTGGATATGCAGGTTGGCTGCAGGCCCACGGATAGGAAGATGGTCTGCAGATCATCACATCTGGGCATGCTAATTGTGTACTTAAACAGACATGCCATTTGTATTCCTAGCTTTGAGGGATGACGATGTAGTGCACTAAAGCCTCTCAGACATGGATATAGGGACTGAGTGGACTTTTTACATCTTAGCAAAGTTGACTGCATGCTCATACTACCCAGCTTCCTCACATTCCAAGAAGTGCAACGCGACGAGGCGACAGTTCGAGTTGTCTCTGTCTGAGCACGAAGGTATGTGAAGCTTTATTTGATGAGTTGGCATGTGCATTGTAATAATTCCTATCACACTTACTTCACAGCTTAATGTAAGGAGTGGCTTTATTGTCATAGATCTGTTCGACTGGGCTTGCAGCGACGGCAGTTACTGATGCAGATGGAGGCCACCTGGCATAGTAGCCAATCCTGAACATCCTCTATACACAGTACTAGGGTAAGTATCATCACAGAAGTGATTCACAATCACAAGGACTCATAACATAGTCACGGGAACTCGACCTGGAAAGGAAAGGCGGGCAATCATATATAGGGCTTTGGGAGCGACTGCACTTCAAGTTATGATCAGAAATGCTTTGCCGGGCAGTGACTTGGGCACAGCCCATGGATTGGGCTGAGCTGTCTGCGTTGATGCATAAGCAGTACAGCATGTATTGGCGTTACTACAATTACCTCACCAAACACTGGTATCATTGTCATGGGTTTCCTATGGTCTACGCTAATTATAAAAGCATGCTTCTATCGTCTTCTCTCTATGTAGAAAAAGACTCGACGCAGTACATCGCGTAGTTCTGGCTTTGAGACATGGTTTTGGGTGTTTATACAGAAGTGGCTAGGTGAGGCAGACTATGCAAATGAAGCCAAGGTGGACTTCCTACGATTACACAGCAGCATGACTGCATAGGTAGTTGCATATGTCACCCCCAATCACACCATGCCCGTTGTTTTTTAAGTTTTCACAGGTGTTCGCAGGCAGCAAGCCTCATTTTCTGGGCAGGAGGGGTCGTCTTCTTCCACTTCTGACGTCCCCAGGCTGCATCTGGCTTTTCCACCTGCACATCCGGGGTCCTTGAAAGGCCGGTATTGCTCGTTACTAACTAGATACTGTTGTTAACGCCTGGCTTATAAACGATCACATGTGTTTTCCGCCACCACTCGCGCACGTTGAGAATGGAGCGAATGTCGAAACAGCTCGTCTTATCAACCCAGAGCGGTCGCTTGAAGCCAGATGTGCGATTGGGGTTTGCAGTCTCGGAATTCGCCCAGACCCTAGATGACGATCGGAAAAGAGAATTCCAGAAGATGCAATCGGCCGGGACACAGCTGTCTGGACGGGATGCTATACGTTTGACCGAAGAATTGAACCAAGATAGCGAACGAAGACACTGCACCTGGCGACCGTACGGTACAAAATGTGGGAAATTCCTGGATCGACTTCAGGCTCTGGCGAACATCGGGGATGTAATGATTGGAGGCTCTCAGAATGTGATCGCCACGAGTATTTGGTGCGCTGTCAGGCTGGCTCTGCAGGTTTGCAAACACTCGAAAGTCCGTCACAAGCAAATTTTAATAGCTGACCTTCAGACCGCCACGAATTTTCGCGGCTACTTTGAGCGACTTTCGAGCCTGTTCTTGAAACTCGGCACCTCTTGGGAGCTTCATCACGAATTCGCCCAGATTTTCCCCCAGTCCGAAGTCCTTCAGACCTTCCTATGCGAATACCTTATAGTCCTCATGCGACTGTGCCGAAAGACTGTCATATTCAGTCAAAAACCTCTTACGGGCCAGCTGTGGTCATCACTCGGAGCATCTTTCGATTCCGAGTTCAAACCATTACAGGAAGAGATGGACAAGTGGGGCATGATGATTCAACATAAAACCCAACAGCTCGCCACCGCGTGCGTAGTCGATGCTGATAAGTTCAGAAGGAGGGATTATAAACAGCGCGTGCTCCATCTCCTCTCACCAAATCAATCCCAGCATGTCACCACTTGGAGGCGACACCGGCGGAAGGGAGATTGCAAGTGGATATATCAATCCGCGGCCTACAAGTCTTGGATAGCGGAAGACGCGTCTTCTACCATGTGCGTCAGTGGCAAACTTGGCAGCGGCAAGACAGTTACGATGGCCAATATTGTGGCTGAAATAAGTATGCACCTGCCTTGCGGCTTTTTCTTTTGCACCTTCAAGGAGCCAGAGAGCCTAAAGGCCACAACTGTGCTAGGAAGCATAGCATTTCACCTTCTGGACAATATACCAAGCAACAAAGCCACTTGGGACATCCTCTCAAAACGAGAGGAGACTGCTTCGCTATTGCTCACAAGCATTGGGATCATCAACATCATGACAGACCTTCTTCCAGAAGACAAAAAGTATGTCGTGGTTTTGGATGGGCTCGAGGACTGTCCCAATGATGAGATGATCGAGGTTATGTCGGGCCTGCACCGCTTCATGGCACAACGCAGTGTTCTATTGTGCTATGCTGCTCGCTCAGGATCAATGCTCCAACGTCTAACAGTCCAGAAATTAGCTACGAAGTTTTTTCTAAGCCTCGATGAGCAGATGCATCACGAGGAGATAGAAGCGTATATCACCGAAGAGGTAGCGCGGCGGAGATCCAAAAGCCATCCTGGACTCCTCAGCGATGATCTTGAACAGTTGGTCAAGAAACAGCTTATGGCTGGTGCGCAGGGAATGTAAGGAGAATCTCGTGTCCAATTTCCAGAATTGGAAAACATGTACTGAGATATATTTCTATAGGTACTTGTGGGTAGCCCTGCAGCTCGACTCGATCTTCCCCAACCAGTCACGGACAGTGGTTACGAGCGAGAGGATCTTGAACTTGATCAATAATCTTCCAAAAGACCTACCCGAAGCCTTCGAGAGAGCTCTTGAGGAGATCGTCGATGATCGCTATGGAAACTCAATTTTGAAGATCGTTATGGCTGCTCGGTTGCCACTTACCCTCGACGAGCTCAAAGTGGCCCTAACTGTGCACCCTGGAGATCCAGTCTGGTATGCAGCCGAAGTTCCAACAGACGCACCTCAGCTGATTGCACTTTGTGGCGGCAACCTGCTAGAGCTAGACGAAGAGGACGGAAGAGTTCGATTCATACACTACAGTGTGGTCAATCACTTGCTCCAGACAACTAAAAACCCTCACACCATTCTCTATCACTTCTCCACGCAAGAAGCTGAGATCCTAGCAGGTGCCATTTGTGTTACATTCTTAAATATGCCTATTTTCGAAACGGGTATCACAGTGACTAGAAAAATTACCGGAGAGAAACTCACTGAAAAGGTGATAGGGGCAGCAAACCACCAGCAGCCCTTTCTATCACACATTGTACAACATTTCAAGAAGGGCCACCGCCAGTCAATGTCAACCGCTTTCGACATCGGACGCTTGATGGCGGAGATACAAGCAGCCGGCATGGCAAAATTCGACCCACGCTGCTTTCAGGTCTATGCCTCGTCGAATTGGCTGACCCATTCCCAATTCTTTGAGAAGAGCAATCCGGTGTGTATGGAGATTTGGCCCCACTGGACGAGGTTGCTGTGTGGTGAAGTACAAGTGGCTACCACTCCTTTCCAAAACCCTGTGGAAGAGCCTTGGCCAGCGTTGTCTTGGGCGCTCATGAATCATCACAACCCCCTGTTTCACACAATTCTCGAAAACCCAACTACTGAGCCACACAAGAGTGAGACACTATCACTGGGGATCATCGCTCTCACCTCTCCATCCTCTGAAGAGACGTACGACCGCTTCTGTCTGGGCCTCCTCCTGGCCCATTCCCTTCAGTTAGCTGTTGACTTTTTGCATCACGGGTCGAACAATGAGGAAAGCTCCGGCACCACAGGAAACGTCGTTGTTTCAAATTCCCTACGGCGGCCCTGGCAGTTGAAGTATCAAGCTCTAATGGATCTTCTGCGCTTGGGAGCAGATCCTGCGGTTCCTCATTCTAGAAATGGAGACAACATTGTCAAGATGCTGCTCACAACGCTTGGCCGCATCTCCGAGAAAACGACGGAAGGGTCTCAGCTGCTTGATTTCCTTAAGCGGGTCTTGGCACATGAGAACGCGGCACAATTGCTTCAGTCTGCTTGGGTACCATACTTGCTCCGAGGGATTCTTGAGAACGACAATTTTCAGGCCTTTTCGCAAATTATGCTATACCGCCCAAAGGTATCGCTACCAGCCCACGAAGATTCGCTCATCAGTGTTTTGGTTGCCAGAGGCAATGCTGAAGCAGTCAGAGATTTGCTTAAGGGTTGGCCGGATCAACGTCTTCCCTCTTATATACATGGTAGAGTAGCGATACACCTGGCGCTCGAGACTCAGAAATACGACATGCTGGTACTCTTTGCCCAACATCAGGGCCTGGATCGTCCTTACAAAGACGGATGCTCATCAGTGCCTCTTCTAGAGACAGCGCTCGAGCGCATGACCGCGGATTGGGTCGAAAACCTGCTTCAGCTGGGTGCTGACCCAAATCTCGGCTACTGGGTCGTTATCACAGATTCAATCCTCAAACCTGGATTTCTCTACCACTTGCAAATTGCTGCAGCGAGAAACCAGACCCGCAAATTTTTAATTCTCGTTCGCTATCACGCGGATACTTCCCTACCTGCTTTCCCCACCATCAGCAACATCGTTGCCCAACGTGGCAACCGAGTACTCATGGCCAAGCTGAAGGAGAAAGGATCCTTTGAGCCATCTGGGGCTTTGCTTGAACGAGCTGGGAACGATGTACACCCAAATGCACTCCTCGAGGCGTGTCAGATACTTGCCGAGGATATGGGTGAAGATCAAACCTTCGAGGAATTTGGATTAGGCGAGTCGTTTGATATCAGGATAGCCGACAAGCCAGAAGAATTGAAGCTTATTATCCTGGAACTTGTCAAGACAACTCCATCTGCTTGGCATGACGCCCGTTGTCGAAAGGGAAACACTGCACTGCACTATCTCACAGGTGGCATGAAAATTTTCCATCGCCAAGCACTCGACGTTGCTTCTCACCTTATGACTGTCGAACGGATGAAGTCCTGGGTTTCGTTTATTAACGAGGAAGGTCAGACGCCATTGCATTATGCGATTGAGAATGGGTCTCTAAACGGCTGGTCTCTGCCATACCTCGACAGCATTTGCTTTCTTTTAGCCGATGTTAGACCAGAAGTTGGCTCCGCCGGGTCATTAAGCGGAGGGGACCGCAACGTCCTCGCATTTGCCATTCGGAGACTGGCACCAGTCAAAGCTGTCATCATTCCCCTCCTCAGCGCGGGAATAGATCCGAATGCAACCCTGGACGGCGCCACGCCGCTTGAGATCGCGGTGAATACACATTCTTTCGAATACGCGTCCACTGTAACAGTGTGCCTCTTATCACGTGGCGTTGATCCGTCAGTGAAGTGCTCACATGAAGGCAACATACTGGACATTGTGTTCGCGGACAGGCGACAGTGGCTGCAAGACATGCTCTCAAGGTATTCTTTTCAGGCCAAATAGACAACCCCCATCCCGGATGGCCCTCATGCAAGCACATGAATCTACCAAACACGGCCCTAGAGGGAGGCGACATGTACGGATTGGAGGATGCAAGCGCACGAAGGCCAAGGAACCTCTCGACAAAGAGATTTTCTAGCCCAGTGTCCCAGGCACATACGCCAGAACATTGGGTCCGGACACGAGGTCCGTCTCCAGCGCGAAGCGATACCAGCACGAGAGCTGTGTACAGTGAGATGAGCATAAGTCTATGGACGTAATTGGGCTCGTCTTGTGAGCTTTAGGCGTTGGCGGGCCACGAGTAAAGGATGGAAATCAGAGCTTATATGGCCGAGAGGGAATCACGAATACCCCAAATTGACTATCGATCGATCCTATACAGTTCATAGAAGCATTATTTGGGAGAAAATTCGCTGTGCAAAGACGGTGCTGAAACGGATCTCTCCTGCGTTATATAATCCTGAAGGAAGAAGTCTCCTAGCTTGTTGATCTCATGATCATCGGCCCTTTCAAAGAAAATGAACCTATTTTGATGACTTCTGGGGCAGCCTCTTCATGCGCTCTTGCGTTTGTTATACCTTTCGTAGGTCTGAGTGTAATAATTCTGCACCACTTGCACAGACCCTAGTTCGGCTGCAGCCACTTCCGCCGCGAGAAGCCCGTTGCGAAGCAATTAATAAGGCGATGGCGATGGGGTGCCGTCTCTGTGAGAATATGATCCGGATAGAAGTATTTTCTCCACATATTTTGTCAGGAACTTCGCAAGTCCTTCGTCGCTACACTTCTTCAACCCTGCGCATTGATTTCACTGAAGAAACGGTTGAATTGATCCTCTTTCACTCGTTTTAAAACGCAGCAGGTAGAAAACCACTACTACTTCCATTAATTGGCTTGCTGCTCGCCCATTGACCTGGCTTGCAACTTCAAGTAAGCCAGGTCTTGGATGGGGTACCCGCCACGGGAGGCTTTTCTGCAACACCCGGGCCTTGGTAAGCTAATCCAGAATCTCACACCGCGCTCCATTAAAAGGGCGTTGGCCATGGGATATGGAGTCTGCTGCAAAAGTTCCTCGATTACATCGAGAAATAAACAAAGTAACTATGCACCTTGGTATCGTCGACCGATTTGGCTTATTTTGCCCGTCGCTGGCCGCCCCAATGCAACCTATGCTTACCTTCTGTGCCTTCTGTCAGGGATGACTTGCATGCAGGCTCCTGCTCGTACACTATACCGGATATGGTGGGATAGACATGTTTACTTGCCTGCCTGCATGATGCCACAGTATGGGAAACTTTTCGGCAATTTCTCGTTTTGGTCTCCGAGAGCTTACTCTGCCAATTGCAATTCAACAAACCAAATCAACACCGTTGATCAACTTTCGACTCTCTGAATTGCCCTCTGCGCAGGCCATCGAAGTTTCACCTCTGAGATTATCACGCATAAAACAGAACCTAGCATACAACCTCCAATTGAAGCTGTGCATTTTTCTAAATTGCTATCCTTCGTGAGCAGCTAGGGCTGCTGCTGCTGCCTACTTAAGTACACCGCTATGGATTCTGAGAAGGGCGGAAACAATGTCGACCTGGCGGACAAGAGTGACAATGTAGTGACAAAGATATCGTCCGGTGGCGAAGCTCAAGACTCTATTGTTTACCCCAACGTCTTCTGGACCTCATGCGTGTCTTTCGGTGTGGCCTTAGGTCTCTTTCTGGTAAACCACCGACGAGTCCCTTCCCATCTCGACCGACGATGCTAATAAGACTATCTCAGGTCGGCCTGGACATGGTAAGCGCGCCAATACGTCCTCATTCATCTGTATTGGCTCCTTGCTGGGCTTAAGGCTCCGGGGTACCTGCCTCATAAGCTCTCCTGACCGCTCATCTAGACAATCATCGCAACCGCTATTCCTAAGATTACGGAGGAATTCCCGGGTGTCAATCTCATCGGCTGGTACTCGTCAGCTTTTTTCATCTCCCTGGCTTGCACTCAGCCGTTCTGGTATGGTCCTGCTGTTCCTACTCTATATATAAACGTGCTAGCAACCGTCATACTTATGCCATGCTAAGTCGAAATCTTTAGGGGCAAGGTATATCCCTTCTTTTCCATCAAATACACCTTCCTGCTGGTCGTTTTCATCTTCGGCGTGGGAGCACTGATCGGCGGTAAGCAACCCTGCGCGTGTCAACTCTCAGGTGGAATTGCTAATCCGCCACTGTCATCATCGCAGGCCTCGCACCCAACAGCACAGTCCTCATCCTCGGGCGCGCCATCCTAGGCGCCAGCGCAGCCGGGATCGCCGCAGGCGGGTACGCGATACTGGGCGTCACCGTCCGGCCTGGTCTCCGGCCCGTGTTCACAGGCCTGATCAACACGGTCTACAGCCTCGCCAGCGTCCTGGGCCCCATTCTCGGCGGCGCCTTCACGCAGCATTCGACGTGGCGATGGTGCTTCTTCGTGAACCTCCCCGTCGCCGGCGTCTCCGCCCTTGTGATATTACTGCTGTTCCACCCCCCGCCCGCCAGCTCCCGGTCCAAGGTCCCACTCAAGGTGAAGATGTCGCATATGGACCCTGTCGGCATTCTCCTCGTGCTCGGTTCGCTGGTGTGCTTTACTCGTGCGGTCGAGGTGGCTGGCATCCATCAGCCGTGGGGTTCGGGTGAAGTCATCGGCCTCTTTGTTGGCTCTGGCATCGCCGCTGTAGCCTTCGTGGTATCCCAGTATCTACAAGGGGATCATGCTCTGCTCGTATCGCGCCTCGTGAGACAACGCGGCGTGTATGTGAGCATGGGCTATGGTTTCTTCCACGAGGGCGCCTTCGTCCTCCTGCTGTACTACATTCCCATCTACTTCCAGGTCGTCGACGGGATTTCTCCCACCGAGGCGGGCTTCCGCAATCTCCCCATGCTCATCAGCTGCGGCATCGGTTCGGCCTTGACTGGCCTTCTGGTATCTCGCTCCGGCTACTACACACCGTTCATGGTGTGGGCCAGCGCCGGCGGGTGTATCGGGGCCGGCCTTATATATACCCTCGACGAGACCTCGCCCCCAGCAAAGTGGATAGGATACCAGGTTCTGGCCGGGCTCGCTTTCGGAAGCGGGTTGCCGCTTGGCATTATATCAGGCCAGGCGAATGCCGAGCAGGAAGACATACCTTCTAGGACAGCCATGCTTCTGTGTAAGTTTTTCGGACTCTCTTCTAAGGTTTCCACTTGTCAAGAGCACTAACCACTGACACACTCTATACGATCCTACCAGTCTCCTTTTGCGTTGGTAGCTCAACCTCTTTGGGAACCGGGCAATCCGTCTTCAGCAACCTGATTCTGACCAGGCTTCCTGCTCTTGCCCCTGGCGTGGATCCCATCACAGTGATCAACACGGGTGCCACCGACATTCGCAACGTCTTTCCTGCCGATGCTGTGCCAGGCATCGTACAGACTTACTTGTACGCCCTGCGTGCTGTCTTCACCGTAGTCACAGCATATGCCGGCGTTGCGGTTATGTTCGCTATCAGTAGCAGATGGGAACGATTAAATCTGAAGGGGTGAGGTGGTGAGAAGATCATATAAAGGACCTAGTGGTGAAAGACAACTCCCTCTCTTGTATTAAGGGAGAAAAGTCATAGATGTACCGGTGTACATACAAGAGCCAATCCCATGTTACGCATTATCAGGTATAAAGAAGTAGTCACATCAACGTGGTAAGGGACAGAGCATCTGGCGCCCAGAGGCGCTTGGGGTATCTCGTAAAATTCTTAGCGTCGAAAGCGACTTCTTGCGCCCACTCATTTGAAGCTGACGGGCTTCTTGGTCCGTCGTGATGATCGCCTGGTTGGCGTCGGTGCCTCGAGCACGGGCGCAGGCGCAGGCGCAGGCGCAGGCGCAGGCGCAGGCGTTGGCTCTTCCTCCTTTTCCTCCGCGACAGCAGCGCCGCCATCCTCGGCATCCTCAGCCTCTGGGGCGGCATCATCCTCGCCTGCATCATCCTCATCCTCGTCTCCGTCCTCGTCCGGAGCCTCCGAGTCCTCGTCATCGGAGATCTCAGGCTCGCTGTCGTCGCTGAAACCACCAAACTCCTCGTCATCGTCGTCCTCTGGACTGCTGTCCTCCTCCACGGCTTTCTCTGTCGCCTCCCGAGACTCCCTCTTGCGCTTCTTGAGCACCTTCTCTGGCGCCTTTTGCTCGCCCTCGTTCGCATCACCCTCTTTGTCGTCTCCTGCGACTGGTGGTGGCACAAACCAGGGTATCCGTCCGCGCACTGATATCAAAATTAGCATGGTCGTCTCCTAATCAATTAGCCTGAGGGGGTCGCTTACTGAAATCGTTGAGTACCATCTTTGCTACACCATCCACATCGGGTTCGCCACCTTTCAGCAGTCGCCCTCCTTTTCTGGCGAGAAGTTCTAGGAACAGAATGTGGTCATCGTTCCAGTCACTCAGGTCATATGTCTTCGACATGTGGTGCTTCTTCACCCGTTTCAACACAGCAGGTATGTACTGCTCGGGATGCTCTACTTTCTCCACCCGCACCACGCCTCGCAAAAGCAGCTCAGTCGGCGCATCATGGTGGTTTTGTGGCACAATACCAGGACAGTCGATCAAGTATATCCTCTTCATCAAGGTGACGTACTGCCAGACCTTTGTCTCACCGGGAATGGGAGCTACTGTGGCGACCTTCTTGCCTCTGAGGGTGTTGATGATCGAGGACTTGCCGGTATTAGGGTAGCCAATCAGGCCAACTGAAACTTGTTTCCTGTCGGAATGGAGCTTGGAAAATTGCCGAAGGAGGTTGATTAATGATCCCTTGCCAAAGGGGTTGTTTATGGAGGCCCTGAAGGCGGCTGTGGGATATTCCTTCTGCAGGTATTTCACCCATTGGGCCTGTTCGTTGTTAGTCAGCAACAGCATCAGACAAAGATTGATAGACAGAAGTCAAACGAGCGATTTAAGCTCGGGTGTATGTGCGCCTCTCGTACTAAGAAATCCACGGCGAAGGTGCTCGAAAGAACGAGGTAGACTTCAACTCAAAATGGAGGCAAATCCAATCTCACGATGGTCAACCAAAACGGAGACCATCTGTCCTCTCCGGCCTGAACCAGAGATTCTAAGATGTGGAAGTTGCTCTCCCCAAGCCGTAACGGCCAAAATCCATCGTTTGGCATTGAGAAGCCGGAAATTGACCTGACTAGGGTTGGGGGGCTCCGTAGAGCCTGGGAAAAGTGAAAATACAGAAAACTTACAGCAACTTTGGTAGGAACGAGATCACACTTGTTCAAGATGAACACAAGATGCTTGTGTGGCGCCTCCTCCTTGAGATATCTCTCAACAGACCGACATCGTGTTCCAAGCGGGTCACGGGCGTCCAGGATGTGCAGAATAATATCTGAGGAATCGATAACCTTGTCTGTGAGGTTTGGGTTAGTCTTGCTTCCAGTGGAGACGGAGGAGGGCGTGCCCTACAAAGTTCGTTCCAGATACGCTTCGACTGGCCCTTGTCGAAGATAGGCTCAGTCGCCGTCGTCAACACAGCCGCAGCTGCTTGGTCTCGACGAAGATCGCCAGCCTCAGCCTGCTCGGCCCCCAGCTCGCCGCTCAACAGTCTGGCCTGTTCCAGCTTTTCGTTGTAGGTCTCAAGACTCTTGACTGAGTCGCCTGCCAGCTCGTCGATATTACTAACGCTCAGCTTCACTCTCTTCCGTGATGATTTGGGCCCAAACACTTCAGCAAATGGCGACGTCTCAACAGTCATTTTCGCCTGGTGTTCCTTGAGGCCGTTGACCCTGTTATCCTGGCCATCGCGGATCAAACTCAGAGGCAGCTTGTTGCTCTTGAGCAGGACGGTGTAGGGATCCTTCTCCTTTTGTGCGATGGCGTCTCGGAAGGCGCTGAGAGACTCCTGGCTAATTACTCGGCTGTTGGAGAACCATTTCCTGTTTGGCTCGACTCGGGCGTTGGGAATTTCGCGGCTCTGGTAGCTAGCGGCTTGGGTGATCTTGCCTTCTGCGTTTCGCTGTGCCTTGCCCTCCTTGAAAATGTTGAGTTGCTTAACCTTCTTTGCGTCTCGGTAGAAGTTTTCTCTAAGGCCAACGTTAGTTCACCGAACATAAGGCGGAAAAGCCAAAAATACCAGAGGCAAGGGGGCTTACCCTTTGATTTTGAAGGTTGCACCACCCGTGCTCGTGCCATCGCGATCGCGACGGCTCTTCTCCTTCTTGAAGTTTCCCATTTTCGCCTCGATATGCGCTAGCAGCCTCGAAATCCAGAGGGAGATGAAGGGGTTGAATGGGGAGAGTGTGAGAGAAAACAAGCAGATGAGATTGACGATGCACCCTTCCAATCTTCTCTATACCTTGTGTAAGCCCTCGTTTGTTGCAAGGAAGGGAGCTCCAACGTGCGGGAGAAGATCTGGCGGTGCAGTGAATATGGCTGGAACGAGGAGGAGAGGTAAGAAAAAAAAAGTTCGAAGCCTGCAGGGTCTAGCTGGAGACGGTGGGGCGCGGCTGGCAAGAGCTGCAGCCAAAAGTTTTAGCGGGTCTCTCTCTGTGTTAGCAAACTTGCTGGCAGGCAGGCAGGTCTGTCTCGGCCTCTGCCTCTGCTTCTGCCGGAGCTGCATAAACCCGCCTCCGCTTAGAAAATCTGAGGGGGGCCCTGTCATTGGAGCTGTCTGCTCTGATACACGATCCAAACATCATCGCCATTGCACGCTCGCTTGGTTGATCGGCGGGGGCAGGACGGCAGCAAACTCCCAATATCGCCTCAAATACCAGATCTCAACCGCCAATTTGTCTCAGATCAAAGGCAGTGAAGCAACAGACCTCCGAGATGGCGCCAACATTACCGAGAGCGCCACTGCGCTCACTATCCTCCACACTCCTTCCATCTACGACCTCAACACCATCGACCACCTCCACCGCCTTCCGAACATTCAGCACAACAGCCTCCCGCCTCGAGGTCGACATCCCCCCCGAGTCACCGCGGTTCATCAACCTTCCGGAACTGCCACAGTCCTCCGAGGACAAGCTCCCACCGGTGAAGGGCGTGCTGCCGGTGCCGCGCGAGGTCTTCCACCGGCGCAACAACGGCAGCCACAAGATCCAGGCCGGGTTCGTGGGGCAGACGGCGCCGCGGTCCAAGGCCGAGGCGGCGGGCGAGGCGGCGCGGTCCGACAAGGCGGCGTGGAAGCGGGCGCTGGCCGAGTCGCGGCGCAAGGCGCTGGCGGCGGGCATCGACGGGCTGTGGGCGCGCAAGAACACGCGCGAGGGCGCGGCGAAGCGCCGCGCAGAGGCCCACCGCCTGCGCAACAAGGCCGCCGCCGACGCGCCCGAGGGGCTCGACGACCTCTACACGCGCGGCACCGTCACGCAGGCCACGCTCGACACCAAGGTGGTGCGCGACCCGCTGTACCGCGAGCGGCAGCTCGAGTCGCAGGCGCGCACGGCGGCGCTGCAGAAGGAGCGGTCCGAGGCCCGCAAGGATGCCATCCAGCGGCTGTACGTGGAGGCGGGCGACTTCATCGTCAGTGAGGACGAGCTCGCCAAGAAGGTCGACGTGGTCTTCTCCAAGGCCCACTTCGATGGCAAAGGGAGATGGCAGGGCAGATACAAGTCCGAGAACGTGTGGGACGCCTACGGCTCGCCGGTGCCCGTGAGGGCCATGTTTGCCGGCTTGAAGGGGACGAGCACCAAGGCCCTCGACAGCTACATGCCCGAAATTGGCTTCACCACACAGCGCCAGAAGGTTGTTTCCGGCGAGCTCACTGGTGGCGCTGTGTCTTCGGGTGATCACCGAGATGGCCGGTGAAAACATAGCTCAAGAGGAGAATCGCACCCAGCAGATTGACTTGTACAATAGCAATGCATCCAAGATTTTTGAACATCCTGGTCAGTGAATTGGTGTACATGAGAAAAGTATCGGATATTTCCCGAGTTCCCCGATTACTAGCCATAAACCAACAATGCCCCCGTAACGCCCCTGGTCATATGCAGTATAAAAGAAATAAGGGCGCGAGTAGCAGCCCAGGCTTGTTTCTAAGGGAAAACATGGTCTAGATAACGATTGATCTTCACAGACAGATTCAGCGACCGTATGCTATGAACAACGCTTCTTCTTTGACGGCTTGAAACGCACAAATCTCAATTCAGTCATTTTGTTCACCTGCTGCCCGATGTGATTACCTCCTCTCCACCAGCAGGACATGCATGGCGGCGTATGCAAGCACGACAAACCCAGCGCCATAGGCACCCAAAAAGATGACGTCCTTCCACATAGCGCCGTTGTCGAAGCCGAAAGAGCTAAGAATGGCGGCGCCAGGTACCGTGATGTCCAAGCCGTACTTTTTGTCGACAAGCGTCAATTTGCTGACCTCGTTGACAATGAGCGACTCGAAAGCATAGTGGAAGATCGACAACCACTGAAGCCATTTGGCTCCGTCCGGGATCTTTTGTGCATTCAGAAGAAGACCGGCGAACAACAAACTGAACAGCATGACTAAGCTGCCAATCAGATTTGCAACGCTGCTGTCCTTGCACACGATACCAATGAACAGACAAATGGCGGCGGCAGCGAGATTGAAAAGTACCAACACAAGGAGGAAAAAGAAGAAGTGTGCCGCGTCCGCCTGCAATCCCGTCATTGGGTAAATAATTATTCCCATCAAGATAGGCGGGATTATTCGCAACGGAACAATGTCGAAGAGAACTTTGGAGGCGAAGTAGGTGACAGGGGAGTAGTAGCCGTTTGCGCGTTCTCTTGTGAACAGTAGCCTCTCAGAAGAGAACACATTCAAGCTGGTCAGCGTGCTGAAACCGAAGAGGGCCAGCACGAAGAAGAATAGACCCAGCCGATTCTGGAATCCAGGAATGTCTGAGGTCAGTCCATAGAAAAGATAACCAGAGAGCACGCCGAGGAGAATGGCGATGGCGTAATGTGTCAGCATCAAGAGTGGATTGCGGTACAAGTTCTTCCACGTTCGCTGCGAGAGTATGATGAATTGTCGGCCGTACCCGATGCGCGCATATCCTTTGCCAACAACGCTGGTGTAGATGTTTGAGCCGTTCACGCTGTAGCCATTGGCGTTGCGGCCGTTGGCATTCTGGGCGCTGGCAACTGCTTGCTGAATCTCGTCATGTGTCGTGCCGGATATATCAGACTCTGCGAAAGAGTTTACCAAGATGTCAAGATTTGTGCCGCCAATCGCTGCAGGTGGGAGATCATGGGGATCTTCGATGATCTGAGAAGGAACATGACCAGGGGGCTGTTTGTGAAGCTTGTAAGCACCAGTCTCGCCTTCCCCGTCGGATGAAGCTGCAGTGTCGGCATTGGTCTGGCGGCGTGTGAAGAGCTCCCGTTCCAGCCTGGCTTTGACAGAATCCCTGCGTTTGCCCTTGGGTCGGGAGGCTGAAGCTTCGGCACCACTGTCTTCTCCGATACTGGCATTCGATACACTAGCGATAGACTTGACGCCTCTCACACTGCTTGGCCCAACACTGGCCGCGTCAACTGATATGGCACCATCATCAAACGTTGTCGCTGTGCCAGCGTGCATAGTCAAGTCGACCAGATAGTCAGCAATGTTGAAACCAGCAGGGCAAGGATATCCGATATGATCGAAGTAGTCCTGGCACTGTGCAAACGGGCCAGAGTAGACTGATCTGCCCTGGGCGAGAAGTATGAGCCTGTCAAAGAGGGCCACGATGTTCGATCTTGGTTGATGGATGGTGAAAATGACGGTCCGCTTGAAGTCTTTTGCCAGAGTCACAAGACATTCGACGACATTGAAGGCATTATATGCATCAAGGCCACTGGTAGGCTCATCGAGGAAGAGGATGGAGGGGCTAGTGACCAGCTCACAGGCAATGCCGACCCGGCGCTTCTCGCCACCGGAAATCCCACGACCTTTGCCTTCTTCAGAGCCAATCAGAGAGTCTTTGATATGATAGATACCAAGTTGCTTCTCGACTTCGGTGACCCTTTGCTCCTTTGCGGCTCGGGTCATGTCACGGGGCAGTCGCAGCAAGGCGCTGTTCAGAATAGTTTCGTGGACCGTCAGTGTCGGCAGCATGGTGTCTTCCTGGTCGACGAAGCCAACCACAGCTTTGAAATCCGCGTCCGTAACTTTCTCGCCGTTAACGTAGTAATCACCGTTGACGGTTCCTCGTTTGTTCTTGCGTGCGAGGATGTCCAAAAATGTTGTCTTTCCAGCACCGGATGCGCCCATGATAGCGGTAACCTCTCCGGGATACGCGACGCCTCGAATTGAGTTCAAGATCTGCTTGCCATTCAGAGTATACGATACTTCCTCAAATTGCAGCGATGCAGGCTTGTGGTCTGCCATGAGCTTGAGTCCTTCGTCGTCGGAGTCGTCAAGATGAATGGGCCCGTATTTGAAGGAGCGCCGGGACAGATACCAGGTGAGGACGATGACAGCAACGAGGAACAGAGCACAGCCGGCGATGACGCCAGCGATCAGAGGCGTGTTGATCTTGGGAACGGGTGGCTTGTAGTCGGGCAGTTCGGAAAAGTGCACGCATTCGCCAGAACGGCACGTCAAGGTGATGCTGGAGTCCCCAAACATTTGGTTGATCAGATCATTCATGGCGGGCTCCTCAAAACTGCACTTGTTGGCGCCGCCTTTGATCTGTGTGCACTTGAACGCACCGGGACCCTTAATCTCCTCGTCGAGGAAGTCGGTGATATCAACGCTGCCGTTTTCACCACAGAGCATCCGGTCAGGTATACATGAACACTCGACGGTCTTGCAGCTGTACGAGGTTTTGTTCTGGGAGGAGTCGCTGAAATCGTAGGCCGAGTCGCACTCGTTCAAGGTACAGTAGAAGGATTCCCTCTTGTCAACCCAGAACTGGAAGTCACACCTAGCGTCGGAGGCATCACAAGTGAAAGTGACTTGAGGAATTTGTTCTCCCAGGAGATCGCGAATCTTCTCGTTGGTGACGTCGCACATCTGGTAGTTGTTCTTCAAGACGTTGCCCAGCTGGTAGCAGACGCCACCCTCTTCGGTCTCCATCAGGGCATTACATGCCCTATCGTCAGTACACAAGTTGCAGTTGAGACCGTCCCAGCCGTCGTCGCATTCGCAGGTCTTGCCTTCACGTATTTGTCGGTGCTCGTTGCCTCGGGCCAAGGAACCGCAGACTATGTATTCAAGAGTCAGCTACTGTGGGCCACGAATCGTTTTGGAGCGCGAGGGAATTGAAGACGCACGAGGCTCGATACAGTCCACGCCACCGAAGCCGGCAGGACAGGAACATTGTCCGTTGAACGAGTTACAGTCGGCATATTGGGCACAGCTGAAGGCGGGAAGAAGACAGTTGAAGCTGTAAGGGCCGCCACATTAGCGTCTGGGGGCAAAGACTCAAAAGGTCTTGGGGTGAAAGAGGAGGTGGTGGAACGACGAACCATGGTGGGCAGTCCTTAGGCCTGTCGTCCATCAAGGCGAGCTGCGCGCGGAGAGCATCGATGCCTGGAGATGACGACGAGAAGTTCTGGGCGAGGGCAGCGGTCGACAGCGCAAGCGCGCCGAGAACGCAGGCGCGGGCTGTCCGCGATGCCATGTTGAGGTGGACAAGGCTCTATTTGGGTTGTGTTGGGAAGAGTCTCAGCGTCCTGCGAGAGAGAAAGAGAGGCAAGTGGTGATGCGCGGTTTCAAAGAAGAGCTCCAGAGTGCAGGTGGTCAGGTCAGAGGAGCAGCGATAAGTTGCCCCGGTCATACACACCCTCCCGCAGAGAGGCAAGCCGCGGTGCATGTACCTGTTTCTGCTTCGGTGCAGCTCCAACAGTAAGGCTCCTTGGCGCCGGCTAAACTTCCTACACCTAGCTCCTGCCACTCAGACAGTCTGACAATCAGGTACCCAGGTACCCAGGTACCCCACACAGCCAGCCGCACCTGCCCCGTGCTCCTTCTCCTAGGATCGAAGTAGCTCCTGAATCGGTCAGTCGGTTGGGAAGCTGCCCCGACTTCCCGTGCTCCTGCTGACGCAATGATATGGAGGAGCGAAACCTCGCACGCACAGGATGGGCGTCCCTCTCACTCTCTACTTTATGTAAGCGGCTTATCTCCTTACTCTGTACCCGAGTCGAAAGGCTGCAAAGAGCTGTAGGAAGCGATAAGGCATGGAGGATCTCGCTGGAGATTCAGAGACGTCCTTGACAAGTTCGGGTAACATCTCAAGATCGAAGTGTATCTACACGATAGATAAGGCTTGGGATGAAGATGAGACGGGTTGGAGCTATGGTCGACCACGACCCTCTACTACCTCGTCGATCCCCCCTCTGCCGTCGGTCACTGAGAGTTGACTTGTGCAGCGTCATGTGTATGACACCTTCGTAGGGCTTTATTCAGAAACACGGTCTTATTTTCGGTTTCTAATTTTGATTGTAAAAGATCTTCTACAAGTCCCATATGCTAGTGTGCATCGCCCAACACACGCAAGTGAGTGCACGCGCAAGTGCGCAGGCAACGGCAGCACTACATAAAACTGCCTTTAGGACACTCGACCTCGGTTGGCTGCTATTTTGAGAATCCTGAGATATCTGTCTGGAAAACGAGCTGTATTCAAAATGGTAAAGATCGAACCCTTCGCAGTGGAGCAATGGATGGACGAGTGAGTCTCATCAACCTACCAATTCGAGTTCCTCCCCACTCCCCTGCTAATACTGTGCACAGGTACGAGACCACGCCCGGTGTTTTGAACATCGCCGAGACGTGTGCTGCGTCCGTCTCCATTGACGACCTAGGGACTCTTTCCACTGGAAATCATTCCGCGAGCCCGGTGAACCTCTCCACGAAACTCACGTACGGCGCAATCAGGGGCTCAGAGAAACTGCGGGGGCGGGTCGCTGCTCTGTATGAGACCGACAGTGCTCCACCTCTTTCCGCCGACAACTTGTTGATCACTCAGGGAGCCATCGTAGCCAACTTCCTCCTCCTGTACACCTTGATTGGCCCAGGCGACCATGCTGTCTGTGTGTATCCGACATATCAACAGCTCTACGGAGTCCCTCAGAGCCTGGGGGCTGAAGTATCTCTGTGGAAGCTGAGGCAGGACAATGGCTACGTCCCGGATGTCACGGAGCTCGAGTCTCTGGTGAAGAGCAATACAAAGATGATCATCTTGAATAATCCAAACAACCCCACCGGGGCAACTATCCCAAAGGCCGTGCTCAAATCGATCGTCGACTTCGCCAGAGCACGCGACATCATTATCCTGTGCGATGAGGTCTACAGCCCGTTGTACCACAGCCCGCCATCAGATGCAGACATCCCACCATCCATCCTGTCGTTCGGGTACGATAAGACCATCTCAACGGGGTCTATGTCCAAGGCTTGGGCCCTGGCGGGAATCCGGCTAGGCTGGGTGGCCTCACGGGACAAGGGCATCATTGAAGCTGTAGCAGAGGCGCGCGACTACACCACCATCAGCGTCTCGCAGCTAGACGATCAGGTCGCCACCTACGCCCTGTCCGACGAGGTGCGGCCCGCACTGATAAAGAGAAACTTGGAGCTGGCGAGGACGAACCTCGCTCTGCTTCGGGAGTTCGTCGACGGGTATAAGGGAGTCTGTAGCTGGGTTAAGCCGACAGCAGGCACGACCGCGTTTATCCAGTTCACGAATGGCGGCAAACCAGTGGATGATGTGGCATTTTGCCTCGACGTGCTGGACAAGACGAAGGTCATGTTTCTCCCGGGCTCCAAGTGCTTTGGCCACGACCGGGACTTTAAGGGATATGTAAGTACTGCCCGCTGCCAATTCCGTCTGGGCCGTTTTTTTGGCTGTGCTGAGAGGGGTTCACATATTTCATACTCTACTTCCCGACATGGTGGCTAATGGACTGTACAGGTTCGGGTTGGTTACGTTTCGGAGACTGCTGTGCTAGTCGAAGGGTTGAAGAAGCTGGGAGAATACGTGAACAACAATCTCTCGGCGTAGCCATCGTCGCCTTGGCCATATCGTGCAGGTGCCGTGTTCGCGGACAATGACATGACTGCTGAACCGTAGCGACAAAGTCACATCCAGACCGAAGCAACGTAGTATACGCAGATTTTACACAATATCAAGCACTGACCTCTATTGTGCTCCAAATCAACATGCGTGCCGTCTCGATTTCCTTCGAGGGCGGACATGAAAAGCCGGTTGCCAAGAGCCAAGCCGTGAGCTACTTGGGAGGATCGTCGGACAAGACAGCGCAGCGATTCGTGAAACACATGCCAGGGAATTTTAATATCGTCGACGTATTGAAAAGACAAAAGAAAACAAGAAGAAGAAGGAACAAAATAAGCTGAGTCACGAGGCTATCAGCAGCGTATGAAATAATGCGAGTGAACTCGAGTGGTGCAGAGTTGCATGTCGCGAGAAAACATGATGGTTTTCAGGGAGAATCACTGTAGGCGGAATGCAAGCCCCACCGACCGAGTCGTATCCAGCGTAGTACTACGTTGCACAGAAGCGTGTGTTTTCTCCTGGCGAACTTGGCGTGAAGGTAAAGCTCTCGTGTCCTGGCTACGTATTACCTGAGAAGTTGAAGAGAAGTAAGCAGACTGAGTGACGAGGGCGATGGTCTGGTAGCTCTTCTCGTCCAGAGGGGAGGTGAAACTGAGCATACGTCGACCCAGCACCTGGGCCTGCTGGGCTGCACTGGCACTGGCTGGGCAGTGCAGATCGGCCCGTGAAAGGGGGAACCTTGGAGCCTTGGGTGGCACTTGGGGAGGTTGGCTCGAGGTTGGCAGGAAGAAGCCAAAAAAGTGAAAAGCTGAGTCCAATGCATGCAAGCCCCCTGACAGCAGCCGCCCTGTCCACGCCTGCCACGGAAGATTCCCATGCCCTGCCATGCCATTAATAAGACAATCCCGCGGTCCCGTAGGCCACCCCACAACCCTTCCCGGTTCCCAGGGGGGGCTCAGCCATCTCGTGCTATGTATGGCACGACCTGCAAGGTGGGCAGGCGACGCAATCCCATCGCCATCTCGACTGCGGCAACCCGGCAGTGCCATGCGAGTGTGTGCTGTGTGTGCTATGTACAGTAGCTGCCACTGACTGCACCTCCAAGAGCCTCCAAGACTCTGGTGGCACCTTGTGCTCTCACTCATTTGCGACTTACTTATCTGGCCCTCGCGCTGCTTGGCCTTTCTCTTGGGCCACGCCTTTTGCAAGCCGCCGTTCTCTTGGCTTTTCCTTGGTTTTTCTTGCCTCAAACCTCCCCGATCCGCCATTGCGCACCATGCGCGCCTCTCTCTTCTTTGACCTCTCCCTGGCCCGCTGACGTTCTTAACGGACGCTTCTGAGGCTGTCTCCCCATATGAGTCCCACTCTCATCCCGCATCTTCCACATCGACAAACACCTTAGCTTGTCGATTGTTCGCTGCTTGTTTACAAGGCTGGGGTTGCTCCTCAGCCCGCCTTGCTTTCCTTTCTATCATCCGGTCCGAGTACGGCCAATTCTCTCTTTCCACCGTGTGGCTTGGGCGGCTCGCGCACACGAATAGACCCATCCCATAACGACATTCATCCGCCGCGGCAGTCTTTACCAGAGCCTGTAATATGTCAAAGGCATTCGCTGTGTTTGCCGTCTCTGCCGGCCTGCTGCTTGCGCCAGCTACGAGTGCCGCCGGCACCGTCCAATGGGACATCCATAAGCACCACCCCAAGGCAAGGTTTGGCAGACGCGCAGCAGACACCCACGAGGGCGAAATCACGAACGAAGTGACTAGAGGTGGCTACTTCGCGACCTGCACTCTGGGCACGCCGGGGCAGAACCTGACTTTGCAGCTGGACACGGGCAGCAGTGACATTTGGGTGCCATGGGACCAGGCAACTGTGTGCGAGGAGGATAAGTGCAACTTTGGCAACTGTGCGCAACGACCCCTGTGACGATGTATTAGAGGATGCTAACGCTGGCGGCGTAGTTGACCCAAATGCCTCCTCAACATACACAGACGTTGGGAAGGGCAGTTTCGACATCCAATATGTCGACGGTAGTTTCTCCAAAGGCGACTACTTCATGGACGCTTTCCAGATCGCGGGCGCCACTGTTTCTAACGTCACTATGGGTCTCGGTTTGAACACGACCATCGCATACGGCCTCGTTGGAGTGGGCTACACGTTGAACGAAGCAATAGTCGACACGGAAAACTCCCTCGAGGCCGCCTATCCCAACCTGCCTGTTGTCATGGTAAACGAGGGGCTCATAGGCACCAATGCCTACAGCTTGTGGCTCAATGACCTCGACGCAAACAAGGGCAACATCCTGTTCGGAGGCATAGATACCGAAAAGTACATAGGCAACCTGACGAGGATCGACATTCTGGAGAACAACAAGACCAAGGTTTACGACTCTTTCCTGGTCCCACTCACGTCGTTGCTTGCTGTTAGCGCTAGCGGCACCGACGAGCTGACATCAAGCGAGTTCCCAATTGAGGCTGTCCTAGACTCGGGCACAACGCTCAGCTACCTGCCCAACGACATAGCAGAGCAGATATGGACCGAAGTCGGCGCTACCTACACTCCGGATGTCGGACTCGCGCTGCTACCGTGCCGAATGCAGAACAGCCAAGGGCACTTCTCCTTTGGTTTCGCCGGGTCGGATGGCCCCAGGATCAACGTGTCGATGGACGAGCTCGTTCTGGATCTCGTCACCGCCGGTCCTCCACCAACCTTCGTCTCAGGACCGTTCGAGGGCGAGGACGCCTGCGAATTCGGAATCCAGAATTCGAGCAAAACCCCGTTCCTGCTTGGGGACACCTTTCTGCGCAGTGCATATGTCGTTTACGATCTGGTGAACAACGAGATCGGCATGGCGCAGACCGATTTCAACGCAACCAACTCGAACATTGTTGCGTTTGAGGGCAACGGCTCTACCATCCCCTACGCCACCTTGGTTTCTAATCAGAGCCTGGCCACCCCGACTTCCGCAGCGCCTTCCTTCGCGGCTGAGAGTGGCTTCGAGGCAGGGACGCAGAAAAATGGGGCCGCGATGCTGTCACCGCATGGCCTGGGACACTCATTGGTTGTGGGCTTTGCCGTGCTCGCGGCGGTATTTCTTGCTGCATAGATCAGAGTGATCATCGTGGCAAGTCAGCTTCTCTTTCTTTCACGGCTCAATGGGGCCGGTATTTGGCCCTTCTTTACAGCATATACCCAGTTTGTTCGCAATTCCAAAAAGGACTGCAAGATTGGTACGAGGTATTCATTGCTCTTCTGACGCCAGTCATTTTGATTCACGGCGAGTTGCATCTTAGGTGTTGGGGAAAGCAGGCAAGCATTGGTTTGGAGTTGAAACATGTTGGTTGTTCGGGGGATGATTATGTGCTGCGAGGCAGGTTAATAGATACCCATTGTTACAGTCGGTCAAACTGCACATGATAGAACATCTTTCTGGTGCGGTAACATGCCTACCAGGACCGAATAATGAGAAAATGGATCATATGAACCGGGACACTGTCGGCCTCCGTCGAGCACATTGTTGAGAAATTTACTTTCGCCCGGCTATGGCCACAAGGTTCGTCTCCGAGAGTATTATTACTTTGCAGCAGAATGCAAGCTGTCGCATACTACTGCTAAGTGTTTAGACAGTCTCAGAGTTCACCTATCAGAACATCGAACAACGAATTGGCATTGTGCCAGGTATGCAAGCGATAACTTAATTTGACTTTTAAGTCTTTCACCCTTACTGTAATTGTGAAGTCATCTTCAAACTTGCTGACTATAGCATCGTCCAGGTTCATAGGCGCGCGAGAAGCCACCACCCAATGCGCAGCGTCGGACAAGACATGTAGTCATCGCGATCGCGTCAGGGTGCAATGCGCTCGGCAGCCCGTTTCATACGGTGGTGCCGCCCAGATCAGAACACAAAGAGCAAATTGTTCGTCACCGCGAAGTTTAAATCAGTGCTCCACCTGTCCATCTGTCCACGCAAAGAAACCTGACATCGTCACAAAGCCATCAAACCTTCAAATGAACGAGCTAATTGTCACAGTCCTCTGCCACCCTAGCTTCTGGTTTAGACACGATTCAGCGAACCATTCTTACTGGCGACCACATTCTTCACCATCTTCGTCAACCGCGGAAGCGGCTTCCCAGGGTTCGCATTCGGGATCCAGTTGCCGTGCACCTGGTTGCGCATGGCAAACGGCAGCTTGATCAAAGCCACAGGCTTGGTGAAGTCGTCGGTGTCGAGGATGACGATCTGGCCCTTGGGGACGCTGGGGCTGTCGCACCAGAAGATGACCCAGCCGTCGCCCTCGGGGGCGTCGTCGGACCGCGGCACGAAGACGGGCTCAGCGAGGCGGCTGCCCTCCTCGCCCGGGACGAAGACGGTGGCCTCGCGCGTCTCGGTGTCGAGCCGCACGATCGAGTTGAAGCTGAACCGCTGCACCTTGGGCTGCCCCGCGTCGCACGCCGCCAGGTAGACGACGCGCTGCTTGCGCGTCAGGAACCGCTCGTCCGTCTTGGGGAAGTCCACCAGGCCCCGGAACAGCACCTCCGGGTCCGCCAGTCGCGTCTCCGCCGGCTGGCTCAGGTCCACCGTCCACCGCACCCAGTCGCCCGTCGGCTCCTCTGGCATCTTCATTCCCGGAGGGTTCCAGAAGGTGAAGACCAGGTTGGACGCTATGAAGTGGCTCTCCAGCTTCAGGTTGCCGTCCTCGTCCTCCCATGCACCACCGGTGTGGATCACCAGCCCGTTATTCCACGTATATCGCCGCACCTCGCCCGGCTTCCACCCCGGGTGACGGGGCGTATTTGGGTGGCGCGGGGCTACGAGGAAGCCCGAGGGCTTGTCGGGCACGTACTCCCAATGCTGGGAGCCCTTTTTCAGATCCTCATCCGAGTTAACTTTGAAGGGCATGGAGCACAGGACGACCCAGTTCTCGGTGACCCACGCATCATGCACCATGGTCGGCTCCTCCTCCTGAAACCAGAACTCGTTCGAGACCTTGCCTTCCGGATCAACGGTATACACACACACGTCCGGGGTCCCGAGGCCCTTAGCCTCATAGCCCCATGTCACCAGCTCGTTGGCGTACGGGTCGACCTTAGGGTGCGCCGTGAACGTCTTGGCCTTGGTCTGGCCCCCGAAGGGATCGCAGCCCTTGGTCTCGAGCGTGTCCGGATCGACAGCGTACGGCAGGCCGCGCTCGCTGATGGCGAGCAGCTGGCCGCCCCAGTACAGGATGTTCGTGTTGGCGGTAGAGTCATTTGCCATGCGCACGCAAGGGTGGTTGCTGAAAGGGTTGCGGTAGATGTGAAAAAGGCGCTCGTTGGCCTTGCGCTCCAGCAGCCACCGCTCCGTCTCGACGTAGCGGAGCTTCATGTCGACGCGGCCGTCCTGGAAGCGGAACGCGCAGATGTTGCCATCGCCCTCGACGAAGCCGTTGGCCGGGTGCGGCGGGTAATGCGGGTCCACAATCAGCCGGCAGAAGGTGCCCTCGATGTCCTTGGGGATCTCGCCGTAGACGACCAGGTTGTCCAGCTCGCCCTCCCACCTCCCTTGCGGCGCTGTGCCTTCGGGGGAGTAGTAATGTGACCATGGGGAGCTGAGACCGTACTGGGGATCGGGACCATTGGTCCCATTGGTTGTCTTGGGAGGTTCTTGTTGCATCAATACAGAGGTCATTTTGCATAATATGAGATCAGCGTGTGCTGTTTCCTACATTCCACTGTCGGCGAAATAAAGCTGCGTTCTTATTACTATTATATAAACATGCACATACGCAGCCTCGAACTGACTACTGCCTTGTGAGCACCTTCTTCGCTTCTTTCCAGCATAAAAGACAAGCAATTTGGTTTCCGCGGAGACCTCCATGGAAAGACTTTCCGTGGATTGTCCCATGGGGAAATGGGATACTCACAATTCCTTTGTTCCCGATGGAGAATTCCAGGGAATTGAAACAGTAACTGTCTCTTTCCCCAGATTTCCCCGCATTATTGGGACTATTCCGTCGGTGGGGCGGCCTATCTTACCGGGCCGCCCTGCGGCAGACGCGCATTAGAAAGCTTGTCGACGACGATGTACAGGAGGACTTCCGCAATATCTCGGGGTCCTAACACTGTCCTTTGCCCGACTCACTGGGTGTAAATTGTTCCATCATCCGCGGATTTCTAGACCTCTTACCATTCCTCACTACCGGTGTTGACGCAGTCCGCCTATTTCACATGTTAAAGCGGACGTCGTGAAGTCTCTAGTCTAATTGATTTGGTATGCTTCTTGGGTATGGTTCAAAGTGTCTCTTTCCTCACCACGCTCACCATTTGACATCGTCCTCTGCACGAAGAGAGGAAGAGATGACGCTCATAGATAACACTCCTGCTTTGGCTCTCTTATGAGCTCACAATAGTAAGTGTTGTGGCAGCCAGCTTGCTCTATTCTGATGTCGGCTGGGATTAATATATACACGCCTCTCTCTTACCTAATACGCCACTGGGTTTACCTGCCATGGTATATGGATATGTGAAGACTTCAATGAAGAGGTCAATCCAATTTCGGCAAGATTGGTATTCAAAGACGATGAGTTCTTAAAACTGAACTCAATGCTGGTATCAGAGGCTTAGTCCTAGGAATCATTTACCTATGTATTCTTAGTCCGAGCGATGCTTCTCCACTCCTTCCATTGTACGCACTTAACTAGATCTCTGGTTATCATGCGACGTCCACCTATTTTCTGACCCAACACCTTACCACGCACTGCCTATCGAAAATCTACGACCCGTGAGCATCGACGACAAAGCATCAAAACCTGTAGCACCAAAGACTTTGTCCTGGTCAGACCCGTCACACTGTATGAGCGGCAGACTCAGCAAACTTGCGACCAGGCTGAGCTTCTCCATCATTCCATTTTAAATTGCTAAATCCGAAGTCTCGGTCTCTCGTTTGTGAAGTCGGCCGGATCAGACTGAGCATGCGAAGCTTTCAAAATAGTCCGGCCCGGCTTCTGCCCGGGATTCCAGGGTCCTGTCCGGGGCAAGCCCGAGTCCGACTGTGGATATTGCCTACTATCACTTTGCACAAGACACAACGTCTTCATAAAAACAGAAGCGGTGAGTCAGACACACAAAATCTTCTTCTGATGGCTATTCTTTGAATACTTTCCCCAAATACAATTTGGAAAAGGCAGTGATGGCGTCGTTTCCTCAAGATAATCGGACATACCAGATCCTGGACGCCGCGGCAAAGGGCGGATATTCCGTCGGCGCGTACAATTGGTATGGATGACTCCCAAAAGTTATTTTGGAAAGTGCCTCGAAAATGGGACGTGGCTGACGCTTTATCTAGTTACAATGACGATGGTGTCATATCGGTGATTCGTGCAGCCGAGGCTGTGAGGTCGCCGGCGATCATCCAGCTGTTCCCCTGGACCGTCAAGTTCCAGGGGCCTCACTTTGTCAAATATGTGGTTGAAGCCGCACATGCGGCCAGCGTGCCCATTGCGGTACATCTAGACCACTGCATCGAGCAAGCAGACATCAAGGAGGCCCTGGAGCTGCCCTTTGACTCCATTATGGTTGACGCGTCTGTACATGATGCCGGTGAAAACATACGCCAGGTGAAGAAGATTACACAGATCGCCAATGAAAGAGGTATCGCCATCGAGGCTGAGATGGGGCGCATCGAAGGCGGCGAAGATGGGCTACCCAACGTCGATCTCGATGCAGTTCTAACTCAGCCGGCGGATGCAAAGAAATTCATCGATGAGACTGGCGTGCAGTTCCTAGCACCTTCTTTTGGAAACGTCCACGGCGGCTACGGTCCGGGAGGCCCAGAGGTCATTTGGAGATGTGATCTGTGAGTGGTTCTATGTAGTAATCACAGCATACAGAGACACAGTTCGAAAATGTCGAAATTTCTCATCCGGCGCTGACACTCCACAGACTCGATGAAATACACCAGACCATCCCGGACGTTCCCTTGGTCCTTCACGGAACACATGGCGTCTCCGACGAGTTATTCCGCAAGACTAGGCAGTACGGTGTCCTGAAGGTCAATGTGAACCGCACGGTCCGGGATAACTACACGAAGTTTGTAGCCGAGAACGCCGGAAAGCTTGAGTTGACGACACTCAAGGTACGCGCTGTTGAGGTCTACACGAACTCGATCAAACGGGTCATGATCGATGTCTTCGATTCAGCGGGCAAGGCATAAAGCTACAACGATTCGAATCGATTGGTCGAATAACATGCTGGATTGTGTAAATTGTGCATGAATACGATGAAACAAGGTCATGTTCCTTGTCTGTGACACGTTCAGTCTTGCATCACTCAGATGGAGTCCTACATAAGAAAATGCTAGGACTTCCAGAACTAAAGCAGCTCATATAACATTCGCAAAATTTCATGCCATGAAGATTGCAAGTCAATTCCAGACAGCTTAGCCAAGTGGTGTGGAAGACAAAGCCAGTGCCGGTACTCCATATCTCTCTGCCAGCTCGTCGAACATTTTCTTCTCGGCTTCTGCATATGGTAGTCCTTGCTTTGACCGCTCTAGAGAAAGTCGATGCTCGGGCTCTCCCGGGAAGAGGACCTCCTTAAAGCCCTCAGCGGGTGTGACGCCGTGTACCCGCTGGACCAATATGTCCATTCTCGACTTGAACTCCTCCGTACCAATGAAAACATCAGGTTTGATAGCAATAAAGCAATGGCCAACATTCTGAGGCCTTGCTTCCTTGTACTGATCTCCGACCTGACCGCCAAACTCAGCACCGGAAAGCACGCCGGACATGATGTCCATAAGTATGGCGATGCCAGACCCCTTCGGTCCGCCGATGGGAGCCATGGAGCCGTTAAGGGCAGCCTCCGCATCCTCAGTGGGCTTTCCATTTTCATCATAAGCCCAGCCAAGCGGGATCTTTTCACCTCTTCTAGCCGCTTTTCTGATTTTGCCCTTGGCCACCACTGAAGGAGCCATATCCAAAATGTATGGGATCTCGTCTTTGCTGGGCGCACCAGCTGCAAATGGGGAAATACCCAGCAGTGTGTCCTTTCCGCCGAATGGGGGCATCTGCTTGGCTGAATTTGTGAAAACAAGAGAGATCATATCGGCATCCAGGGCCTGGAGGACGTATGTGGCGGCCATACCGAAATGGTTCGAGTGGCTGGCAGTTACAATGCCGATACCGTAGGTCTCAGCACGCTTGATGGCATTTTCCATGCCCTTGGTAGCCACTATAAACCCAAAACCATTATCGCCATCCAAATGGGCTGCCACCGGGGTCTTCTCTGTGAATTTGAGTTCGGCCTTTGCATTGACGAGGCCACTGTTTACGCGCTCGACATACTGTTGAAGCCGCACCATACCGTGCGTGTCCTGTCTAGAGAATCAGCAGATGTGGAGCTGTCTAACATACAGACTATGAGGCAACTTGCAACTCCTCTAGTATCAGCCTGAACAAGGCATCTTGCCATAAGCCCTGCATGGTCGCCTGGCAGGCCAGACTTTAGTAGAAGAGAGCGTGCGAAAGCTTCGGTGTCGCTTTGCTTGGCGAAATAGCAATTTGCAGATGCCATTGCTGTAGAGTCGTCCGCTAAGCTTGGTGATGAAGCTGGTCTCAGGCAGTTACAGTGAATTGACAACGTGTTCGCGGGTTGTTGAAGCTGCTGCAAAGTCCACAACTTTATGAGATGCTACAACGTTGTCTTTCCGGTACATGACCGAGATCTTCTCAAGAAGTGTGCTAGGAACGTCTGGCCGGTCGGAAGTTGTTCGTATCTACGATCAATGGTGATGTATTGAAGGGTTCGAATTCCAATCTGGTGGAGAGGATGCAAATCGGCATATGCCGAGAATGTCTACGTAGTGTGGCCATGCGACTCCACTTGGGGCTAGCTTTTGATGTGATCATAACCGGAACAAAGCCGAGAGATCGGCCGACGTTTTCACGACCAACCTCGTGCTTCACCCCGGGCACACATCGGACCGCTTACGAGCAATCACTGACAGTCTGTGCCATGTCAATGGCTCTATCTCTCGAGTCCGACACAGACTGACAATTATTGGGTTGTAACCCGGGCCGCCGCGCATAATTCCGGCGATGGACAGTGACGCCGGCTTCACTGCCGAGGCAGTGCCTGCGCCACGACAAAAGTCACAACATGTTGGTGGTCGAAGGAAGGGCACGGCTTGTGCCCGGTGTCGCTCACAGAAGATCAAGTGTGATGACGAGACTCCATCATGTTCGAACTGTGCTAAGGTTGGACAGCCATGCATTCGAGCCAATCTTGGGAATAACCCAGATGCCATCAGGTAGGCATCCTTCTGCGTGCCCTGACATGTCTTCATCGAGATCTCCACTATGATACGTCGTTATTTCTCTGATATCAAGCGATGTGACCTGGCAGGATGACTAAGATATAATGACTGATCAGTGATATAGCTATATCACGCAGACTGAGGCACGTCTGCGTGCACTCGAGGAATCCCTTCGTCGGATAGCACCCGAGGAGCTGGACAAGGCGCCTCAGGTAACAGAGAGGTCTCGGGTCGGGAGTGTCCCAGAGACTTCGCAAGACTGGCTCAGGCAGTCTTCCCTCTCAGAGCCTCATCGCGAAAGCATACGCTCTTCACATCAATATCCTCAAGATCAACCCGCCAATGCAGTACCAGACCTGACACCGGGCTCGGTGCAGCGCCTTTCACATTCCCACAGCCTATCACGGAGTCATAGTGAAAACATTGGATCCGCTGCAGCGGCCAGCCCGGCGACACAGATCGGTCCGAGTGAGCCGCTTGCGCATGAGGTTGGCTTACTCTCACTTGCTAACGCCGCCGAGCCTAAGTACCTCGGACCATCTTCAGGCGTGCCGTTTGCTCGCCTGATCTTCGCAGCTATTCCTCAGTCTCAAGGATTGAGTACAAACTATTGGAATTCGCCACAAGGAAATGTGACTGATGGCTCGACGAGAGCGGCCCTGAAACCGGCCCTTCCGTTACCACCGGATTGGGCGCCAGAAGTGGATTTGCAGCATTTCGTCGATGCCTACTTCGAGACATGGCAGCCACTGTATCCATTCCTCAACGAGGATGACATTGCAGGGAGCCTTGACGTCTTATTCACCGGACAGGCTTCTGCTGCGCACTCTCTCCAAATGCCTCAGCTGCGTGATATTGAGGCTGCTTTATCTCCATTCCACGCAGTTCAGTTGTTTCTCGTTGTCGCGTTGGGCGCGCGCACCCTTGAAGCACGCCTCTCGTCCGAGTTTGCGTCGGCCCGGTACCTGGCAACAGCGATGTCCCGACTAGACCGACTTGCACTGCATGACAGCCTCGAGGGGCTGCAGACGATGCTGTTGTTGACCTTGTCAGGATTTTGTTTTGAGCATGGGCCTAACGCTTGGTTCCTGAGCCAGAACATCATTGCGACCTGCCTTGATCTTGGCTTCCAAAGGCGATGGCAAGAGCCTCCTCCACATGACGCGTCCTCAGAGGCACTTAGCCAGTACGAAGTCCGCAGAGATCTTCGGCGAGCAATATTCTGGTCAGCCTATTCAATTGAGAGGAACTTGGCGGTCGTTCTTGGTCGGCCACTCACAATTCGTGATGAAGCACTTGATGTACAATTTCCTGGTACGGAGAGTGATGCAAACAGTGATATCATGTCGGCATTGGAGTCTTCTTCGAATCCGGCTAAGCGGATGCGAGCTGAAATTTCCCCGTACAAGGCGGCTCATTACTCCTTCCGGTTCGATCAGATCACGGCGGAGATCAAGCTGATGCTATACCGTGTTAAGAACAAGCCCGACGTATTTCCGTGGCCAACAGACGTCAATGAATGGCAAGGAAAGTGCCATCAACGCTGCGATGAGCTAGTTGAGAGCCTACGCAATGACTTGAAATGGCGGTCTCGCCGTCGAACTGCCGATGGCATTGTGCAAAGACTGGAGCTCAAATATCACCAGTGCCTGATGCTTCTACATAGACCGTCACCTGCTACCTCGAGACCACGCGCTGAGTCGTGGAAGACATGCTACAACAGTGCATCACAGACTATCCTCATCCACTCGGAGATGCACCGCTTCTCCAAGATGCCCAATACATGGCTGACGGCTCACACTATTTTCGTCAGCGGGATCACCTTCCTCTACTGCCTCTGGGTAAACGCCGCAATCAAAGAGAAGACTTCCATGGACGAGTTCAACCGAATCGCGTCTGCATGCTCTGCCTTGCTAAAAGTCCTCGGCAAGGCATGGAGTGTAGCTGCTGACGCGGTCGAGAAATTTGACAGGCTAGTGTCATTGACCTCGTCGTCTTGGAACTCGTGGAAGGAGGCGCAGGCGGAGCGCCGCACTGAGATCGCGGCTGGCGCCTCGCTTGTATCTCTGGCGCAAGATGGTGCCGTTGCAGAGACCACTACTGCTGTAAACCAAGCAGACGTATTCGAAGATGTCGGAGGCTTCAACCTGGTTGAGCCCGAATTCTTCCTCACTGAGCTTGGAGATATGAGCTCGTGGTTTGATCTGGACTGGATCGGAGAGGGCTTCAACTTTGATGACAATAATCCTACATATCCGGCCATTTGAAGTGGGATTGGATTGTAAGCATACAAACTAGTTGTATGAAAAAGGCTCAAGACAAGAACAGTCCCTTCATTGCTTAAGCGTACGCTTATGCGATTTAATGTCTGCCGGCAAGCTCTTCCGCCTGCCCCTGAGCCCACTTCGTGGTCAGCGTTCCCAATATACTGCTGTGAGGACGTATCAAATATAGCTCACCCGAGTATCGGGAGAAGGAACAACTAAGTCGCCATTAGGAAATCATGACTTTTCTTCGGTGATCCACAATCATTGCCATTTCAATGTTCAAAAGGATTTTTTTTCGGGCTAATTCTGTATTCTTTTGCGGGTACGTATGGCGCATGAGATCCAGGCATTGCCAGGACGCATCTCACCGGCTTTACTCCGTTGGTGGGGCCGGGCCACCTGCGGATCGGCGTCGCCGTTGACGGCCGACGTGTCGCAATTGCTTTCCACGCGCTACGACAAACAGTTTTTTAAGCCAGACTTTGTCTGAAATGTTCAGCTCTTATGAGCGGCACATGATATCTGAATTTTACGGTAGATTTCTGACCGGCAATGTGCAGCATTTCTGTGTTCCGCAGCGCCTCAAGCCTCCCGGCCCTTCATCGTCAGGTGAGTGCCCAGGCCAGACTCTATCGGAGCACAATACAAGCAGCGCGATATTCAACTTCGCGTGCTACAAAGCCTAGAGTTGCCGTCTTGTATCAGGCTCTTGAGCCACCTATCATTGATGGCATCAAGAAACCTAAGAAACCCAACGGTCCGTAAGCCGGATCAAGTCACGGGCTTGATGCCAAACGCTCAAGCCCTCAACTCATTTTGACTGACTGTGATTCAATTATACAGGTTACAGAGACTCCGGAGCTGATATAGCATACAACTTGGGGCAAAAGAAGAGCGTCGACGTCATTAAGCCGACAACCGATCCCAACCCCACCCACGATAGCGACTGGACGTTCCCAGACACCGAAGATGGCATACTTGAGGCCATCCGAAGAGGGGCGACCCACCTTTGGGCCAACACTATCGTCTTTGCTTCGCATCCATTGCAGACCTCGGCGTCGATAGGAAAGTATGCTGATACTGTTCGTGTCGTTGGCCAGAGTCCGCTCTGTGTTGATCGATACGACAATAAAGACTGGGTAAACAACCTGTTGCGAAAATCCGACGGCTTCAGCATGCCGCGCTCCTGGGCCATACCGACTGGATCTGCTCCAAGCGTCGATGACCTCAAGAGACTACCGTACCCCATCGTAGCGAAGCCAATCCGCGGCCGCGGAAGCCATGGCGTCAAAGTCTGCCGGAGCCCTGAGGAGCTGGCAGCACACGCGAAGAGTCTCGCTGATGAGGACGCTGCCGTGATGCTGGAAGAATTTTTGCAGGGTGAGGAGGGCACTGTTACAGTTATGCCGCCCACGGCGGAGAAGAAGGGGTACTGGGCGCTGCCTGTGGTATCACGCTTCAATCATCATAATGGCATTGCACCGTACAATGGCACCGTTGCTGTCACAGCCAACTCCAAAGTCGTCCCTGATTGTGAGAAGGACCCTATCTATGCGCAGTATGTAATTCCACACTCTAGAACTTAATCCTTCAGCACACTACGTAAATGCTTCTTTTCTTCCTTTCTAACAAGTGTATATGCTAGGGTAATGAGAGAGTCAGAGCGGGCTGCTGAGCTTCTTGGTGTTACTGCTCCGATCCGTATCGACGTTAGACGCTATAGTGACTCACCCGATTCAAAATTTGCCCTGTTTGATGTCAACATGAAACCGGTATGTGTAACCCATGGGGGCGAATGTGATATCCGGTTCCCCCTTCGAGACTTATACTGACTCTCATCGCCAGAATATGACTGGTCCTGGTAGACCTGGGCGTGATGACCAAGCCAGCCTCACGATGATGGCAGCCTCTGCTCTAGGCTGGGACTACAAAGAACTCTTGGGACAGATCCTTGCGACTTCGAGCACTTTGGCGACATTGAGAGCCTTGCAGCCCAGAGAGATCCCATGATTGAGAGAAAAAAGACTACTGCAGCATGCGGAGTCAAAGCCTTGGAGCAACGCATCCTTCAACCAAAAGGAAGTTTTTCCATTCATCCTACTTCAAATCATGCGTATAGATGTATACGTTGCCATGGTCTCAACTCGTGGCCCAGCGTGTATATCAATGTTGTGTAATAGCTGCCTCACCCCGTCACGACTCCCTCAGCTCGCGGCCACTATTACAGACCGCAATGCCTCAGGATGGAGTCGCAACCGCTGTGGAAATTGAATAGTGCAATAGCGCTGGGGATCTATTTTCTACCAATACCAAAGCCGGAGCCGAAAAGACATGGCAGACCAAGCATACCTTAGATGAGATTCAAAACTGGATCTGGGCGCTTTTGCTTGAACGTTTATTGATACCCACGGCTGTCCAATATATCGATACAGCCTGGTCACGAATATGTCTGGCACTGGACATACAATAAACCACCAGGTCTATTTAGGACGGACCTTCAGCCTGTAGATTCTGACAGATATGTGTGCATTCGTTTCGAAAAATTCAGCAGAAACATGAGACAGCTACTGCATCCTTTGATCAATTGGTCATGAATCTAGGCCTAGTGGATGGAACATGTATGAACTCGGTCCGACGTGGCGCGCATCTCCCGATATTATCAGTGAGGTAGGTTGGAGACACGAGGGATCTTCCGAGTCTCGGCCTTTTGACAAACTCAAATGCCGCGACGGTAGAGGCGAATGCAACCCAAGACATGATTCTAGTGTATCCCGGTTCCAAATTTTAATGGTAGATGTGTAAGAGGAGAAAATATTATTGTGGAGGTCTGGAAGTTTCAAGCGGGGCAACGAAGGGTATAAAGTCAATATTGGACTTCAGGATGACAACATCAAGTTTCTGGCTTCGTGCTTGACTGTCCACTTCAGCTATTCGACGTAGAATACAAGCTCTCTTCGATTCGTGCAGGACCAATTTGTAGTTGATGTCCAACAAGACCGCAACCATGGTGTCTCTATTTAAGACGACGTCGGTTTTGAGTTTATTCATTAGCATCGTGGCCACAGCACGCAGACTGCCTGCTGGTTCTTGGTAGTGTTTCCTTTGGTGAAAATTAAGAGTGAGCCTCAAGTGACTGACACAGCGAGGCAGGGACTCGCATATTCATGTTATCGACCCCGAAAAGTTTCCATTGGATCCTAATAGAGGTACGATTAAAATATGCTGTGCACGGATAAACATGTATTCCTTCAATGCCTCCGAGCACCGCGCGTCAGAGGGCTGACTTCTTCGTCGAGACTACAGACTACACTCCTAAGCCGGCAAGTATTGCGAATGCAACAGCTTTTGAGGTTAGCCTCGGTGTTGATCACGCCTGCATTGTCTTACCCAGCGTATACGGCACCAACAATTCGGTTCTTGTCGATGCCCTGCGCAAACTCAACGGCACATACCGCGGTGTGGCTGTCATTGACCCAGATGATATCACCAACACAACTCTCGAAGTATTTCACGAGGCCGGCGTTCGAGGCTGTAAGTCAATTTTGTTTCTTGCAGGATCTTTCTCTACATCCACCGTTGGACTTTGTCACCATGCTGAGAGAAGTACAAATTCTCCGGCACGGCAACCTGGAAGTTCTGGAGTACGATGTAATTACTTCAGACACATGCTTTGGCTGATGAAACCACCACAGTAAGACTGAATCTCGACAGTCAAAACAGCACAGAGGTTTTCGAGGCCGTTCGCAAGAACACAGATGTGGCGAAACAGATGAACTGGGTCTTGCAGCTCTACACGCCGCTTTCCTCCCTGGTCTACCTACACGACTTCATCGTCGACTCCGGTGTTACTTTCGCGTTCGATCACTTCGGCCATACCCTGGTCGGGTCCAAGACCAACGTGAGTATGAACACGTACGATCCATACCGAACACCAGGCTTCCGAGAGTTGATCGACCTCGTGCAAAGGAAGATCATGTTCGTCAAGATCTCAGGGCCTTATAGGGACTCAAACCAGGCTCGTCTCTATGAGGACATGCGTGTTGTGGCGGAGACCATCATCAATGCCGGTCCGGACATGGTCGTCTACGCGAGTGACTGGCCGCATACCAAAAGCAAGGAGGGCAATGCCGCCGTGGGCGGTCGCCTCAACGAACAGGATTTCATGGACATCAACGATGCTGCCCTGGTCGAGATCACGAAGGATTGGGCTGGAAGTGATGCTCAGATCCAGCGGCTCTTTGTGGATAACCCCAGGCGCCTGTGGCAGTGGTATGAGGACTCTTAGTGATAACGAGACGAATGTCTTCTCATTCCCTCCAGTACCTAGGCAGCCTGTGTAGACTTTCTCAAAATTTAGTTGGCTTTTTTGAGGTTTGACAAGAATGAATACAATTTGTTTTCAATCGAATAGTATTTCATTCACTGATAGCCTGAGTACGGTACACCATATTAAATCAATAGCCAACACAAGCTTGGATTAGAGAGAGAGAGCTGCGGCATTGAGAGAATTGGGATTTTTAAGGACCACCCCCCAAGTTTTGGTCGATCTACGGGTTAGGGTATAGCCTATCGACCCGCGCCTGCCTCGCGACTTCCAAGGAGCTTGCGCAGTGGGGCGGCTTTTTTGACTGAGGTTGGAGCTTCCAACCATTTCCATCCATCAACGAAGTCCAAGCACGGGCGAGAAGAAATACACCAACGCGACCTGTTTGATCTCGAGCGCATTGATTTCATCATATCAAAAACAGCTGCTCACATCGACGCGAACGTCCCGCGCGATTCACAATGGCTTCCCAACAGCCGCTCTCCTCGTCGCAGCAGCCAGCTGACGTCTATGGCGGAGGTGGGTGACCTTTGCGCATGCTGCAATCCCTCTAATTACCAACCCATCGCCTAACTTTGTTGCCTTACAGATGAGATCTCCGCCCTCGTCCTCGACCCCGGCTACTGGCACACGCGCGCCGGCTTTGCGGGCGAAGATGTCCCTAAATGCGTCCTGCCCTCCTTCTACAGCCAGATCGGCGAGAGCCGCGCATTTGGCGACGAGTGCATACGTCCGCGCGAGAACCTGGAGCTGCGCAACTACATGAATACCAAGTCCGAAGTGGAGGACTGGGATGTCGCGGCCCAGCTCTGGGAGAACATGCTTGTCAGTCGGCTGAACCCGACTCAGCAAACACCACCTTCGAAGAACGGCCTCAACGATGGCAACAAGGACGGCGAAGGCGATGTCGCGATGGAGGAAGTGGAAAACCAGGAGCTTCAGGAGAAAGCACTGTACGAAAACCCGATTCTGCTGACGGAACCGGCGACCAATCCTGCGAAAAAGCGAGAAAAGGCCATGGAGGTTGTCTTCGAGAACTGGGGAACACCAGCCTTTTGGCTCAGCAGGACACCGGTTCTCTCAGCGTTCGCGGCAGGGAAGGCAACGGCCCTGGTGATTGAAGTTGGCGGGGCAAACACCTCTGTCACTGCTGTACATGATGGTATGGCGCTGAAGAAGTCGGCTGTGCAGTCTCAAGCAGGTGGAATATGGTTGTCGCAGCAGATCCGCACCATGTGGGAGACCAACGATCCGAAGATTGACACTGTTCCCACCTTCATGATTGAGAACAAGACCCAGGTGGATGCCCAACAGCCGCCCAACGCCAGACTCAAGACGTTCCCCTTCGCGATCCACGATTCTTTCCGCCGGTACGAGGAGGAGCGACTGTTGACCGAGTTCAAGGAGTCAGTGGTCGAGGTTTGGAAAGGCCCTGGGCGCTACGTGACCCCCGGCAACGAGGATTTCATCAAGTCACAACCCGGCCGTGTGTTTGAGATGCCCGACGGATACAATCAGATGTGGCGCGAGCAGCGGTTCAAGGTCGCTGAGGGCATGTGGGACGAGACGGCGGCGTATCCGGTCACAGACGAGCAGTTCCGCCTGGCGAAGAATCAGACGATACCAGGACTGATCAAGCAGAGTCTGGACCTAGTGGACGTGGACTTGAGGCCTCATCTCCTGGGCAATGTTGTTGTCACCGGAGCCACGAGTCTGCTCAACGGGTTCAACGACAGGCTCAACAACGAGCTCAACCAAATGTACCCTGGCATGAAGATCAAGCTGCACGCGGCAGGCCTGACGAGTGAGCGCCGTTTCGGTGCCTGGGTCGGTGGAAGCATCCTGGGCAGCCTGGGAAGTTTCCACCAGATGTGGATCTCGCGCAAGGAGTTTGAGGAAATCGGCCCTAACGTAGTCGAGAAGCGCTGCAAGTAGTGAGGTCTCACCACGTGGCTAGGAAGCGGATGGTGTGAGAAATTTGCTGCTTTAATTTTGGGAATGTGTGGCAGTCCAGAATGGATGGGCGTCTGGAGTTGGCAGATGGTCTGCTAGCCGGTGGCAGGATCAAAAGCTGGGCACGACAGCTTTTCAAAAAGCTCGATGTTTGTACAAAAAGTGGAATATTAATATCGATCAATATGCTGTCTCTTGATATTGCATATCCAAATCTTGACCCAAACCTGCTAGCCATGCCGACCCTTGCTCTCTTTTTAATTGTTCCAAATGCAAACAGATTGAGCCTTCCTCACCATCCATTCCACCTCGGCCATACATCAACCACTTCGTCCTCCTTCCCTGTTCTCCTGCTGTCGACCACTAGGTAGTGATCATACCCAGCACCGGTAATACACGCGTGGTTTGGCCATATTCTCACCCTTTGCCCAAACCTCAACGGCACTTCGGCCTCCTTGGCCCCCTTCCACACGAGAATCCCATGCTCCTGGCTGATCTTACCAACCTGCCAGCCCCCGTGCACCGCAGGGAAGTCCCTAGGCGCCGGGTCCGACTCCTCGAGCCCCGCGTCGCCCCACGGCGCCACCACGCCCCAGCCGGCGTAGTGGCCCGCGCCGTCCTCCTTGCACGGCTCGCGGCCCAGCGCCAGCGACCCGGCGTTGACCAGCGCCTCGGTGGACCCGCCCTCGCCGCGGCCGGCGTACAGCGACGCCACCTCGGCCACGACCGTGATGGCGATGTCGCCGCTGCTCAGCAGCGAGCCGTCGCGCGCGTGCGTGGCCAGCTGCTGCAGGTCCAGGGCCGGGTAGACGCCGGCGTGGACCTCTAGGCCGAGGCCGGCCTGCTTGAGGTCCTTGATCAGGCCCGACAGGTTCGCCACGCGCGCCCCGGCCTCTTGGCTGGAGGGGGATGATGCCGCCGGCGCCCCGCTTGTGAAGTCTGGGTGTTGCAGCGCCGTGGCTGTCGGCGTGGCGCCTACGGATAGGACGAGCGGGTGGCTGGGGCTCTGGCTGCGGATTTCGTTGGCTACGTTGCTCAGGGTGGCGTACTCTTCGGTCAGGTACATCAGGGCGTCCCAGTCCTTGCGCGTGTAGTACGACTGCCCTGCGTGGGCGTACAGGCCGTGGAGGACGCAGGAGCCTTCGGCCTCGGATGCTAGGATGGCCTTGAGCAGGGACTGGTAGGTTGGGGTGCCCGGGATGGCGCCTGCGCGGTGGTACTTGACGTCGATCTTGAGGAAGACGAGTGGCTTGTTGCCCCCGGACTGGGACTTGAAAGCGGCCAGGAGTGGGACCTGGTCTGGATTGTCGATCATGACGGAGACCGCTTCAGGTCCCAGATCCTGGGAGATGGCGGCGAGTCGTGAGACCGCGGATGGGTAGAGAGGAAATGCGTAGAGCACCTTTGAGGGATTTAGACCTGCAAGTTCACATCCAGAGGGTTCTCTTGGTAGATGCTCACATTGACTTTGCGCCCCTTGCTCTGGAAATCCTTTAATACGGGTGCGATATTCTCTGCCTCGAGGACGGTTGAGACGATGATGTTGGCGGGTGTGTTGGTCTCATCGCCGACTTGAAGCCTGGTAAGCTCCTTGGTCTGCCCAAGAAGCGGTCAGCCGCCCTGATGTCCCGAAGAAAACAATCCAGCTACCCTCAACCCCGAGGAGGACGCGAGACTGACCTTGTGAGTCTTGATGTGAGCTCGCCACCCAATGCCGTTCTTGTCGGCGGCATCAATCATTCGCTGGCAGTTGACCTCGAGCTTGGCAAGGTCCAGGATGATGCTGGGGGTCGGAACCTCGTGGAGAGTCTTCCCAACGAAGCGCTCTTGAAGAGCGGTCTTGGATGCTGTCGCCGACATGATGAGCGGTTGTCACCAGCAATTCGTATTCTGAAAAAATTGATTAGTGTCTTGATCTTCTTGACGGGGTTGGACGGGGTTGACATGGTCATGTGGCAAGGCTCACTCAGGCGTTTCTATTCGAGGCTTCGACTAGGCACTCAGCTTCCACACGGGCCGAATAGTTGGCTATGACTGTGATGACCCGAGAGTATTGTAGTTTTGGCGGTACACGACTAAAGAGTTGCCCACGAACATGAACTGCCATTCGATGCCGGAAATGTCTTTTGTAAGTCAGTCCTAGGACGATATCGGCCTCGGGAGTGATCTCCACATGATAAGAGTCATTAGACTAACGCAGAGGCGCGGGCACCAGACGGGCAATGACAATTCCGCATCACGTCACAAAATCTTGGTGTTGATGACAGGCCAAAGATGTTACACTTTTACAGGAGCCGAACCTACGAGCTCGGATACATGCTTGGACGCGGCAGACACTCGACATGCACATGCTGTAGTAGTCCAGGGTTTTCACATTCGGCCACCCAGATGCAAGCTGCCCCTGTCTTAAGCTGCTTATGACAGCCTGGAGGGATATCCGGCTCCTCACTTCCCATGCTGCAGAAAGTCGATGATTATGTTGAGGCATCTTGCGTAAGGTCGTCTTCGCCAGCTCCGGGGTTGTGTTTGTCCGGACGGCAGCCATGTCAGCATGTCATGGTACACGGTGACATGAGTTTTGTTCCAAGGCCTCGTCCTTCTTCCCTCCGGTTCAGCAGCCAGAGAAGAATGCAAAGTGGAAGTGATTCCATAGGAGCAAGACGTCACGATTCTTCAGCCGCCCTTCAAGGTCATCAACAAGGGCACCCTTATATGCAGGTATCCTAGGGGTTTAGCCTTGGATGTTGCTCACGGCAGCCAACAAGGAGCATCAGTTGCAAATGGAGTAGCAGACTGGTTATGTCCAGAGTTGTTTGTAAAATACACAAGATGCTTCTCATTCTTCAGGATCCTCGAGGGCAAGATACAAAGACGTGTTGTGAAACCCAGTGGGTGGGGAGTAGGACTGTGCAGGTTAGGAGCGATGACCGTCACAATTCCCAAAATGACATCTTTGCGTGTAGTCCATGAGCTGATGATGTAGGCTGTCAGAATGATACACAGGATGAACGAAAAACTCGTTTGGGAGATCAGGGAGAGCTGCTCTTGTATGCTGCCCGTGAGAAAAAAACAGACAGGCCCCTTGAGTTTTGATATGTTGGTGACCTGTTGCTGGGATGGTCCGTGCACCTCCGCGTCGCCCCACCCTCGGTACGTACCCACTCATTTTAGCTCCAACTCCTCAATCAAATGCGGCTCTCGCAGTGGCCGGCCGTGGCACTTGCATTTCAGGTCACGCTGGGCCGACCTCAACATCCCACGGTCACCACTCTGTCTTGCCTGCGATCGAAAGGGGCCTTCAGGCAACCTTGCAACACTCTTTCCACGACACGACGCGACCTTCGTCCATCGCACTCCCGCACATGAAGAACTACGGGATCGCTTTCTCGCCAAAGCTCACATCGTCGCTGTCTCCTTCCTCTCGATACGTCCGCATCGAAAGCCAAACTCGACCCGACTCAGCCGCGACACTCGCTCATTCACAGCGCGCGACGCCGATCAGCTCTATTGTCCGCGGTGTCACTGCTTCCACCCACTGGCATGACCTGAGTCTTTGCCGCGACGCGCAACGCGACGTTGCGAGGTGTTGTCGGAGGCGAACGTCGCAACGTCAACATCCCTGAGCACCCCTCACGCCCATCACCATCCCCAGCCTGGTCCCTTCGACCTGGCTACAAGTCCACGTCATGGCCACCGACGACGAGATCAAGCGCGAGTCTGCCTCACCCATGGCAGATGAGGTGGACTGGGCGACCCAGGAGAAGGACGACGAGGACGCCATCAGGAATCTGTTCGCCGTCGATCCTGCCAATCAACCCGATCTTAGCCTCGAAGGCCCTATTGACCAGTCCAACAAAGCCGATGACGCCTTCGATTTCGAGGACATCAGTGATGACGATCTGCCTGACGAGGAGGAGGCTGTCAACGGCGGCTCCGAGCAGCCTCCTGCTCTGACTAGCGATGGCGGTACTAGCAACGATAACGACGACGACCTGTTTGGCGATGGTCGAGAATCTTCGCCCTTGGTCGGCGAACCCGCCATGTCACCAGGAGCTGCAATCGCAGACACCGACCAGCAGGACATTGAGATGACCGGCGGCGACGACCTAGCCGACCTGCGGGCCCTTAATTTCGACCCCGAGCCTAGCTTTCCCATGGCCAACCAAGACCCTTCTATACCCGCCGCCCCCGAGAATGTTTTAGACCTGCTGAAGCAGACCTTCCCCGACTTCGAGAGGGGGAAGATTCTCAACTTCAACCAGCTATTTCCACCGAGGAAGGCGAACTGGGTCGACAAGAAGCCTCCGAGAAACCCCAAGCCTCTCATACCTACAAAGCTCAGCCTAGACCTTGACGTCGATCAGGAGAAGCAGTTTAGGGTCCCCGGGCCCGCTTCGCTGACGACACTTCAAAAGATACAGACTGCCGAGAAGAATGGCTTGGTGTCTTTGCTTATTCCGGAGCCCGTCGACCCCAACGAGCTCGAGATCTTTTATGCAGATGATCCCGATTCTGAAATGGAACTAGTCGGTGGCTTCACTCTGCGTGATATTGAGACAGTGTGCGAGGATTGGGACGATGTTATTGATCCTCCTACTTTACGGCTCCGCCATGATTCCCCTGGACCTGCTGTTGCTGAGGAAGATGATGATTGGTTCCTGGAGATGGGCATCGACCGCCCTGCTCCTAAGCGGCGCAAAGTCTCCCATCTTCAGGGCCTGCCGGAGATCTCAAGATTCGCAGCTCCGTCCTTTGACAATTTCGAGGATGCCACTGCAAGAAGCGCCAAGCGTGTACGCCTGGACATGAACGATCCCTATCTTCTGATTGATGATATGGAGACGGAGCGGCCGGCAAAGCGTCCCAAGACCAACCAGAAGATGAAGCGAATGGCTGACGGCAAGATGGCACAAGATATCACTCAAAGATTTAATGTGTCGAACGATGATGCATATGAGGCTCTTAAGGAAAACGTGCGAGACAAAGTCAGGGCGACATTGGGTGGTATCCAAGTCGAACACAGCACCCCAGCGCGAAAACTCTTATGGCCATACTATCAAGTCAAACTGCACGATGCGAGTGCATTCAGCTATCACCGGCCTCCATTCAGGGTGCTCAAACAGGTTGGCAGGAACTTGGGCTGGATAAAGCCCAGGTGGTTCAAGCGGAGAGAATTCAAGGCCCAAAGGGTGGGCGACATATACAAGGAGTCAAGAGACCTGAGTCTCAACGACAACTCGACTGCTGTTCTATTCGAATACTGTGAAGAGGTCCCGACCGTGCTGTCCAATTTCGGCATGGGCAGCAAAGTCGTCAACTACTTCCGTGTCAACCACGACGCCGAGGAGAAACCCGCCGAGAAGCCATCCATAGGCGAAACCAAAGTACTTCTGCCCGAAGATCGATCCCCATTCGCCAATTTTGGAGATGTCAGCAAGGGTGAGACAGTGCCTACATTTCAAAACCAGATGTACCGGGCGCCCATCTTCAAGCACGAGCCCAGAAAGACCGATTTCCTCATTGGCCGTATCACGAATTCGAGAGAGGGCAGCCAGTACTACATGCGCAGAATTGACCATCTCTACGTTGTGGGCCAGAACTTCCCATCCGTCGAGGTGCCAGGCCCTCATAGTCGGAAAGTCACCAACACAAGCAAGAATCGTCTCAAGATGCTGTCATACCGTTTGATAATGAAGAAAGGCCATGTAGCTCTGAATGACATCACAACCCACGTGAAGGACTCGAACGATGCGCAAAATCGGCAAAAGTTGAAGGAGTTCCTGGCCTTCAATAAAGAGGCCAGGCACTGGACTCTGAAGGACGGAGAGAGGCTGATGGACCCGGAGACGATCAACTCGATGGTGCAGCCCGAGGATGTGTGCCTTATGGACGCGATGCAAGTCGGGACATATGAGGTTGAGAAGTCCGGATTCGCCGTTGACTCGCTGAATCCCGATAAGGAAGCGGATGAAGGAGAAAACATAGCGGTCCATCTGACACCGTGGAACACATCCAAGGCTTTTATCGATGCTACGACTGGCAAGGCAATGCTGAAACTTCGTGGTGAGGGTGACCCGACCGGCCGCGGTCTCGGGTTCAGCTTCATCAGGACTTCTATGAAAGGCGGCTTCCTGAATGTCTATCACGAGCAAGGCCCACAATCAACATCTGCAGATGCGCTCGAGCGAGAGCGAAAAGCAAACGGCGGGCATTCGTACAACGTCAAGAAACAGAATGACGCGTACGCCGAGGTCATCGCGGACATCTGGAACAAGCAGAAGGAAACACTGAGTGAGGCGGCTGTCCATGACGACGCGGACGTGCAGCCCCAGGATGACGAGGATGACCGCTTCAACGCCCAGTCGCAAGTTGCTGCTACTCCCCGCTTCGACGAAGGCGTCAGCCAGGTTAGCCGCAGTGCCATTAGTGCCCGCAATGCGAAGCGGAAGTTGAAGATCATCAGGACGGTCAAGGGTGCAGACGGCAAGGAACAGCAGGTCGAGGAGATTATCGAGGACGCCGGTGTCATCGCACAGTACACGAGGGCTAGGAGGGAACTAGAAGAGGCCGATATCGATGTGTACAACATCCAATGGACCGGGAATGAAGAAAGGGATCGGGTCATCAGGAGCAAGCTGGAGCAGGAGGAACTGCGCCTCAAGAAGAACCGAGAGCGCCGCCAACAGCGGGAGAAGCAGAAGGGGGGCGCGCGTGCGAGCCTCTCCGGGCCCGCCGGGGCCGCACTCGGCGGCGGTGGCGGCGGCTCGGGCCTTTCACCGGAGCCTTCGGTCGAGAAGAGCGGTACCACGCGCAAGTGTGCCAACTGCGGTCAAGTTGGTCATATCAAGACCAACAAGAAGTTGTGCCCGATGCTCAACGGTACCATGTCGAACAAGGTTGGCGGTGACGACACCACCGGGACGTATGGTGAGACTTGAATGGAAGGAAAAATAACAAAAACAAAACCAGCAAGGGGCAGAATGATCCTTCCTGCGGGTTCCCGCTTCATGTGTGTTTATGTTTAGAAACAATCCGTCTTCCGGGAGTTGACGTGCGGGGTGGGAAATGGGGGGGGGATGTGGGATGGGTGGTGTTGCATCCAGGTTGAGATTAATGCTATACTTACACCACACACCTCTCTTGCCTTGCTTGTGAAATGGGTGACTTGACCGGTGATGAAAGTGCGTGAGATAACAATTCCTCTGTGGTAGTGATCGTGATGACGATTCGTCGCGCTGACGCGGCGGATATGGGGTGGATGGTGTGGTGTGTTGTGGTGTAATTGGGGGGAGATGAAGCAGACCACCTCCGCCGGCCTAGCTATGGTTCGCCGGGACTCCGGAGGCTGGCTTGTGGATCTGATCAGGTATCCTCCCTTGGGTTCCTGGGGTTTCACTTCCTACGGGATGCCATCTTAATCGCGGTAGTAAAATTTACCAGGTGTTACAGCATGCACTCCCGTTATTTTTGAAGGGTCCCTTCCTGAACCGGTGGGTTCCTAGCAAATCTCTGTGATACCTGCAAAGCCGCGGCATCGTCACTCGACTATGTTACTCAAGGCAGGCTAGGGATGATATGAGAAACCCCAAATGGTAAGGGGCAGGGCGTGCATGTGCGCGTGTTTCCCCATGTGCGGCGCGACAGATTACGTGAGTAGGCTAGCGGGTTGTGCCTCGTTTCGTTCGCGCAGTAGTAGGCCTAGGATGATGGGGGATGGGGAGGTCGGATGTTCTGGATGTAAGACGGGCCCTGGCAGGGGTTGAACTTATCCACCCTTTCACCCATCCATTCATAATTCTTTTTTGCACCGTCCGCGAACCTGTGCTTCCGCACTCCGGGGGCCAGACATTGGGCCGGCCTTAGTGGAAGGAAGGAAGGGGCAGGAAGGATGGAATGGGAGGGATGGATGGTGTTGCGGCTCAGCCCTACTGGCTCTGTTTCGAAACATCGGCGGCGTGATGCGTGAGGCACAGGTCGATCTGGATGATATGGGGGTGGGAAAGCAGAGCGGAGGCACAGCGAGGGCCGCGCTCGCCCGGCTTGAGGGGGGGGGGAGGGTGCACGTGGTGCGGAGGATGGATAAGAGTCCGACGACGAGGCTGTACCTCAGCGCGCTTCCTGCTTGTTTTGCGGTTTCAAATCAATATGAGACAGGAAGGCATTATAGCAGCTACTGACACCTGAGGTCTGTATATCCGCCCAAAGCAAGCGGCCCATGGAAGTCTTGAAGCTGTGGAGACGACGATATGCCCTTCAGCCGCACAGCAGTGCGTCCAGGATCGTCCATCTGATGTGCTCTCGCCTCCGGATAGAATGGCTTGGCTGGTTTTGTCATGGCCATTATGTCCATCGCGCGGTAACCTGATCTGCCACTGACTCGATTCAGATGTCGCTTAGAGCGACTAGACGACAATGCGCGGAGAGACAGCCACGTCCCCGGCCTGGAATATCAGCTGAACAGCCGTTGCACAGACTGATGGCTTATAGGGCTGCAGGGTTGCAGATAAGCGAGGGTCGGGCTGTCACCGAGACTGGTAGACAGGCTATCAATCATGCAGGCTGGCATCGAGTTTCGAAAGCGGGACTTGGGTGTCACAAGCACGAGGTCATCTCTCTATTTCTCCTTCTCCTGTCAGTATGCATGTCATCAAAGTATCTTATATTTGGTGTTTTGACGGACATCATCCTGAAGTAAGTAGTGAGGGCCAAGACATCCATCTTGGCATTTGGCCAGTTAGCGAACTCGACGCTGCCGCTGTCCCGTTCGAGGACCGTCCCTAGGTGAGACTCTAGGTTCTCGGTATTGGTGGTGTCGCCCACCATGCTCGAGTCCAATTTGATCCTTCCTGGGCGAAGGATCGCAGCCTTCACGTCGATAAGTGCGACGCACCATGGCGACAGTGTAGCTCTGTAAGTGGACGGCAATTCGGAGGAACGGGTGGGATTTGAGATGTCAGCCGGTGGGGTAACACGGACGAGTCTCCAGACCTCAAGCATCGGTCCCGAGCAGCCCACTAAAACGTGGTCTGTCGTCACAAATAGGCAAGTGTTCCGATGTGTTTTCCTGATATCACGGCAGTAGCGTCAATCTCGGGAGATTTTGATCTCCTGATGCCTTTGCATGATGTGTTGAGTGGCTGGCGAAACGGGCCAGTGGTGGGAGAAGGAGGTTGAAGATGGACTTCTAAAAATATCTATTTTTAACTGATAGCCGCCGGGCGCTTAGCTTAGTGACCCCACTCCCATGCAGAATGCACGCAAGATTTTGAAAAGCCAAGAGGCAGGGGGGGAGGAAGGGATGGGTGGGGGTGTGATAGGTCCGAGCTTGATGGTTCCGCAGTATCACCCGTCCTACCGTGGCACGCGTGGGTGTGCGGTGGGTCACTGGTGATGGCACTCGAGTCGTCGTCGTCGATATCCTAACGCATAAGGTGGTGCTTGCGGCGGACAGCGCATCGTTTATTCGTCTCAAGGAATATGATCGGTCGTGCCGTGGGACAATCGCATCGTTGCATCGCGGTGACTCGGGAACCCTGTCACAACCAGCTGTTGGGTTCGACGGGGCCGGGATGCTGGTTTGAGGTCTGACTCGACGAGAGCTCCGATGGTGTCGATAATCCACGGATGAAACCTTCTAGAGCTTCCCCTAGCTCCTCAACGGCTCTCAAGAAACTCCATAGCCGTCACTGCGGCGCGAGGATGTGAGACCTAGGAAGAGCCTCAAGCCCTCAAAGCCTCAGAGGTCGCGCTGTACAATCTAGTTATTTCGGGCCGGGAGTGATACGTAGCACGGTGCCGGAGGCGGAGGTCAGACAGGCTCATAGGCGCGGCACGAAGCCATCAGCCAAGCCATAATCTACCCCGGGATCAATCTTTGTGGCCCGCTGAGATTTCGCAAATCCGATGAGATTCAGGGCAGCACTCACAGCCCCAATTTTGGATCACTCTGCATGGCTTGCCCCTTGTGCAGATGCTCAGGTGTGCCTGCGGGTGGGGAGCTGCACAGAGTCAGACACGATTGACCAGTCGGTGCCAAGCTTACAGACTACTCGGAATTGGCGTGTGCACCAAAGTACCGTTAAGGCGAGGCTGCCCTGCCCTGCGTGTTCACCCCATCCGCGGGACCGCAACAACAAGCTCGATAACCTGCCCCTGCCAAGGTCACACGGTCGCTCAAAGAAGGTTGGATGTCGTCCAGAGTCGCCAGTAAGACATGGTTCCTGCATAACCATGCTCCTATGTTGCATTTAATGTCGGCGAAGAGCGAGCAGACTACTGAAGTCGCCCAATATGGATTCGGGCATGCAGAGGTGAGAGTATAGCGTACCGAACAGACAGAGAAGATAGCGTTGTCTATTAAAAAAGAATCTCGAGTTGATTTCTTGGATTGCCAATTAGATGCGGCCGTCGTCAGGCTCTGCCATGTGGCCGGCCGTATAGCGTACTACACACAGCGAACAGTACTACGTGCTGTACCTGACCGCAGATCAGGTCATATCAGCTCGGGGCCGAGTCTCATGGATGGGAAACGAGTCGTCGCGCGCTTGGAGCACGTATGATGCATTGACGGCCGTTGAAAATCTGTGGGTCGCCTTCTGCAAGGCTGGGACAGAGGCAGGTACTGCTTAGCAAGCTCGTGAAGTCTTGGCCGGCGCATCTTTTGGGGGATGTGTCGCGGCAGTTGACGTTCAGGCTCGTAGGGCTGGCAGGGGCACAGGCATAGACGCAGACACATACGCGGGCGCGGGCGCGGGTGCGGGCGCTGGCAGAGGGTGGTGATTGCTGCTGTCCACGTGCACTGCATTGTCGAGGGCGGGCCTCTGACGATCAGAGTTTCGATGTGCCAAGAGCCTTGCAACCGGGAGTGTCACGGATCCGGATGTGGGTGCCGTCCCAATTGGCAGACGGCGGCCTGGCCGTACCTCATTTGCGAGGGGATGGACAGTCGTAGGAGAGTAGTGACAATTAGAATAAAAATAAACATAAAAGGAGACGTGATATGAAGCTGTAATGAGATAGCAACTGATGCGGTTGCAGCTGTGCAGCAGTCATCAGGGAGGCAGATGATGGTGTTGCGTTGTACTGTAGACTACTCGGTACTCGGGAGGCTCCTCGGGAGGCTAACAGGCGACCGAGCTTCATCTTGTGCATGGGTTGGCGATGATGGCGTTGTCTTTCGGTTCAGGGGACCCCCTGGTGTTTGGGGAGCCCACCGGACGACCCCTGGGCACAGGGTTTTTTTTTCTTCTTTTTGATCACCACTTCTGGAGTGTTTCGACTGACTTGATGTGGTTTGCTGTGGTTGGCCAGATGCAGACGGACTTTGTCCACACTGTCGGCGCCGTGTGGTTGTCCGATGGCTGTGCCTGTTCGCGCGCCCGTTGCACGTTGCAAGATGCAAGATGCAACGCTGGCAGGAGTTGTGCACGTTGTATGAGAGATGGGATGTACACAGTAGATACGATACGGGGTTTTACATTACAATACTGTACTTAGTTAGCAGAGCACGCATTTGCTGGGATGGACTCAGCAACGACTGCCGGTCCTAGCCAGGTCTAGCTTAACACTCCCGACCTCGTTTGGGAGAGGGGGAATACGGGGGAGGACAGACGATCGAATGGTAAGGCTTGTTCCGGATAAGGCAAGGGCTCGGACTGGTCCTGTCTTTGATTCCAGAGAACCACGAGGCAGGAACGTTGAAAGAACATTTTAGCGTCAGAGTCGAGTCGAATCGAGTCGAGGGTCAGACAGACACCAGGGCCAGGGCCAGGGCCAGTCTGGCCAGGAACCAAGGGCTTACACAGTACAGTACTGGTTTGACTGTTTTTCCTGTTCTTTGCTGTGCCTCTTTTGAATCACATCACGTTGATCCCGAGTCGAGTCGAGTCGAGTTGAGTGAGTCGTGTGAGTCGAGTCCTCTTTCTGTCTCTGTTCTTCTCTCTCTCTCTCTCTCTCTTTCTCTCTCTATTCCCCCTCTTGCCGAGTCTGAGCGACCGAGTGCAAGTGGGGCGGGGTGAGGCGAGGCTAGGCTAGGCGAGGTGAGGTGAGATTCGGTCATGTCTGTCTCGTCTGCCCATCACTCATCTACACCTACCTACCTGCACATCTGGGCACAAGTGATCAATCTGTAGCCTATGTACTGTAGCCTACTGTGTACGTACCTGGTCTACCTACCCCATCAGACCATAGACCAGAGATTGCATGTCGAGTAGTCTACAGCAAGTGCAATCCTGCCAGGGACTGCTTCCTTCCCCCCTCCCCTCCCACATCCTCCCGAAAACGGTTCTGTCCCTGCTCCTCCCATCCAGTCCTAGTCCCAGTTTCGCCAGTCTCCCAGTCCTTGTCCCAGTCCCAGTCCCAGTCCCCTTCTCCTCCACCACCCTCAACCCCCTCCACCCCTGCCCGCCTGCCCACCCGCTGCGCACTCGCCTGCCCTCTTCGAGCCCAGAGCCTTACCCAGGTCTGCTCCAACCCCCAAAATTCCGCCCACGACTAAAACCTGGCCCGCCTGCAACTCTCGTGCGCTGCACCCATACCTCTCTTTCTCTCCTTTCTATTATTAGCATCACCATCAATCGTTCAGCCCCATCAACCTGCACGCCATCGCATCGCATCACAACACACATGCGATCGAGTCCATGCTAGCTAATGCTAATACTCGGTTGCCATACAATTAACTGACCTGCAAGTATTCTCCTGCCCACCTGTCTGCTATTCGATACCTTGTTCCTTCGTGCTGTCGTCGCCGTGGCTGCATCCGGTCAAGAACCTCAAAAAGGCCCGCCTGCGCCGCCCGCCATCGTCCCTTGTGTTTCGAGTCCACCCTGCCTCTTGCCTACCCTACTGCTCTTGCGATCCATCGCGCGGCACTCAGACTAATGGTCTTCACCTGCCATAGACTTGTTCTCTTCCCTCGACCTTCCTCGGCACCAGGCTCCTCACTAAGCGGCCCGTCCCCGCCTCTTGTGCAGAGCAAATATAGCTACCTGCCTCCCCTCGACCCGGCCGTTTATAGCTATCTTTATCCTCCTCCTCCACTTTTTCGCATACTGTTTTGCTTCCTTCCCATTAGTCCTGTCAACCAACTCTCTCCGCATATACTCCAGGCCTAGTTTCGACTCGACCCAAAGCTGGCTTGCACGGCCAGCGCCGCAAGGCCGCACACACTGGAAATAGAGTCTAGTCTCTAGTCATCACCAACCTCTGTTACATCGTTGCTCCAAGACACCTATTCGCAAGCCCTTCAAGATGGGTCGCAGAAAGATCGAGATTAAAGCTATCAAGGATGATAGGAACCGCTCGGTGTAAGAATTCCACTCCTCAAGAGCCATCTCGACTCGATTCAGTCATGGAATGGCCTACTGACGATATGCCCTACTCCAGTACCTTCCTGAAGCGCAAGGGCGGTCTTTTCAAGAAGGCACATGAGCTCTCGGTGCTTTGCTCTGTTGATGTTGCCGTCTTCATCTTTGGTCAGAACAAGAAGCTGTATGAGTACTCGTCTGGCGACATGCGAGAGCTCATCACCAGATATACCTACCATGGCGGGCCAAATGAGCACAAGGGGCCCTCAGACTTCAACGGTGGCGCAGATGACGACGAGGACGACGAGGGCGATGCCACGCCTCCTCATGGAGAGCGCATGGGCACTCCGATGATGCCTCAGCACTTCCAAGGACAACCACCCTTTCCGCACATCAGGCATCATACTCCATCAGCATCTCCGCCCATACCTAACGGCGTGGCCTTCGCTCAGCATGCTGCTCAGGGTATCCAGAGGGTCCATACCCCGCAGCCGCAAATGGGCTCGCGGCCCGGCTCGCGCAACGACATGCGACGAATGCCTCCTCATATGGTCCCTCAACAGGTAGGCCCTCACGGGCCTCCCCAAGGCCCTCAAGTCAATGGCTATGCATACATTCCTCAGCCGGCCATCTACAATCCTCAGAACCCGAACATGCCTCAGCCCGGCCACCAGTATCCTTATCCTCCTCCGCCACCTCACTTGCAGCAATATATGGAGAACCACCATAGGCAATCCTCAGTTCCTCCCAACTTCCCTCCACAACCTCAGCAGCAACATCAACAACCCCCACCACCCGTCAGGCACTCGCTTTCACCACCACAGCAGAACCACAGCATTCCAGCGCAAGCTGTGCCGCAACCGTCACCTCAACCTCCGCACTCGGAAATTCACAGCCCGCCGCCGCCACCGCCTCCTCAGACACAACCTCAGAGTCAAGAAGCCCTGCCAGCGCCTGTGCAACCCAAGACTGAAGCCCACGACAGGCTTATGCCACAGGCGCCTCTGCTAGACACGGCCTCAGCCATCAAGAAGATGCCTCAGCGAAAACAACACAGCATCTTTACGCCGATAGACGAGAACCGTTCTGTCCTGTCCCAACATCTGGCAGCTTTTGCGGAGAACAATGGCAAACTTGACCCCAATGGCAACCGGTCACAGTCAATGGACGCGCCGACAGCTTTGCGAATCACCGCCTCTCCACCACAACCGCCTAAAAGAGCGGAGACGGGCCCTGCTCCACCCAAGCGTCAAGTGTCCGTATCCTCCATACCCGAGGCAGGCTTCACTCCACCTTCGCGGACCAACAGTCTGCGTACTAGCGGCGCGACGCGGCCCCGTCTCAAGGTGCAAATTCCAGACGAGCCGTCCGATGCTGGCAGCAACACTGCAGAGTCCAGCTCTGCTGGTCCTGGACACTCGACCGACGCTACGTCACAGACGACACGACCCGGAGACTCACACTCGTCTGGCATCGTGCTCCCACCACCCTCACCATCTGCGACCACCACATTGCTCTCGGCCGGTGCGACTGGGCCACCAAACCCGTTCGCACGACCTCCCAACCCTAACAACCAAAATCACATGAACATCGATACCCCTGCATCAGCACTTCCCTCTCGTTACATGACCAATGAGTTCTTGCCCAGTCCAAGCCAGTTCTTCCCCGACCTGTACGCAAGAGGTCATGACAGCAACACACTCCCTAGTCCACTCAACTTTGCGACTCCTGTCGCTGGTTCAGGTCCCAGCTTCTTGAGAGAGGAGCTTTCCACAACTGGCAAGAGGAAGAGCCCAGAGATCAGCAGCAATGGTCCATCTTCAGACCCCATCGAGCCCAGCAATGAGCCCAAACGACTCAAGGTCGGCAATTAAGATGGCGCTTGATTGCATCTTCTCGTTTGAGTTGGTGCCAGTGTACATTATTCTCTGTATTTGTTCAAAAAGATGGAAAGCTTCGCAGCATTTTTATGTCGGAACATACCGATTATGAGGAATATCTCACCAATCTTTGAGTTGTCAGTTCCATACCGCACGGTCTGGCATCTATTTTGTGCTTCGTGGCATTGCGGTGGAGTTTCAAGGCAAGAACGCGGTCGTTTATCATTTCAGGAGATCTATTGGTGGCGGATGGGAAGCAGTGTGACACGATCTGGGAATTTGGACTTCTCATGTCAGCTTGCTTTCGTACTTTTGCGCGATTTGACGCACCGAGTCCTCACCGGTGTTGAAGGGTTATATACTGGTCTTGAGCCTGTAGGGCGTGTGAATAGGACCAGGAATAGGCGCATGGAAGTGAATGATACATAGACAAATACAAACCAACGCGTTACTCCAATCAAGCTTTCTTCCCTTTGGTGCATTAAGCGTGGGGCCATTTCATAGGAGATGGACATGAGAAAATGTGATAGATCAAATTTGGTCCGGATGTGTTGCAGGGAATTCTGTTCTAATGCAAAAGCTTTTTAGCAACAAAATTCAAGCACGTCTCGACAGTCACAGAGTTTAGAATGCTTGCGACGCAGATAGGAGTAAGCTGTGAGAGAAAAGGCTGTCACGGAAAGCTAGTCAACGGATAGGATCATCACACTCATCGTCTGCGATAATAGTCAGCTGATACTGTGAAATACGTAGCGTGGCGGACAGATAAGACAGAGGGCCATGGTGCAAGGAAAACAAGAGGTACTAACAATTGTCTCTAGTGAGGACCGTGGCGGTCTGCTGAGATACCGGAGCAGCTTCACTCGAATTGTTTGAATCCAGAAAGACTCATACGGCGTAGCCACATGAACGCATGCAGGTCCTGTTTTGTAGTTCAACATGAACAATTAGGCACCTCAAGACCAGGCCGGATGCCTCGTAGGACCGATAATTTTGAGGCTTGAACGATATCGAGAGCTCGAGGAGGTCGTTCTCGGTTCAAGTCTCAGTAATGTCGGAGAGCTGAGTCCAAACAATCAAGTCACTTGAGTCCGGAGCGTAGGGTTGCAGGGGCGGGAGGGAAATATTTTAATGCGAAGGAGGGTGTCTATTTTTATAGCAAGTGAGCCAGAGCTCTTCACTGAAAGGGGAGTTGTTCCTAAGTTTATCTTCCTCTTCTTTGGATGACACTCACACATATCATGTGTTGCTGGTAATGAACGAAATACATACCGTGTTTGACAAGAAACCCCATCCCCGCCACGGCTCTCAGAAAAGGGACCTTTTCTTCTTCTTCTTTTTGATATCTGTTCTCGAGATTCCGAGACCTGCGATAGCTGGGAAGGGACAAATTTAGGTTTGGAAAAACGCAGGGTATGAAATGAGCAATCTCGAGACAGCAGCACAAAGACCCCTCTTACTTAAATTCACGTTGAACACTTCAGCGGTTTCAGTCCATATGTTGGTCTCCTGCGCTCTGGATCTAAGTCTTCAAGGAGTTGCTTTAAGACCCTTCAAAGGACGACATCCTCCCTGTTGCTCTCTCCTCTTATCTAGGCAGGGATTTGGTATCACATCCCTCTAAGCACCTTACGGATTTACATGTGGCTATATTTTTAAGATGAGGATCGTCACTCTAAGGGGCATTTCAGCGTTTTTTGTGCATTTCCAGACTTTCCCGTCCCTACCTGTGTGCTCGTTGGCTCGTTGGCTGCCGTGTTTCAACGTAAAGCTATGGGTGATGAAGCCTCTCGGAGTTTCTTTTGCATGCAGGAGATAGGTACACTCCCGGATCCTGAATACCCGCAAATAGGTCGATAAAGTTGTCTATCCTATCATTCATGAATCTAATGATGTCCGTAGTGGATCGAAGTGCTTTCCAATCTGGGCTAGTTGCGATTGATGCACAATATCAGGCACTGCTCAGAGATGAGCGTACCGTCTGTACGAGTTATGTTCTCTTTTCTTTTCTTCTGTTTAGAAAAAGAAATCTGTAAAGAAAGATTGATTGGTGATGTCTCCAAAGTGTAGTACTCTCAATATGCGCGGGTACAGCATATAGAAAGACATAAATATATTTGCAAATCAGGTGACCAGACATGTAAATGCCCAGGTCTGGTGAGCACTAAGGCACGCAGCCTTGTATATCTGTTCATTTGGGGCACAAATGCTTTTGCTTTATTTGAAAAACAGGGCTTGTCAAACGACCAGGAATTGAAAGATATGCGCTTACCACGCAATTCGGACCCAATCGATTGCCGAATCAGAGCACACACCTTGTGGGACGTATTGCAGCGCAACGTTCAGCCTTCGTCCAAAGCCTGCTCACAGCCCTGAGACGGCTTCCCGAAACATCTGGTCGCCCATAGAGAAGCCGTGATCTACAGGCTTCCGACGTGCTGGAAATCTTAAGAGGGCGCTTCTCTAGATTGGAGAGGACGCGATTGGAAGATCGTACACCTTGGAAGCCATGGTTGTTTGCATAGCTGTTGCATTGGATGAGGCAACGCCTGACCTTATAGTCGTCGGTCTTTTAGCGACGAACGGTGAAACCCGTGCCCTGTGTCCTGTGCATTGATCATTCACAATGGCGGAAACACGGCGTTTGGAGTTATAAAACTTAGTTTACTTCTAGATTCCTTACCAGCAAGCATGCCATCTAATATTCCAGACGGTATACACTCACCTTCGGCCCCCAGATCTGGAGTCCACCCAGACGGCGAGCGACAACACAAGACGCTGATCCATCTTTGTTGTCGCCACTTACTGTATCCGGAAGGACAAAGAAGCGTCTTTGGAATTAAGTTTTCCCATGGAACACATCGCGCTTGAAGAAAGGTTCAGACAGCGCCCAACTCCCGCTGAATTGATAATCCTGCATTTGTCAAATCTCAACGGAGATGATGCTTTGAAGTTCAGCGCAGGAAGGCAGCCCCTTATCTTCGGTGTCGGCGATGGAGGCATCGGTCTTGGCCCGTCTCCACTCAGACAATTGGAAATCACTCGCTGGCAGCGGAGCTCGACTACCTCTACCCAGGGAGACAGGGCACATAGTCATGAGAGCGCGCGCCTCGCAAGGTTTGGTTCAAGGATCGACGCCGCTCGCGGTCGAGCGAGGGTCGCACCTAGTGTGGGGACCCTCCCGTCTCGTGGGAGATCGTCCGAACAAGCTTCTTCAAACCCTGAAAGCTTAACTGCAGTGGCTCTCGCCGCCGCCTATGTGCTCGCCGCCGACTTATCGGTCCTGCTCACTCCGTTGCCAGTTCCCTCTTTGTCTTCTCCTGGAGCCGATGTGCACCTGATCGTGATCGCTGCGAGTCAAATTATTTTCGTGGTTCCGCAATAGTCCAGGCCCATTGGCGGTCTGGGCCCGACATTCTCCCCCACTCAGTCTCGTTATGTACGTGGTAACAAGGTTCGTTTTCGTATCACAGACTGGAGTTCTCCAGTCTCCGGCCGGTGAGGTCGTGTCAAGCCTAAGTATACCATGCCATTCGAGCTAATATTTTGCACATGTGCGATGGGACGCTACCAGGGGGAACGAGCGGGGGGTTTATTCGGTTCAAATGCCGATACGCGTAGAAACCGATTATGGATACTCTCCCATTGTCCTCGCTTTTTCAATAAACTCTTTATTATACACGTCCGTACACTGAATCCTGTTTGCTTGTCTCAATTCTATAAGTCATGAGGATCAAAGTTGGGGATCTATAACTCGAGCAAGTACCAAACGATACATTCATTATTCAGTTTGCTGTTTGTTACTTTCGTTTTCTTGTTACTCAGTCAGGAACCTGTCCAAGGATTTTTTCACAAAACATCGAAAATGGTTTCGAAAGTAGGAACCGTCGCTCTCGCCGGGCTCGCCGGCTTTGCTGGTCTGGCTCAGGCGGTTCCCTCTAGTCAACACCATCCGAAAAGCTCACAAAATTGTCCGTCTCTAAACAGCAGCACATTCGTTATTGACGAATTTCAACTTTATCCAGAGAATGCCAAATTTGATTTCAACCGCTGCTTGGTCTACTTCGGGTACGTCCTCCCCATGCAAAATCTGTTGAACAAGCCCTCGCCCTTTGGTTTGCTTTCAAAAGCCTAACTCTCATACTCAGGGTCCTCTTCAACGCATCAGTCGGCGTTTTCAACCCGTATACAAAAGATTTTGAGGCCATCCTCCTGCCTGGGATATCTGGTGACCCAGCTAATCATCTCGGCCCGGCTTTGCCTGACGCACAGGGTCACTTGAGCATCCTCGTTGACGCCGGTGCCGCTTTCAACACCGCCGGACAGGACGTCTCCGGCTCCAACATCATCGTCAAGTACGACTTTGACCAGCGGAAGGTCATCTGGCAGCGTAATATCACCGAGCTGATCACCCAGGGGCGTTGGGGAGGCTTTCAGGACGTGGAGCATGACAAGGACGAGAACATCTACATCGTGGGCACGTACCCTGGGACCTTGCTGCGTGTGGACAAGGACGGCAACAACCTCAAGCCATGGTTCCTGCCGCCGGCGGATGAGCTGGCAAACACCACGATGGCCGGCTTCGGTGGCATAGCGTCCATTCGCGAGCAGGACGTGCTGCTTACCAACAACAATGTCGACGGCCAGATCTACCGCTTCGACAATGTCAGCCAGAGCGAGACTGGCACACCGGTTCTGATCCCCCGTACAGGACCCAACGGCACGCAGCCGTCGGCACCTATCGGCTTCAACGACGCCATATTGCTGCCTGCTAAGTACAACAACACGGTCCTGCTGGTCGCGGAGGATGCGGTGGGTATTTGGGTTATCAGGTCGAAGGATGGGAGCTGGAAGAGTGCCGAGACGCTGGGCGTAGTCTCGAACAACGTCACTGAGGCCCAAGGTGGTCAGGTGCCAGCCGCCGTCCAAATTGGGCCAGACGCCTTATTTACTCTTGAGGAGTACTTCACGGATCCGATTGTAGAGAGCACCAATGCTGGAAGCAGAAGAGCGTTCCCCATTGTGGGCATTACTGCTCAGGTGGACGATTTGTTGCGCAAGTCTCCATAATTAGTCAACTGGTATGTTATGTGTCAGCCTGTTGCAATAATGTAATAATACCATCTAGATACCATGCATTCTTTCAAGGCATTTAATAATAACCCTCATGCTTCCAAATTACTCATTTGCTTGGGATAAGTTGCAACATGAGATGAAAGAAGATGAAGACAGTCATTGGAGAGTGGGCTTTGAAAGCGAAAAAGATACCCAGAGCCTGATTGACAAGGACACACAACAGAGGGAAGGGGGACTACTTACTGAAGCCGGTAGCCTTAACACTCTGGCGCGCACGCCCCTCCTCTGCCGTCCTCTGACCACACTGATTGGGGTTTCCAACCAGGAATTTTTTTTGTTTAGTATTTATGCGGCCGTGACCGACCGACATCCTCCCTCTTCACTGCAGCATCACCCTGCTGCCACTCAACTGTCTTTTTCTCGAACCAACCCTGGCTCGAACACACGGCCCTGCGGTCCTGTTAGTTTGATGTAAATCAGATCGCGTGGCCTTGACAATCAGGCTAATGGGTTGGGAAATCAGATGATAAGTTGTTATTAAATAGGAGAGCCTTGGTTATTAGCTAGCTTTTCGTGCAAGCAGGTACGATATGGTCCCTTCCTTATGGTCAGGTATATTTCCCCCAACTTGAGTACTCTTTGTCGTCGAGCTGACGCCCTTGAGCTTCATCGGCAGCAAACTCCTCAGGCTGTTGACCACGGTTGCTCATCCTCTACCACGAGCCCACGCCTTGATTTGTTTTGCCACGTCTTAATGGCTCGAGGGAGATGTTTCAATGTCATTGCTCGACTTTTGTGCGCCTAAGCGATTTGTTTCAGAGCTTTCATGGCTGTTACAATTCTATGAAGCTGTTGTGAGTGCTGACAAAGGTCAAAGAGATTGTCAGCCTCGCGGTCTAAGACCGTGTCACTGGCAAGGCAGCGCATCCGATGGTAGTATAAATCGGGCTTGAGGTAGCATCGTTGTCAACTACAAGGGGGGGGGGGCTAGCCTTATGATCCAGGAACAATTTTTTGATTGTCTAGATCAGAAATATTTAACTAAGTGTTATCATGAGCAAACTACAGGATCATCTATCAGCTCTCAAGATGTGGAAGGAGTCAGAAGATACCCCAGGAGAAGCAAGGGATATCACAAACCAAGCAGGCAGGGAAAAGTCGTCAGCACAAATCCCTCCATTTCTAGGAGAAATTCCTGGTGAAACAGCTGATTTAAACCAGGGACAGTGGTCTGGCCCAGAAAAGAGGTATGCCAAGATGGGATCTATGTTCTCGAAAATCGCCAAGCACATAGGTTCAGACAAGCTTGCAGGTGGTGATAGCATGGGGATCATGTCGCCAGTGGACTTTGGCAACGACTACATGACCCCTAGACCTGACGAGATGCCGTCCAGACCCGGCAGTACATCCAGTATTACCGAGAGTGCCACAAGCAACGACAACGGTCTGGATTTAGGCCTATTTTGGCCATATGTGAGTAGCGGTCAGCGACAAAGGGACACGGGATCGGAGCACCCTCTGAGACTCCGTAGACCAGCACTTTATGAGGAGTACTGGGCATAGCAAACGAGGTCAGGTAATAACAACAGTCAAGTAACTGATCATCCTCAGGACACCACACTGAAGGATTATAATTAAGATTACGTCGAGAAGATCTGTATTTGAGGAAATGTGAATGAACAGTTACGAATCATTCGTTCTAAAACTTTATCAATAGTGCACATCCACTGCAATATGAAAAATGAGAAATTTCCTAGGGTAGGTCATTGTGAATGTGTTGACTACTTGTGATTCACATCTGTCTACAGTTGAGGCTTGCTTGATAAGCCGAGGGACATGTTCGCTGGATGATGGGAAACACTGTTTCCCTCACCAAGTCTTTGTGACTCCTGCACATTCAACACCCTCTCGCAAACTTCCACTATGGCAAAAAGAAAAAACGGGCCCACTGAAAATGCGAAAGAAAGCATTGGTGTCAGGCCCTGGCCCTATTTAAGCTTTTCTCTTCATCCACCTGATCTATTCGATTATACTCCGTAATTCAAAAATCTCCATTTCCCCTTGAACTAAGTCTAGACCTTCTTACAAGACAGAGAAATGTTTCGTTCCCAAGCCCATCTTGAAGGTAGCCATCCTCCAATTATTCCCCAAAGGGTGGCCATTCCTCAACGAGCAGTCTTTCCGCTACATGAGGATCATGCCCATCAACGGAGAAGCCCTAATTTTGCACTGAGAGACACAGCTTCCACCATCGAGGCGATGACAGAGTTGCAAGATACTATTTGCCTGTTATGCAGCGCTGCTCGCTCTGTGCCTCACACCGGACTAGACCCCCATCTGGCTGACGGTCTAAACAATAATTTTTCGGATTCGTCTGGCACGAGGTTCGCACCTCATGAGGACGCATTGTTTCTTGTTCTCCTCAGTATAGAGAACAATATTGGCGAGTGCCTCGAATTGCTCCGCATCCTGGCCCGTAGGACCAATATCACCACACAGGAACAATTGACACATTCCACCACAGCCGGTACAAGCTCGGCTCCTCGAGCTTCCAGCACCATCCCGTGCTTGCGACGTGAAGACGCGGCCATTGGCAGCCATGGCCCCTTACATACACCCCCTATCCCGGGTCTGTACCGTGACCAGTGGGCCCAGTCACCGACGGTCTCGCCACCGGCGTCCATGGCTTTCTGCCAAAGCTGCCCTCGAAGCTTCCCACGTTCACTAGCGTCTTCTCCGGCTTCAGAAATGAGACCGCCTCACACCAGCAATCCCACCACCGACGACCCAGAGGCGACGGCCCGTGATGGTCAATACGCTGCGCGGGTAGACAGCGACAGCGAGGACGGAGGGTGGCTTGATAACGGGCCTGAGAGCCACCTGGGTGGGGCCAGGAGTCGATGGGGCTGAGACGGGCGGTTGAGCTGGTGCTTGGTTTGATGGTGTATGGTCTTTGGCGCGTCAAAGTTTTGTATCTGGTAGTCACACATCAAAAAATTGTTGTGAGTAACAGGAATATTTCAGTCATATCATTCAAATCCAGTGACTAGTCCTCTTGACTAGGTACTTAGCGGTATCGGCGGTGCGGCACTGTGTCTCATGCGCGTCACTAGGTAGCATATCAATCGAGTTCACAGGAGACAATGCACTGATTTTGATGAAATTCAAATTGAATTATATTCGTCTTTCTTAGACTGGAAACGCCCTTCCTTGTAAACTATTGTATGCCTCTAACAGCTAAATGTCCGCTGGATGAGATAGGCCCGGGACACACTGACTGGAATCATTGGATTCCGAATGAAACTTTTAAGTTTACGAAAGCTTGGTGAATATGTTACTATGGAAGATTAATAGAGTTAATACGCGGAAGCGAACCAATGATCTGAAAACCCCCAAGAACAGACATCGTCCATGCGAGTCAACGAGAAGCCTTTAAGAATTACATTGAACGCGGGATTGTGCTACAGCTTAAATCCCAGGCGAGTCAATGCGGCATGCTTGACTATGTGCCATCGAAGTGGACTATCTAGAAATATCACAAGACTGCATCCGTTTTGGGCATGAACAAAGTCAGTGATATTGGTGTAATCCATCAGGTACTGATGGCATCAGAAGTGAGATACATTTTCGGGCCTTTTTTCAAGACCAGTGGGAAGGCGATGAAGGTGAATAAAATGAAGTGAAGTATTCATGTTCCCTTTGTAGTGTGGTAACGGCCAAGGGAATTGCAAGCGAGCATTGGGACTAAACATCGCAGCCATCTTCCCCGTCACTGGTGCGACAATCTAGGTCCTCATGTAGTTTTGAGTGTCTATACACATGGCATTTCAGAAGTGCATGGAAGTGCCGCGCAATCACATAGAGTTCAAGCGGCTGCATTGCCCGGGAGTCGCTAGGTTAACTTTAAAGTGTACAAAACAGGGGCTGCCCGCGTATCTAGAAGTCTTCTAGGGCTACTAAGAAATGTCAGAACTTAAAGCCAGAGAAGAATCGTCATCAAGATCAAGGACCCCTCCTTTCGAAACAAATTCCACAATTAGTCTATGACTCTGACTGTGCCCATTTGAGCGAGCCGTAGCCAAGGGGCCAACACTTGAAGAAATGCGTTTTGCGTCTTTCTCAGCTATCTAGCCAGCCACAATGATGATAGGCATCACGAGGTGTGCTCCCCGAAATGGCGAAGGCAGTGTAACTTACTGCAGAGTCGTGAAGCGCGGTCTGCGACAGAAACGGTGACTCTTCGGCCGAGCATCTTAGCCAGATACGATTTAGAGGGGTATCAGGGTGCCACAATTTGCGAGGCGGCGGACCTGGAGATCTGGGCCCATAGTGGTCCAATGTGGGGCGCCATGCCGCCACTACCGAGAGCTCTAAAGGGACGACAACGTGGGAATGAATCTTGGACTGCAGCTCAGTGGGCAGGTGGGGCAGTAGGACCAAGCTTGCCAATTTACCGGTACGCTACCTTGGTACCTGGGCATCCATCTACCTGCTAGTCTACCTGGTACATAGGGGTCGGTCACCCTGCCTGTGCCTCCCTCTGGGCCTGGGCCGTCCGAATGGCTTCCGACGTTACGCCAGCCCTCCCTTTCAGCAACCTATCATCGAACTATTAGACTTTCTATGTCCGATGTGCGGTAGCCACATGCGAAAACAGGGACACTCACATACTCACACACTCACACACTCCCACCCAGCCAGTAGGGATACGAGCACATGCCAACCACCAACTGCGAAGACTTGCGCCGGCCGACAAATCAAGCAGAGGCGCTGACTCTGGCCTAAGGGTGGCTCAAATAACTGCCTTTGGACCTGACCTACTCATGTCCGCGCATCATAATCATCGCTCATCCAGACTCCAACCCGACCGAACCCCTGCCTCCTCGTCGACGTCCACGTGCAACAAGATGTCTCACTCTGCTGCAGTCCATCATCTGTGAAGATCTGCGACTCGGCCTACTCAGCTCCTCTGCCTCTGGCATGTGAACAAGAGCTCGAGATGACGGAACAGGATGCGAGCCCCCAGCACCTCGTCCTCCCACGGCCCCACGGCCACCGAACCACCTCGCGGGACCGCCATGCTGCCCCAGCCAGCCCAGAGACGGGCGAGTCGAGCCACTCGGGCAGCATCATGAACAGCACCTGGACCACAGATGCCACCCTGGCACAGCGACCCTCCCACGATGACGCCCCCGGTAACGGCCAGGCTGGCGGCCAACAGAGGGCCGGTGATGTTGCGAGAGAACACAAGAGGCAGTCTCGCCAATCGAGGCCACATAAACCCCGATCTAGCGGCGCGTTTCTCCTCTCCGACCCCTTTGACGACACCGTCGTGGACGACACGCGAGCCCACAGGCACCGCTCGAGGCGCACCGTCGAAAAGGGCAAGGGCAAAAGCCAGCGCACATCAACAAGACACAGCGATGAGCACATACAGAATGGCAGACACTCGGGTCTCGGCCTAGGTCTTTCTCCAGGCCCGGAAAGGTTGGGGAACGGTTCCGCAGAAAGACCGCCAGGCACCTCACCTGGAGCTCTGGGGAGCGATGCAAGGCAAGATCAGGCGCAGGCGGGCCCGAGGGCACCCTCTCCGCGCTCTTCTACCTCGTCTCTGGATATGGACTCGACACAAATCGTCAATATGGCGTTGAATTTGAGCGAGTCAAGGCGCATGGCGCAGAGAAGGAATTTGTCGCAGCCCTTACCTCCGAGACTTGTACCGCTGCCCACAGACAGTGCCGTGGCAGGAAGCCTTAGACAGCAGCTGCAACAGCAAAGAAGGGTCTCACGTACCATGTCTCCAAAGCCAGAACGTGGAGCCCTGTCGAGGTTAGGATCCAGCGGCAAAGTCAGCTCCTTACAACCTGCCTTCGACCCTATAAACGACGGCGGTAGCTACAGATACCACTTTTCTAGTTCAACAATGGCAAGGGCTCAAAAGGCGAAAGACTACATGGAACTTCTTGCTCAATATCGCCGGGCGCTCGAATTATTACCACCCTTGAAACCGAACACACTATCCAAGGCTTCAACCGCGAGTGATTATCCCCTCTCGGCCTCTGCGTCTGTCAATCCACTTAACTTCGATACTGCCAGTCAGATCGGCCGTTCATACGACCCTCTACAGTATATCAGGAATCGGAAGGTCAGGGCCAGGGAGAGGAAGACCATCGATGGCGAGAGCCAAGGCTTCGGCGACGTGAGTAGGGTTACTGACTGGGTCGACGATGTTGCAAAATGGGTCGCCACTCGCCAAATGAGAACTCCAGGCAGCTCTGCTCTTCCACCATTCGCTGGCGCCGATGTGATCACAGTTGAGACGTCACCGCCGTCCCATGTGTCCCGGCCCTCGAATGCTATCGCGAAACCGAAGCGGCCCAGGAACGACTGGACCATCGATCCGGCAGATCTTGTGGCAGATATCTACTGGCTGGAACAGGATGATCATAAGCGACTGGTAGAGGACCGTAATTGGCGCCGCGTTTTCCCACAAGACGCAGGCCTATACCGACCGCTTTCGCAGGCTACGAACGATGGTTCACCTGCATTTGCTTCCAAAACCGCGCAGCTCCAACTCCCAGGGGCAGAAGACGGGACAGGCAGGTCAGCTGCGGAGGCCAAAGCAGCGAAAGCCGATCATGATCATGCCTCGGGCGGCACACGTGAAAGAGCGCGCCAAAAGCTGCAGGAGCTTAGGAGCTTCCATCGCCACACAAATTCATCGCACAATCACTCGCATAATCCGCTTCGTCGACGAGACTCATCCTCCTCAAGTTCATCGGACTCGGACAGCCAGAAGAAACGGAGCAGGAAGAACACAATAGATATCGACAAGGATATTCTCGAGAAGCAAATGATGGAGATGATTGCCCGGGAAGCCCAAGAAAACGTGGCAAAGTTGACACAGGAACCGGAGCTAAAGGAATTGAAGTCTCTCCCATCAAACTTAATCAGCCCAGATCGTCCGGAAAACTCAGACTCAACTGGAGGCAGTCGCCTACACAGCCGCAGAGAGTCTCTTATCAACGTTGGCGGTTTCGAGGACAAAGATCACGTCGAACGACCGAAGATCACTTCATCACAGCGCCCAAGCCGGGAAAGCTTGGAAGTTCCTCCTTTGTGGGGAAGACCATCCCTGGAATCCGAGTCTTCTCTGCCAAACTCACCTGAAGCCCGCCCCTCACGTCGCGATAATTACTTCATGCCTGGCATTGGCGCGGATTTGTCGCCGTCCTCTAGCAGGACTGGATCGCCATCGAGGAATCCCTTCTCCAAAGTCAGGCAGATGTTCCGCGACCGCAGTCGAGAACGGGCTTCGGAGCGCCCGCATGAGATCCATTCAAGTGAGAAGGAGGACGGTATTGAAGTCATCGCCACCACATCAGATAGGCTATCTAGTACTCCCGAACTGGTAGACAAACGAGGACGATCGCGCTCAAGGAACGGCTCTGTCGGCCCCGAGCCGAAGATTACATCACGGCCTACGGGAGACAGCCAGAAGTCGCATCGCAAAACGAATAGCATGCGTCTTGGTGACCCCGGTGCCAGCCTGCGAAGTCTTTTCAAGGGCCCGCGAATCGACAGCGTCCTCAAGTCAGGTGTTTCCAAAGTCAGCGAGCTGTTGTGGAAGAAAGAATCGGAAGCTGAGGACTCCGACTCTTCGACTTCATCCTCCGATGGCACTGACGCGGAGGATCGTGGTAGACTCAAGCAGGGCAAATCGTTGTCTCCAAGTGCCTCGATCAGGGGTCGACCGGGACATGTCAAGCAAGAGTCGAAGCATTTCCTCGATGTCATGCCACCTTTCGTGTCTACATCAGACACTAGGGATAGTGGCGGCCGCCACGCATCTCTGGGAGTTCCGCTGTCGAGGCCGTCTAGCCGTCGGTCGACCCGGTTCGAGCTCTTGAAGCCTCCAAGAATAGATATCTCGGTTGCAGACTCCTCTACGGACACACAGAAGGATGCAGGAGTCGATGTCTCAGACACCGAAGTGCTCATGAGTAACATTCACGAAGAGCCTATGTTTGGTAGCAGACGCCCAAGCACGGCATTGTCTGTACAGTCGCCCAAGACGCGTCGGTTCTCCTCGGCGTTCAACAGGGACAGTCGTCACTTCTCTATATCAGATCAGAATTCCGCGCCAGAACGAGCGCCGTTGACCAGGCGAGAGGTCGCTCGTGTCAGAGCACTAATGCTAAGCTCTGGCGTCATGGCCATGAATATATCCCGTCGGGCCCACCAAGCGCAGGTGCTCGATGCCTCGACGATCAACGAAAGCAACGACGTTCTTTCGGCCCTCGGGAACAAAGTCTCCTGGCCCGAGATCACCCAGCTCGCGCCCGAAGAACAACGCCAGGAGCTCCTCAGACAGCCCGTCTCAGAGGCGGACCTCTTCCCTGTCACGGCGCGGGTGCTAGGAACGGCGATCCAGACGTCGAGGCAGCGGTGGGAGTCTGCGGCCGAGTCGTTCCGGCACCGGACGCGCAACGAAGTGACCGGGCAAATCGAGCAGCTGCGGACGCGGCTGCAGCTGGACCTGAGTGCGATGACCCGGACGGCGGCGGAGGAGGCGGATGAGGTCAGCGGGGACCTGGTGGACGGGCAGCGGCGCAAGGTCAAGGCGGTGGTGGACGTCATCGACAAGCTGTCGCGGCGGCGGCGGCGGCGGTTCCGCTGGGCGCGGCGCGCGGGCTGGCTAGCGCTCGAGTGGGCGCTGGTCGGGTTCATGTGGTACGTGTGGCTCGTTGTCATGATCGCCAGGATATTCCTCGGCGTCGGCAAGGGATTTGTCCGCGGCGTGAGGTGGCTGCTGTGGCTGTAGGGCGTGTCGCGACACCATCGCCACCAGCACCAGCACCACGGTCACCACCATCTTCGCCTGCCCGCGTCTCTTCCTGTCATTCCTGTTTGATTTGCGGCATAGCCTACGGAGTTTGTCGATTTTTTCTTCTTCTTCTGTTTCCTTGTCGAAAGCATAGCACATCCGCGTTCCCTGATGGTTCTTGGATATACGGAGGGAAAACCATTGGCCAAAGAAAGCTGCGCCTTGATACCCCCGCTGAAAGGGTCTTGTCCTGTCTACATTCTTTGATTTAATTCTAGTAATACTTGTTTTCTTTTGTATACACATGGGGCCAGGGAGGGTTGGGAAGGGGACGGGGTCAAGTTCTGGGTATTGCTCCCCCAAAAGCGAGTTCAAGGGGTATTTCATACGAGAAGGGATAAGGGGTCGTTTTGGGAAGATCGGAAGACCGCACAGAGGAAGTGAGACACCCCGTTGAGGCTTTCACTATTTTGTTTTGTCTATAGTTCATACTACACGCACATACTATACAGACTTCCTCCCTCGAACGGTGTCTTTCTCTGCTGTGATTAACAACTGGGTGCAGACAGTGACCGTTTTGTGCTTAGCAAGACCTTGCTGGCTGGTCTGTCAGTGGTCCTACGGTGATCAGGTTTCTAGCCCCACGGGCAGAGGCACGACTTCTACCAAACCATATGTTTCCCATGCGAATAGTCACGGCCGTCATGATCTTCAGTCCATATTGTGCTTCTTGTGGTTGGAGATGGGAGTTGATGTACAGACCTTAAGTGGGCAGGCTCCTCTGAACCACTTCCTCTGCCCCTGTAGTCTAATGGGAGGTATTTCCCAGACGCCTGAGAGTTTCTGATCGGTGATGTCTGGCTAGATGTTTTCTTTCGTCTCTACTTGAACTGGAATAGGCTTCGACTGGCTGTTTTTACTGGTAAATCCTCATGACTTATCCGCCAAGGTGAATCGCACCTGCCCAAGACCAGGCGAGTCACCTTAAAGCTTCGGTCTCATTCACTTCTTGCCAAATACTTCCTAGGTACTTGACTGTGCTTGCGAAAGACGTCTGACATTCGACCCCGGTGACCCATAATCGCTCAAGTCACCCACCGAGATATGCCGGCCTGCCCCTCCCCTCTACCATACCTCTCTCTCCAAACCTCTCGCTCTCGACATCAAACTCCTGGGGGGCCCAAACCACCTCCACCTCACTCTAATACGATCGAAATCTGTGTCTAAAGCCTTCTCTCTTCACCACACCTGTGATTTGACAAGCTCTCGACAAAATGGCTGAGCCCGCTACCACTGATGATGTGATCATCAAGTCAAACAACAGCGAAGCTAACAGCGACGCCAACTGCGAGAAGGACAACACCGCACCGTTCCCCCTATCAACCCAAGAGCAGCTCCAAGCGCAGGCCCTCCGCCGCGAAGCAGCCGTCGCCTTCAAGCACCAGATCAGCCAGTGCCGCCTGGCCCTCAAGTACTCAGTAATCGGCTGGACAGGCACCCTAGACCAGGTCAGTAGAACCCGTGCCCCACGCCGCCCCAGCTCCTCCTCCTCCTCCTCCCACCACCCAGCGGGAGAATAATAAACCCCCACGCCGACTCACAAGCCCGCTCGCCCACAGGAGAAGATCCCCGCGGCCCTCTCCAATGCGCCCTCGATCCGCACCCTCGACGCAAAGATGGACGCCCTGGAGCGTGCCCTGACGCCCTTCCTGCCCCGCGACAGCGGCGGCCAGGAGCTGGGCCCGGAGGCGCTGCGGGGCGTCGAGCGCGTGCGCGAGCGGCTGCTCGGCATCGCACCAGGTGTCAAGTCCACCAAGGTCGTTGGCCCCGTGCTGGATTCCATCGAGCGGGACGCCCGCGCCGCACGCGTGCTGCCGCCCGAGGACATGTGCGGCTGGGCGTGGTCGTGGGTCTTTGACGACTGGTTCCGGTGGTGCGGGAGGGCGCGCGCGTGGGTCTCGGCTACGCATGGGGCGAGGGTTGAGTTTTTGGTTTGAGGGCTTGGTGGGATGGGGCTGGTGGTCTGCGGCAGAGGTCTATCTTGGTCTGTGGGCGGTGGATTGGAAGGGATGGGATTGCGAGGTCGATGTTGGTTTTTTTTTTTTTGTTCACTGAGTTCAGATACGTTGTGTTTTCGGGGCATGATAAATTTTGGGATCCAGCTGCTCTGCAAGACGCTCGTGGCTGGTTTGGATGTTAGTCTGATACAGGTCAATCTCATTAATCACGAGCTGGAAGCAGTACAGAAGGGGTCTCGGCCTTGATCAAAGGGATGCATGACATATATGTGGGATGTTGGAGAAGAAGAAGCGCAAAGCTTTGTGCGTTAAAGGAAGGCTGTGACAGAAAGTGATTTGGTGAAGTGTTTTCGGCAAAGGCCGGAACGAGACTGTTCACAAGTACAAGCAATATTTTCCGGATTGCCTTGTTTCTCTTGCAGTTTCTAATACAACCGGTGAAGGTTCGGAACGAAGACAACGTGAGATGTGTTGCTGGCGACTGTCATGTCCCGCAATGCTTTGAAGGACTTTCCTACGTGTCAAGTATTAAATGACATGACACGTATGTTGCAGCTGTCAAGCGAGGGTCAACGAGTACTCCAGCTTGTGAGTATGGCAAATCATCGAGTGTTGTGTAAGATTTTGATTCCGTGTGAGATGTCGACACTCGTGCGCGATCAATCTCTATCAGTGTCCGGCCATGCTGTGAGGCGTACTGCCCATGGCACGGATCTTCTTAAATCACGTGAAAGAATATCCATGTCACACGTCACGGACATGGGATGTCTTTCACTGTAGTAGAGCATACTGCAGAATCGAATTAGTGATCAGCTTGTAAACTTTATAGAAGTCCGTAATCCACAGAATGCCAATAGGAAAGCAAAAGAATTAGTGAGTCCAATACGAGTATACGATGGAATGAAAAGAGATTGCAGAACCCGGCCTGCCGTGGTGAGCCTCAGATTAAGCCCCCCAGGACAAGATACACAAATGCCAACCAGGAAAACAAAAGTAGCCGGAACTCCAGTCGCGGACAAAGGAATCAAGTCTATTATCACAGCACACCACGAAGCCTTCTACTCGATCCTCTTCTTGCCCTCCTCCGCGTTGGAGTACCTCGCCGCGCTGAGACCACGCTCGTGCCTGGCCACGAGTGGACCAAGCAGCGGGTCTTTCCTAACTTTGCTGATTGTCTCCTGGTAGCCCTCGGCCACGTATGGACGAGGGTTGAGCTTGGGCCAGTTGACCTAGGGGTTGATTGTTAGTCGGATCCACGCTAATTACCTGGTTGGTAGACGAGATGAGACTTACATAGAGCATGCCGTTCTTGAGGATGAAACGTCCAGACCAGGCGCCCACAAGGGTCCAGAAGATAATGAAAAGCCGCATCGGAAGGACGGCCGAGTCAGGAAGCCGCCTCGTAAACAGGCCGACCAGCACGAAGAAGATGCTGAACGCCAGGATATAAGGGATTGCCTGGATAAGGATGGGGCGGCGGTCCGCGAAGATTTGGCTGGGCCCGACGGCGACCGCGCCGGGGTCGTAGGTACCCAGGAACAGGTCGAAGGCGTCCTGCCTGGGGCCGTCGAGGAAGTTGTTCTTGATGTACCGCGTTATGGCAATCTCGCCGTCGCGCATGGCACCGGCCTTGGTGCGCTTGGCGAGGCGGGTCATATCCGTCTTCATGGCGCCCGTGCCCGAGTAGCTCTTGCTTACCACGTCGGCATTGTCGGCCCAGAGATTGCGGTACAGGAACTCGAAGGCTGGGTCCTCGTCCTTGAAGGTCGTGCCGCGCTGCATCAAGCCGAGGTCGACGAACATGCGGTCGAGCGTCCACCTCGCCAGCATGCTCTGCACCACGTTCGTGCGGTCCAGGCAGTCCATGCAGTTGGTCCGCACGACGGACGTCTGGAAGTTCCTAGCCTCCAGTCGCCCGTCGATGCCGGCGGGCATGTCCACGGCGCGGAAGTACTGCTGGGCAATGAGTGCGTCCTGCATCCGGTCCAGGAGAAGCTGCGCTCGGTGGAGCTGCATGCCCTTCGTCTCGGAGTGGAAATCAAAGTAGACGTAGTGTACTCGATCAAACGCTTGCTTAGAAGATCCAGATTCAATGACATGGAACTTCTCGTCGGTGATTTGATCGCCCGTCACGGACTCCTTCGGCGATGATTGCAATTTCTCAACCATTTGCTCGTAGGCATCCTTCACACGCTTCTCTCGTCCCTTCTGGTTGACGAGGTTTACCAAGTAGTTGTCGCCATAGATACGGATCTGCTCGTTGAAGTGTGCCGCCGCTGCATTGAAGGCAGAGTCGATCCCTCGGATCTGCAGCTTTGGCGTGTATGACAAGGTGTTGATTTCAGCCCAATTCACTGGAACACTGCCTCGGGTCTGGACGTAGGACAAGATCTGGGTCTCTTGGCCGTCCGTTTTACGTGTCTGAACGTTGCCAGACCCAGCAAAGCCGCTCATGCCGCTCCCACTGTCATTCAGTATCACCACTTGCTCCGTTTCGTTGTAGTTGGACACATGACCCTGTTCGTCTATTCCTCGCGAGAAGTACCTGGTGCCACCTCTGTGTCGGCCTCGCCTAGTAATGAGGATGATAGTCAAGGGGGTGCCCTTGAACGTAGTTGGGTGGATCTCGAGCATGCCGAAGATCACCGGTAGTATATACGGGTCAGCGCCAGGCTGCGGCCCTGGATGGCCTCTCGCGCCTGAGGTTCGGAAGTCGATCAGGTCGGACTGCACGAATTTATTCCAGAAGAATCGGTCGTCAGCCCTCTGCCATAACGGCCTAGAGTTGTCATGTTGCGATTGCCGTTGGAAACTGTTGGTGATGTCGATCGAGTAGGAGAAGTACATGGGACCAGACTTGATGAAGGACTTGAGTATCAGGAGAAACTTATCCTCATCCGGGTCGTGGACCTGTCGCTCGCGCATGGGAAGGATATCGGTTGAGACGATCTTGTACACCATGTGGCCCCTGAGCCGCCCGACGGGCTGGGCCTTGGTGATGATGATGACATATTTGTCTGTCGGTTGTCACTAACTGTTAGCGAGGCCATTATGTTATGTATGCAGGAGTAGGGCAGGGCTGCAATACCAAGTCGTAGCTGGATGATTCCCAAGATGCCAGCTATGCTCGTAACTCTCGAGACCCTCTTTCCACCCACCAGAGCTCCGTCACTCAACCGAATGTCGCCGCTAGGACGGTCTATTGTCAAGGCCGGCGCATTGGGAGAGGAAGGCGACGTGAAAATGTAGGAGTCGGAGGCGACCTGGACGTTTATATCCCTGAATGGCAGGGCCATGCTGGGCAACAGGGGGAATGGACGGACAGCTCTGAGCTTGTAGCTCGAGACGGCTCCTTTCTGATTCGAATATGCTAGTACTGTAGAAGCTGATGGTGTCGCAGCTTAGACGAGCATCAAGAGGCTTTTCCGATATTTCCTTTGTGCAGAGAAGAGCGCGACGAAGCAAGCGTTGCAAGTTAAGGGAGGTTGAGGGTTGTCTCAATGGTGATATTTACAACCACGTTGCTGTAGGGGTAAGCTACCTAGGTACCTATTTTAGCTTACAGTACCCCGTACCCAATCTGACCACAACCGAGCCGCTTCTAATTTCAGCCGGGGTGTCGTCATGTCACAGTGGAAAGTGGCAGGCCCTGGCGGGACTCGCAGCAGAAATGGCTTGTGAATGAGGGTCCGCTTGATCTCGCTGTCGCCCCCCTCGGGGCCCCCTCCATTTGTTTCATTCAGAGAGCACCCGAGGACCCAGATTACATAAGGAGTGTCTAGGCCCCATTGAGCCCTGGCGATCAGATGCAGCCGGTTAGGACGGGCTGGATGGGCTGGATGGGCTGGACGGGCTGGACGGGCAGCGGGAGACCCGGCTATTCCCAATGCCCCAAGGCTCGACAGTAGAGGGCAGTGCAGGCTGCCCAAGAACTCGGATGCAGCGCCTGACGTGTGCAGCCAGTCTCCAGACTGTCTGTCTCAACCAGCCAACCAGCCAGCCAGGCCCAGCCCCAGCTCATTCATCATCGTCCCTCCGCCCAAGCTTCTTTCACCCGTGGCACCATCCACACCTCCATCACCTCGACCCCAACAGCCACACCCTATCTACGGCCTGACCTCGTCATCCTCTAGGCAGTCATCCCCCCAGTCACCCAACTCGGAGGCTTCACTTCCCACCTCAACCCCTGCGGACGTGCATTATTTCCAAGCCCAGACTGCCAAACTGCCAACCTGCACAGGTGGATCGCGAAATCCTAAGCCTTCCAACCCAGCGGTGGACCACCTAAGAACCGCATCTCTTTCGCAATAGACAACACACCCTCCCAGAACCACCAAATTGCTCAACATGGCTACTCGAGGTCCTCCTGGCGCCCGAGGCATGGGCAACCGATTCGCGCAATTCAAGCTGGTCCTGCTTGGTATGTTGCTCCATTCACAACCAGAGTGGCCAAGTCCGAAGCCTTTGCTAACAATGCTGTAGGAGAGTCTGCCGTCGGAAAGGTATTGCCCGCTCCCTTGCCATCAAGCACCACGCATGATCGCTATTGCTGACATCGAATCCCAGAGCTCAATAGTTTTGCGATTCGTCAAGGTATGCATGGCTTCGTGTCTTGCCAGGCCTTATCCGTTGTCCAACCGCTGACAGACCGCCAGGACCAATTCGACTCCTACAGAGAATCTACCATTGGCGCTGCCTTCCTCACACAGACCATCTCCCTCGACGAGAACACGACAGTCAAATTTGAGATCTGGGACACGGCCGGGCAAGAGCGGTACAAGTCACTGGCGCCCATGTACTACAGAAATGCGAACTGCGCCGTGGTAGTCTACGATATCACACAAGCTGTGCGTTGAATTCCCCCCAACCAGAATTTGAGGCGTAGCTGACATTTCGGCCGCAGTCGTCCCTCGACAAGGCGAAGGCATGGGTCAAGGAGCTCCAACGCCAGGCCAACGAGAACATCATCATTGCCCTGGCCGGCAACAAGCTGGATCTCGTCACCGAACAGCCCGACAAGCGGGCCATTCCCGCATCCGAGGCCGAAGCGTACGCCCGCGAGGCCGGACTTTTGTTCTTCGAGACATCCGCCAAGACTGCCGAGAACGTGAGGGAATTGTTCACGGCCATCGCTAAGAAGTTGCCCCTCGACCAGGCCGGACCACGACACTCCCGGGTAGGACAGCGGCCAGGCGTCAGCCTCGGAGCACCGGAAAGGTCGGACACAAACAGCGCCGGCCCATGCGCCTGTTAAATATCACGGCTGTTGGCAGTCTGCTTCCGGCTGACAGGTCTGCATATCACGGTATGCAGTCAGCTACGCTTTTGGATCATTTGGTGACGCGGCTCTGCAAGGTGAGAGGAGTCTGCGGGATAGCAGGCCACGAGCCTGGGGCATAGATTGGAGGATTGCTGGCTCTTCCCTGGACAGGAAACGATACCAGTGATGTCGGCACTTTTGTTTGGCTTGAGTCCTGCAGTAGGATGGTTACCCTTTAATACCTTTTTTCCCTTTTCTTGATGCGCTACTACTTGGTGGTGTCTCGGGCATTATTCATGGCCGATCGTTGGCATAGTCCAGGGAGAGGCAACGGTTGGCGTCTAGGGTGATGTTGATGTGATGAGATTGTTTAGCCTCCACGAGTCCTACATTACGGGGGGAAATGCTTTGCGAGACCGCAGTGACGGCGATGCGAACATCATGCGGAGTTGTATACTACGCGAACATAGACGATGCCCAAGGAATGAGAAATTCTGTTCTAAGAAACCTTGTCTACGGAAGAATCAGTGTTGTAGAGAAACGTCTGATACTCCCTCGCCCGAGATATTTGGTCGCAGGTGTAACCTTTCCCAGTCCTGCCCCAGTGCAGATTAACAACGCGACCTGTTGGCAATTCAGCACTCTGGCAAGGGCGTAGAATGAGTCGTGCTTGAGTGTCGTCTCTTTTTCCTTTGTCTTGATAAATGCTAGATTGCGCTAGTTGGACTCGGTGCTCTTTAACAAATAAACGCTCTCGCTGGTGACGTTGCTGTTCCTTGATTTTGGCGGCAGCCCAGACACCCCTGCCGGCCGCCAGAAGAGCTTCGGCAAAACCTGGGCAGGTCGCGAATTTTCCCGCAGCTGCTGCTTCCACTTGCTGGATGTTGCTTCTACCCCCCTTCCACACCCAACCCCATTCATCAGCCATTTGATTTCCCTCATGTTGCGGACATCGCTTCGATCCGTGAGGGGCCTGAGCAGCAGGTCTGTCGCTGCTGCTTCGGGCCGTCAATGGCAAGCAGCGGCGGCTGCCCGACCTGCTGGGCTCGTCGCAAGGGTGAGTCTTGTCCATGGCCACGGGAGCTGCTACCCATGCGGATTGCCGTCTAACATGTGGGTTTTGCACAGAGATACTTTGCCGACGAGAAGACACCAGCCTCACAAGTTCCTAAACCTCCGGCCTCAGAGACGAACACGTCGCCTTCAAGCCAGACGCCTCCTCCACCTCTTGAGGACAGCATCGACGCCAAAACCATACCCGCCGAGAATGTGCCATTGACACCCCCAGCTCCTGAGGACCTCGGTGCTGTCACGAAGGAAGAGAAGGCCGTTCCGCCCCCGCCTCCACCGCCTCCTGCCGGCAGGGGCTTCTTCAGAAGTCTACGAAACTATGTCCTGACCCTCGTAATACTTGGTGCCGTCGCCTTTGGCGGTGGTGTTTGGTACTCCCGCATCAACGACAGCTTCCACGACTTCTTCACGGAGTACATTCCCTACGGTGAACAGGCTGTTCTGTACTTGGAAGAGGCAGACTTCCGGAAACGCTTCCCCAACATCTCAAACCGCGGCACCGGTTCGCGACAACGTGACACTGGCGAGGCGGTGCGAATCCCAGCCCAGAGCGGTATGTCGTGGAGGGTGGCCGACAGCGGTGAGCCAGCTGGGAGACAGTCCAGCGCTGTTGACAAGACGGCCGCAGCGAAGAAGGAGGCAAAGGCAAAGGAGTCTAAGCCTAAGGCAGAGCCTAAGGCGGATGCTCCTAGGCCTGAGGAACCCAAGAAAGCTGCCCCTGTGGCCGCTGCTCCTGCTCCTGCTGCTGCGACCTCTGACTTCAAGCCGCCAGAGGTCAACGAGCCTTCTCGGTTCCCACCAGCTGCCCCTCTCGAGCCCATCTACTTCCCCAATGTGAACGAACCCGTGGTCCAGGATCTGGCACACATGCTGAACGATATCATTGCCGTGATCAACGCCGACGGTGCGCACAGCAAATACGGCTCCAGTATTGAGAAGGCCAAGGGTGAGCTCAAGAAGGTCACGGCGGAGATCGACAAGATCAAGGCTGCGGTTGAGGCAGATGCTGCATCTAGGGTCAAGACGCGCGTTGAAGAATTCGACAAGGCCGCGCACGACCTCGTGACTCGCGTCGAGTCTGCCATGGCCTCGCAGGAAGCTGGATGGCAGCGCGAATTCGCCGAGGAGATGAAGAGGATCAAGGAGGTTCACGATCAGCGCATCAAGGTCGCGATTGACCGGGAGCAGCAGATAAACGAGGAGCGACTCAACAACAAGCTCCTGGAGCAGGCCATCGAGCTCAAGCGATTGTTCGCCAAGGAGATTCAGCAGCGCGTCGAAGAGGAACGAGATGGCAGGCTGGGCAAGCTGGAACAGCTGTCCAAGTCCGTCAAGGACCTTGAGAACCTGGCCGGCGGCTGGAACGAGGTCATCGACACGAACTTGCGAACGCAACAGCTCCACGTGGCCGTGGAGGCCGTCCGCGCTAGCCTGCAGGACTCGGCGCACCCACGACCCTTTATCAAGGAGCTGGTCGCTCTGAGAGAGATTGCAGCGGACGACGCGGTCGTCAATGCCGCCATCGCGTCTATCAACCCTACGGCGTACCAGCGCGGCATCTTCTCGCCGCAGGACCTGACCGACAGATTCCGACGCGTGGCAACCGAGGTGCGGAAGGCCTCACTCCTGCCAGAGGACGCCGGTGTCGCCAGTCACGCCTCTAGCTTGCTGCTGAGCAAGGTGATGTTCAAGAAGCAGGGCCTGGCTGCTGGTGATGACGTCGAGAGCGTTCTCACCAGGACTCAGACGTTGCTTGAGGAGGGCGACCTGGACGGCGCTGCGCGAGAGATGAATGGGCTGACGGGCTGGGCGAAGACGCTGAGCCGGGACTGGCTGGGTGAGGTAAGGAAGGTGCTGGAGGTGAGGCAGGCTTTGGAGGTAAGTGTCTAACCAGAATTGCAACTTTATACGAACAGCACGCTGACAGGCACTTCAACAACAGGTTATCCAGACGGAGGCGAGGCTACAGAGCTTGAAGGTGGAGTGAACCAAGCGTTATGGGTTGAAAACAAAGGAGGGGTGAGACCGATTTCCTCGAGTTGAAATGCCTCACTAGCTGTCTGTACATGGCATTTGTAGACGTGTTTATCTGCGCAGGTGTCGAGGAGCTTGAGCCCCGTGTAAGAGATAATCATTATAGACGTGAACCAAAAGCAGTGGATCAAGCTTGATGTAGCCTCGTATGTTTCCTTCCTCACTCTCCCAGACCCTGCCTGGGCCTACTTCTGAGGAGAGGGGCATGACCATACCCCAACCTCATCCCATTCTTTCGAACGTGAGATGCGAATTCACAACTGGATAATTTGTTGCAGAATATGCAATACCTGTGCAGTCTCAGGGTTCTAATAGAGACTGCTTGAGTTCTTACCGTGAGCGAGTGTAACAACAACATTGTCTCTCAACAATAAATGCACTCTTCCCATGTCAGACTAGGCAAGGGTTTGGTCTTGGTAGCTTCCGGGACCCCCCATCTGCCCTTCCGACCATGCCGGACGAAAGGGTGGAGCCCGGAAGAGAAGAGCTTCTCCGCCTGCGGGACGGGTGGGGCCTTCGTCATTCCCTGCCGGTTGTCGTGCTACCTGCAGCTCCCCATGTCAGCAGCAATTCGCGCCTTCGGTGCAGGGCAGACAATTACTATGAACCGAGACGGATGCACATTATCCTGCCCGTGACAGCCTGATATATTTACCTCGCCAGCCGCCGAATGACGGCCTAGGTGGCGCGCCAAGCCGCATCGCATCGCATATCTCCCACTGCAGCTTAGACAAGGAAGATCACATCCGTCCTGCACGACACCGACACAACTAAGCAATGTCGTCCCAGCTCGGCCGGAGAGCTCTGCAAAGGAGCCTGGGGGCTCCGGCGACACCCTCGGCCACGGCCACGGCAGCGACGGCCAGGGCTGCGCGGCGCGTGCCTTGCGCTGCCTCCCAGGCGAGATGGATGGCCTCAGACAAGGGCCCGCGGGGCAACGAGCCCACGTTCAAGGGCCAGATGCTCGAGAGCATCACGGCGCGGATAGCCAGGGAGAAGGAGGACTTGAGGAGGGCGGCGCTGGAGAGAGAGGCTCGTAATAGGGGTGGTGCTCTCCCCATGACAATCTGTGAGTTTTACATTTTGGCTTTCCACCTTCTCCCGGCCCTCGTCACCACTTGGCCGTGGCCGTGTCGCGCAGCTGGGCCTGGCCCATCCTCGGTCGCAAGATGAACGCATATCACTAACATCCTGCTACCAAAACAGTCGTCCTCGGCGCAAGCTTAATTGCCTTCTACTGCGGCCTCAACTACCCACGCGACATCGACCCGTCTTCGACACTGCCCCTCGGCGCGATCTCGAAGCCGCCCAAACACAACGTGTCGCCCAAGGAGCTCGAGGCGGCGTGGGCCGACTTCGTGGCCATCGTGGGCAGTGAGAATGTATCAACGCTAGACGATGTCATCACTTCGCACGCGACATCAGACTGGTCAACGCACAAGCACCTGCCTACGGAGCGGCCGTTCTGCGTCGTGTTCCCGGCGTCGACGGACGAGGTATCTCGCATCATGAAGGTGTGCCACGCGCGCCGCATCCCCGTGACGGGGTTCTCGGGCGGGACGAGCCTGGAGGGCCACTTCGCGGCGACGCGGGGCGGGATCTGCGTCGACTTCGGGCGCATGGACCGCGTCGTCGCGCTGCACAAGGAGGACCTCGACGTGGTGGTGCAGCCGGCGGTGGGCTGGGAGCGGCTCAACGAGCAGCTCGCCGAGGACGGGCTCTTCTTCCCGCCCGACCCGGGCCCGGGCGCCATGATCGGCGGCATGATCGGCACGGGCTGCAGCGGCACCAACGCGTACCGCTACGGCACCATGCGCGAGTGGGTGCTCAGCCTGACGGTGGTGCTGGCCGACGGCACCGTCGTCCGGACGCGGCAGCGCCCGCGCAAGAGCTCCGCCGGCTACGACCTGACCAAGCTGTTCATCGGCAGCGAGGGCACGCTGGGCCTCGTCACCGAGGCGACGCTCAAGGTGACGGTCAAGCCGGCGACCACCAGCGTGGCGGTGTGCAGCTTCGGCACGGTGCGGCAGGCGGCCGACTGCGTCGCCGAGGTGGTGGGGTCGGGCGTGCCCGTGGCGGCGGTGGAGATCCTGGACGACGAGATGATGAGCTGCATCAACAAGGCCGGGTCGACGGCGCGCACGTGGAAGGAGACGCCGACGCTCTTCTTTAAGTTCGCGGGCACCGACAAGGGCGTCAAGGAGCAGGTCGACCTGGTGCGGCAGATGGCCAAGCGGACCGGCAGCACCGGCTTCGACTTTGCCCGGAGCCTCGACGAGCAGCACGACCTGTGGTCGGCGCGCAAGGAGGCCCTGTGGAGCACGCTGGCCGTCAAGCGGGATGGCGACAGCGTGTGGACCGGCGACGTCGCCGTGCCCATCTCGCGCCTGCCCGACATCATCGAGCAGACCAAGAAGGACATCAAGGGCAGTGGCCTGTACGGGACCATCGTCGGGCACGTCGGCGACGGCAATTTCCACACTATCTTGCTTTACAATGACTCCGAGAGGCAGATCGCCGAGGAGGTCGTTCACCGCATGGTCAAGAGGGCGGTGGAGATGGAGGGCACCGTGACGGTGAGATATTACTACTAAAACCTGGCGTGACAAAGCGCCCCCTTTCTTGAACATTCGCTAACGACAATGGATGATCACAGGGCGAGCACGGCGTTGGTCTTGGGAAGCGCGATTACCTCCCTCACGAGCTGGGTGTGACCACGGTGGACGCCATGCGAAAGGTACGAGATGATCCTAATAGCCCCGCTCATGATACGCATCCTCCCCCGTTCCCACCATGCTGACACTATCGAATGGATAGATGAAGCAGGCATTCGACCCTCTGTGCTTACTGAACTGCGACAAGGTTGTACGGATGCAGAAACCAAAGCCGGGTGAGGTGGCCGAGTGGTGAGACAAGCGTATACATTAGCAGGTGATAGCATAGTCCCCAACTCCTTTTATGAGAGAAGCTGTCACAGTGAATATGTCAAGGAGATCATCCAATGACATAGTGTAACGGCTTTGAAGTGTTTGGACTCGTGTAGTTGGACTAGGGGAACCGATGAGTGGGACAACGATTATAGGCTCACAGCCAAGTTGATCATTTTGGCCGAGTTCTGAGCAACCAGTGGCTCCGTGAGCTGGCCATGGATGGCTAGCTGACGAGGGAAATGAATGACTTCTTCTCCCCTCGCCTCACATGCTGGAATCATTATCAACGTCTGCCAGCGCATAGTGACAGAGTTTGTTTCCAAATGACAACCTCAAGCCCTCCAATGGGAACATTGCCCTTTCACTAGCTTACGCCATTTCCTGCATCGCATGGACCTCGACATTAACAAAGGTCTGCGGCGGCGTATAAGAGCAGCCGACGAAATGCAACGCTCTCTACGTGCCATTGCATGTCGTTGTTGCAGCTGTCTGAGACGGCGGCCGTAAGCTGGCCGGCTGTGCTATGCCATGGTGGTATATAGACACAACTGGGTCAGGCTGACAGTACAACAACAATGATTTCCGTCAGCCATGATCGGCCGCCGACGGCGAGCACAGCAAAACTTTGATGCGAGCGGTTGCCGGCATTCCCAAGACCCGCCATGTCCCCAAAGGGCCCCAAAGGGCGAAACTGATCCACCGAGGATCACCTCACGTGGGGCCCGGGGGTGAGAGAGCGGACATTTTGGGGAAGAAGAAGGGCGCGTCAGCGCTAAATGCTCACAATAGGCATGATGGAGTCTCAGCTCACGCTCAAGGCACTTCTGCTACTGGATCGTCTGCTTTTGAAAATAGTTGCTGGCCTGGGAGGATCGAACAAGCCCATCTGAGTGCTTACCCTCCCCATTCCCATCTTGGACGTGGGCCTTGACACTGATTAGCAGCGGGGAAATCCTCCCCTTGGCGGCATTTGCTTGCAGAAATCGGTGCATTCATTGTCTGCATGCATGCATCATTGCATAACTGGTCCGTGTCCGTGTTCTTCACATGCGGGCCTGGAAGTGTTTGGACTGAGTGGGGGAAGACGCCGTAGGATTCGCTTGACATGTGGATATTGATCCCATAGCTCGGTTGTGGACAATCTCTGGGCGTTGATGATGATGAACATTACAAGACAGACGCATTTGGCTACGCCTCACCATCGACTTGGTGCAGGTATCAGTCCGCAAGGAAAAGGCACACAGTTGATGGGAAAAGGCACAGCCGCCGACTGATGGCTGCCCAGGCCCCAGCCACAGGTACAGGGGCCAGGGGACCAGGACCAGGGACCCGAGACCCGAGACCAGGACCTGCACTTGGAATGGGCGGTACGGTACGCTGGTACGCTGGTACGGCAATAATGCGTAAGGCTGTGAGGTCGGATTGGCGGCTCGGGGCGGTGTCTTGGGCCCAGTCGTATTCATTGGTCATGTTCGAGTTGAAGCGGTGGTGTCTCATGGGCCCTGCAGCTCCCCAGAAGACGAGGTGCATTGCGCTTATTCGCGATAGCACATAATGATACGAGGTCGATCTCGTTGCTGCTGGGTCGAACTGGTCGCTAGTCAGTCACGGCCAGGTGGCAAACGTGTGTGATATGATAATATGTGATGTGACTGATGTGACGGCCGGATCGGGTCGAGGGGCGCAGAGAGAAGAAGAAGGGTCCGTCTGAACTGGTTTGTGTATGGTCTGTATTTCTGTCTCTAGAGAATCGGTCGGTTGGGTCGGCGGTCGGCCACTCGGTTTCAGATCGTCAGGTTGCGTGGTTGTCTAGCAGGTTGTAGTGGAGGTCGCGTACCAAGGTCCAAGCAAATCGGCCCACATCATGGGCGACCACTTGTGTGCTGTCGCTGTATTCGCTGTCGCTGTGCGGCAGGTAGCCCTTCCAACCTTGGAATCTCTTGGGGGCCTCGACGTCAGAAGGGCGGGCACATTGGAGTAGAGAAGCGAGCAGCAAGCAAGCCAGCAGCAAGCAGCAAGCAGCACATCGACACCGGGATCGAGGGGCGAACAATTGCCCAAACCTTGATGTTCTGGATGCACGACAGCACCTCCCTACTTGGGGATGACCCTGCACCAGGTCTAGAATTCTGGACGGACGGGGCCACTGAGCACGCCTGAACCCGCCATCCCGAGTGCCTGCTCCCCACCACCCTCTATTCCCTAGCCTCTATTTTCCAGTCGCTACTATTCCCGTCCCGCCCTCCCTCTTACTTTGTGTGCTCGTCTCGTAATCTGAGTTGAACCTACTTGTACCACGACTTTGACTCTCGACAGCGCTTTACACTCGTTTCTCCTGGTCTTCCTGCCTGCTTTGCTGTTTCCTCCTGTTCGCAGTGTTGGCGCCAAGGCCGATCGCCTACGTACGCAACCCACGAACTCTCCTCTTGGGAATCCCTGATCCCACATCGCGTCTGCCCATCTTGTTGACGACATCCACACTGGACCCCCAGGATCTACAGTGGCAGAGCCCGGCACACACACTCCGTACAGCCTGGCTTACGAAACGCTGCTGTTGGTTGCCAAGGATTATCAGTCTGACGAAGCCCGCGCCTATTGCTATTCTATCGCTTCGCCTCTGCCTCGTGCTTCCTATCTCAGCTGAACATCGCCTCGCCCTTCGTCGCCTTGCTTTGCCCGACCTCACCTTCCGACACTCCGCTTCTTGTTAACATGCCGTCAATTGATACATCGCCATAGCTACCACGACGTCTGCGCGCACAAGGAGTTCCTGACCACAAGGTGCTGGCTCAAATCACAAATCTAACATGCCTCGCCCATTTCGGATCGGCATACCGGTCGACCCCTCGACCGGGTCTGCCGTCCTGCACGCATCGTCCAGCTTAGGACGCCGGCAAAGTCCCGACCAACAAGGAGCCAACGGCCAGGACAACCAGAACAGCCAGAATGGTCCAGATCTTGAGAGCAACTCAATCAGTGGCACCAACTCTGATAGTAGTAGTGGTGGTGGTGGTGGTGGGAGCACAAGCGCCACGGCAATGGTGCGTCTGACCCTAGCCTGCTCAATGCTTCTAATTTCAATGATGGCGCCGAATATTCGGGTTCTTTTGCTCACACAAGCTACAGATTGTCACAGGAGTGATAGTCGGTGTCATCCTCCTCGTCTGCCTCTTCCTCCTGATCCGATCGCTACGCAAGCGCTTAAATCCCAGCCTGAAACACCAACCCGGGCCTTTTAAGAAAGTATGGAACAGGCTGAGCGGCTCAAAAACCAAATACAAACGGACTGGCGATGGCAACGATGACCGCTTCAACCGAGAAGTCCGCATGCGCGAAGCCCAGGACAATCTCGAGGACGCACTGCAAGACGTCAATGTGCAAAGGACAGTCGCGAATGGCCAAAACAACGGCCAAGTGAATCGAAATACTTCAGTCCGCTCAGTCATGACTCTGCCTGCGTACCGGCCGAAGGCAATAGAGACGGAACAGGTACTGGGTCGAGAGGGCGAACGCGACGGCATCGATACCGTTGTCGAGCTGCCCACCGCCGAAGAAGAGGAAAACATGCGTGAGGACGAGATGAATGCCTTGTACCAGATCCGGCTCGCCCGGCGGCAGCAGATCGCCGAGCGGGAACAGCGCAGAGAGGAGCGAAGGGCGGCCAGGGAACGACATGATCACCATGCCCTCACGGAAATTCGGGACCGAGCTCGCGTGGCGTCTCAGCAGGCCACTACCCAGGTCGAGGAACTCCGTGATGCCCACGAGCAGATCAAGCAATCACGGCAACGCGCAGTCAGCAGCGTAAGCTACGCGGATGTGGGCTTGGTACGCGCGGACGGAACGAGGCTGCGGGCCAACAGCACCGAGAGTGAGCGTGTTGGTTTATTAAGTGACGCCGGGAGCATTGCGCTCAGCACACACGACAGCCATACACTACAACACAGAAGGCAGCCGAGCTCACAAAGTGTGCTCAGCATCTCTACTTTCCGTAGTACCCCAGGTAGTTCCGCGTCGCGCTCCGGCTCGCCTGGTCTTGGTGGCGGGCGCAGCAGGACGGGTTCAAGGAGTCAGCTAGGCGAGGAGCTACCCCGTGCCGGATCCGCATTCTCAGGGCGGGCAGGATCGAGCCCTGAGCTGATCGATGCAGCAGAGGCGGACCTGGGCGACAGCGAGATGCCGCCTCACTCGCCTCCCGGGTACGACGATGTCTCTCTAGACGAACTCACACCAGCTCACTCGCACCAGTCCGGTCCATCGGCCAACCCATCTGGGAGGAACAGTCCCTACAACGAACCGCCACCCGACTATCCTGGCCAGGAGCATGAGGGCGAAGGACCGACGCAAGCCAGGCAGAACAGGCTGAGCGCACACATGGCCGAGCTGGCAGAGCAGCAGCGGGCAGAAGGCCAAGGGCACTCGAGGACACCCTCGAGAGGCGTTGGTGGTGTGCCACAGCTGCCGAGCCTGAGGCTTAATAGGCTGCCCCAGATCGTGGTCGAGCCATCGAGCGCGGTGCCCAGGGATGACCACGACCAGGAGCGGACGCAGTGGTCTTGAATTTCCGGGCAGACGAAGGAGCACGAGTCGGGGGGGGGGGGACAACTTTTGAGCATAAAGGAGACCGACAGGGTGCGAAGAAAACGCCATCACTTGCGGCACGATAATGACGGATGACTCCCGAGATCACACAAAACAACAGAGACGAGCGGAAGCGGGGATCTTCTTTTTGCGTTTTCAGGATAATTTGTCATTTATGATGGCATTTATCAGCCACCTATCATTAGCAGCATGCGTCTCCTTCCTTTACTTGTTTTTGAACAGATACCACCATCACGGCTCTTGGAGTCTGTTGTATATAATCGGGGCACATCATCAGGAGCATACTGGAGTACTTTTATCTGGATGGGATCAATGGATTTTTTCACATCTTGTCTCCATCACTTCTCCGTCCAAAATATATTTAAGGACAATCGAGATAAGAAAATAATGTGGATACACTGTGTTTCCTGTCGTCGTTTCCTTGCTCTACTGGCAGTTATCAAATTATCGCCAGGGGATCCTGGGCTCAGTTGGAATCGACAGCTACCCTTGTTTGCGTCGATCAGACGTCATGCATAGTCTGTCATCGAGATGTTTCTCATGTCTTATGCCTTTCCTTGGAAAGCTGATATAGGTGATATTGGGCAAATTTAGTTGAACGCGGATGGCATACGATTTGAACATATGATGTATCAGCGGACAAATTGAATGAAGATTTTTGGCACCAAGGATAATACATGGCAAACAGGATACCAATCGATTCGACATTGCCAACTCCGTGTACTTTACTTTAAGATCATAGAAACCACTCGTACTCCAAGACTCAAATCCAAAACAAATATATAGACCAAAAGAAGACCCCCAGCAAAGAGCAACATCAAACAAAGCTCGCGCCACCCCATAGAAGGCACTCCATAGAAGGCACTCCACCCCTCCCGCTTAGCTCGGGATCGTAGGCCCCTCCGTCTTGCCATCCCGCGCCAGCCCGATGACATCGACCCACCCCTCGGGCCTGAGCCGGCCGCCGGGGTACACCTCACGGATATACTTCTCGCCCTCGGCGGCCCAAGCAAGCAGCCTCTCCTCCTCGCCCCACATGCCCATCGCGAGCATGCCGACAGGCAGCCTGCCCTCGCCCTTGTCGACCTCGGCGTAGCCCACGGGGACGGTGGCGGCAGGGCACCCGCTCGTGTTGGCGAGCCACGCGTACGTCATGCTCCGGAGCGCGCGGTTCCCGTCGGTGAAGCCGTAGCGCTCGTCGCCCGGGGTGACGGCGTACCCGACGTCGGGCATCATGGGGCTGGCGATGAGCAGGCCGGCGCCGTGCCGCTCGAACAGGAACGCCAGGTGCGACATGATGGTGGCGCGCACCTGCGCGAACTTCATGTAGTCGTTGGCCGTCGTCTGCGACCCCACCGCCGTCATGACCTGGTTCGCCGCGCTCATCAGGTCGCTCCAGTGCTGGCCGGCCTTGGCGTTGCCGGGGTTCACGCGGTCGCGCGCGTGGTCGGCTGCTTCGGCTAGGCACGTCGCGCCGTGCGCCACCTGGCCCTCGCGCAGGAGCGGCAGGTCGATGTCGACCGTCTCGTAGCCGAGGGTCTTGGTGTAGTACTCGAGGGCGCGGTCGAAGTGCTCGCGCACGGCCGGGGTGGCGCGCGCGATCCACGGGTGGCAGAGGCCGAGGAGCTTCCTGTCGCCCTGGGAGGGGGGCCGGGCGGAGGGGGCGAAGAGGCCCGCGACGGGGTCGGAGGGGTCGGGCTGGGCGACGAGGCGGTAGGCGATGGTCAGGTCGGCGACGTTGGAGGCCATGGGCCCGACGATGCACATGCTGCTGTTCATGACGGTGGTGCGGCTGTGGGACGTCTTGAGCGAGTACTGGCCGGCGATGGCGGGCGGGATGCGGATGGAGCCGCCCGCGTCGGTGCCGATGCACAGCGGCACCAGGCCGGCGCCCAGCGAGGACCCGGCGCCCGACGAGGACCCGCCCGGGTAGTAGGCCTTGTTGTACCAGTTGGTCGGGGTGCCGGTGTTGGGGTTGCAGCCGGTGGTGTCCATGCCGATCTCGTGCTGGTTCATCTTGCCGACCATGATGGCGCCGGCCTCCTCGAGCTTCAGCACGGGCCAGAGGGACTTGTCGGCCGGGCGGTTGAAGTAGTCGTATTCCTTGCGCACCGCCATGCCCATCGTGTTGACGTAGCCCTTGACCTCGCAGTCGGCCTTGACGCCGAACGGCACGCCGTCCAGCACGCCCAGCGGCTGCCCGCGCGCCCACCGCTCCGTCGACGCCCGCGCCGCCGCCAGCACCTCGTCCTCGTGGATGTCCAGCCACGCCTTGGAGTACTCGGTCGGGCTGGCCGCCGCCCGGTTGATGACGGGCAGCAGCGCCTCCACCACCTGCAGCGGCGTCACCTTGCCCGTCTTGTACAGCGCGTGGTAGTCTGCGAACGACGCCCACTGGCCCGGGCTCCCGGCCGGCTGCGGCCGGAGCAGCTCCTCCTCGAAGGTCGGCGCCGGGGCTGGTTTGCTGGGGTCATCAGCCAGCGGTATGACGGTTGGCTGAACAGTTCCGTTAGCACGTCTGGTCGGGCTGGACTCGCCATATTCCGTGCCATCATCCCAAAGACATGGCTCAAGGGAAGGGCAAGACAGGGTGGGCGGCCGGGCAATCATACGTCAAACCTCCACCTGTGCGTGTTCAGCCCCTCGACGCTGGTCAGCTTGCTGAAGCCGGCATTGCCGTACAGGAACCGCTGGATGGCGGTGCTCCTCGTGACACTTTCCGGGCACACATGAGTGTCAGTGATCATTCACAACTGTTTAATTTGCTGCAGCTCGGCTGAACACCTGCGCGACCAACAGCCAGGCAGGGCAGTCGACAGGTATCACTCACATGGCAGCCCCAATGGCCAGGGGCAAGCCGCGCATGGCAGGGTTCTTGTCCTCCTCGACCTTGTAGCTGATGTAGGACGCCTCCTGCGCCCGTGGGTAGTCGGCGTAACGTCGGGAGGGCGTCATGCTGGGCGGTTGTGTATATATATGAATAAGAAGCAAGTTTTCCCAAGATCAAAAGGAAAGGCAAGACACGCGATCAATTGGGCTCAAGATGTCAAGAGAAGAAGCAAAGAAACTGCACGGTGAACCATCTGATGTCAAAGGTCTCCGCCAGCTGGCTCACTTAGCAGCAATTCTGGGCCCGTGGGGCGTCCTGTTCTTATTCTTCTGGTCGTCCGGTGAACACGTTGTTAATGTTATAAGTTTCACGCCCCTCATAGCACGACTTCAGCCGAATCAGTTGGTGCCCCAGGGAGAAAGGGGAATTGTTCAGCCAGACCATTCAGTCGCGGGCGGACGCCAGGACGGTCTCAACTCGCACTCTATTTGGTTTCGGGTCGCCGGGCGAAGCTACCGTAGACGGGCCACGAGCTCATCCAGCTAGGCCGGAAGCTTGAGCGGGTGTATTTGTTTGCGGTATACTCAATGTAGTCCTGTATAATACGTAGTCTTGAGTAGACTGGGGCTCTTCTTTTCGTGCACAGTAGCATTCCCGCACGTAAGGTAGTTTTCCCCGCGGTTTCAGCTACCTATCTGCCTGCACGAACCCTCCGCTCCCGCGCATTGAGCATTGCCTCGGCTCGGACGCATTGGATGATCGACCCTGCAGAACAAGGTGCATTGGGCGATGGGGCTTTGTTTGTTATCCTTGAAGATATCATGAGACGATCTCACATGCAAGCTCCAATCCCATTCCACTACAAACAATCCAGCTCGGATTGGGTATCAGTTCCTTCATGACTTCATGTGTTTACTCACATTGCACCGCCCTTCCATTCTACCATTGGATATCTCATCCCGCTCAGCGCCCATGAGTACACCAAGACACAGTGGCAATCCATGATTTACGCCGAACGCTCTACGAGCATCGCCATCACAGAGAGCCAGCGAATATATCTTGGGGGTAAAGAATCGATTTTGCCTCGCCGGCCCATCACTCAAGCGAAGGCCCTCTCTCTTATCTATAACCCAGACATCCCACGGATGATGATGACTGCCTGTTTGCAGACAGAAACAAAACAAGCCGATAAAAACAGACCGAGAACCATTGCCCATAAACCCTAGAAATCCAAAGACTACTCCTGGCCCGACCGTTGTCTGACAGTGGGAGGGAGCTGAGCTACAAGCGCGCGTGCACGCGCATACACATACACACACAAAGAATGAAGCTGGCTCCTCTCACACTCACGACGGTGACGGTGAAATCACCAAGCCACAAAATGCCCCATTTCCCCGATGATGCCCTCACCGCCTGTGCAAACCCTGCGAGCTGTATTGTTTGTGTAGCGTTGCCCCCGGCTATTGTTCGTTTCACGCCCGCATCCCCATCACCCCCCCCCCCGTCTGTTCTCCAGCTTTCCCCGCCGCTCCAAGAAGCATGCATGCCAAAAAGAAAGTGTGGGTAAGAATGATAGGTCGCGCATTTTCTTTCCTTTCTCTTTCCTTTTTCTCTCCCTTCAAATAAAAACTCCGGGTATGTCGCCGAACGCCTTGCGAGTAAGCTGAGCTCGAAACCACTTGGGCGGTCAAGTGGGAGATGTATGCTGTCAAAACGGTCGCCATGCAAAGAACGCTAGGTTTCGTATAACGTATGATAATTTCATGTGTGTTGTGTTGTTGTGAGTGGTGAGGCATTGACTCGGTGCCGTGACCGTATTGGTGTAGTTGTTTTTTGGGCATACATTTTTGCGGAAATTGGTAATGGGTGATGTGATGCCAGTGTGGTGAGATAGATGGTGCTGTGCCCTTGTGATGCTTGTGTTTCGACGCCTGCAGTCAGCAGCTGCTCGTTATACCAGGCATGGCTATCGTCTCCCCAGCTTCAACAGCCGGGTCCGGAGCCATAGCATAAACGAGGTCCAGTAGCTCTGCGTCCTCCTCTTGGCCGTCGTGGCACGCTTCGGCGTCCCGAACCGCACGTCGTGGATGTCCGGTCCGGAGCTATGTGTCGTCCCGTCCGCGTGGCCTTCATAGTTATTGCTCATAAATGCGGACCCCGGCCTCTGAACCTTCTCGTTCATGGTCGCCTGCCTCGGTGACTCAACGGGCCGGTTTTGGCGGCTGCTGACCGTAGGGCTGAGAGGCGGTGGTGTGCGCTTCCGCGAGAAGGACGGCCTCCCGATGCTGGATATCTCGCTCATGCCCGTAGCTCTGCGCGAGGCGGCCTTCTCCATCTTGCTGTCCTTGCGCTCCCTCTTCTTGCGCTGCTCCGACTCGTACTTCTCCTGCTTGAGCCTCTCGTTCTCCTCGAACTTGCGCCTCGCCTCCCGGATGTCCTCGCGGCTCGCGCCGGTGTCGACCTCGCTGCGAGAGCGGATGCGGAAGGCGCCCTCCAGGCTAGTGCGCAGGGGCGACATGGGCACGTTGGACGTGCTGGGGCTGCCCAGCGTCAGGGACGGCCGGGGCGAGTCGGTGGGGCTGGCGCCGTTGATCTGCAGGTCCGAGTGCGAGTAGGAGGTGTTGAGGGATCCATGGACGAGCTTGGAGGTCGGTGCTGAAGGGTGGGAGCGAGAGAAGGGTGTTGTATTGACGCGGAGCGGGGGGTTGTTGTTGACGTTGCTGTTGAAGTCTGTCAGAGAGGGCGTGCGCTGACTGGCGAGCGAAGGCCGCCTCAGGCTGGTGGTGGAGTGGCTGTTGCTGGGCTGGGGGCGATGGAGGTGGGACGACAGCGACGTGGACAGCGGGGTGGAGCCGGTGAAGTCGTGCTCGTCGTCGTCGTTCTCGGTAATGATGGTGGGCGAGTAGTCGCGGGGGGTGTTGTCGCGCTCAAACGAGGTGAAGGAGTTGGCGTAGGTCAGCGGCGGGGTGTTTGTGCGTGGTGTCTGGTACTGCTGGAAGGGGTGAACGAAGCCACCGCCTGGTCGATGGCCGCTTCCGTTGGTGGCTATGGAGCTGGTGCCCGAGGTTGTGCGGGTGTGCTTTCTCCTAGACTCGAGCCCAGCAACAGGCGTCGCTGTTCCTGAGGCAGAGGCCGAGCCTGAGGTCGGGCCTGTCGGGTTGGGAAAGGTCGAGGGCTCCCATGTCGAGCCGGGTATGTTGACGTCCCGGACGGACCGCGACATGCTTGTGCGCGGGGGCGGATCGTAGACGCTGATGTGGTCGTCCCAGCCCCTGTCCAGGTCGAGTGAGTTCTTGGGCGAAGACACAATGACCTTTTTCAGTATGGGCTTGACCATCTTGGATCGTGGTTTGGTGATCTTGTTGGACGAGTGGTGATAGCCCGGCACTCCGACGAGAGGCGCCATGTTGGCTGTTATTGTCTGCACCATGAGTCCCCCCCTGTCCTGATCCTGGTCCCAGTCCCAATCCCAGTCTCAGGTCCAAGAGATGCCAGGACAAGACAGACAGACTGGTCAGTCACACAGATAGGCGGACAGACAGACACAGGCAGAGAGAGGCAGATAGTCGAGGGCCACGAGGAAGAGGAGGAGGAGGAGGATGCAGATGGAGAGGGGGGCGGGCCGTGATTCGTAAGGGCGGTAGCACCCGCCAGCCAGCAGGTATGTCAGAGGAGGAGGAGGAGGGCGATGCTGGAATGGGGCATAATGAGAGCGATATTGCCGGCAAATCGAAGGACTCTGGGCTGTCTCGTCACAGTAATGATTTGATTAGATGGGAGGTGAAATGAGCGGCAATTACACGTCATGTGTCTCCTACTCAGGTCAAACCAGCCCGCAACCAGTCGCAAGCATCAACCAGTCAGTCAATCAATCAATGTCAACCAAGCAACCAGGCAATCAAATGGAGCACTGTGGTTGTGCAAGGTGGAAAGTGAAGCAAAGCAGGTATTTGTGCAAGCGAGTAAGCAAGCGAGCAGGGCACGCAAGTAAAGTAGGAATGAGTAAACAGGCGGGAGAGTAAGCAGGTAAGTATGTGAGCAAGGCAAGGTAGGTAAGGTAGGTGTAAGAATAGGACGTGGGGAGGGGAGGGGGGGGGGGAGAAGGATAAGGATGCTGCATGGGTTGGGTATGGGTATGGATATGGGTAGTCAGTCTTGATGTCAAGAATGGAAATGCTGCTGTCCCTGGTCTAGTGTGTCTCTTCTGGCTTGTCTATCTGTCTGTCTATGGGCTGTAGTGGGAAGCTTACGGGCTGCCCGCACGGAGTCGACGGCTAGACTTTAGTCGGTGTGTGGGAGGATCTAGCACAAGGCGAGGCACAGCACAGCAAAGCAAAGCAAAACACAGGCATTAACAGACGCATAGCAGATCCAACACTACCACTTCGCACTGCACGGCACTGCACTGCACTGCACCGTACCGCAACAACAGCACCACCAGCACCACCACACGAGCTTAGGGCCCAGACTCTCGACTAGCAGCAACCCTACAGCACGAGAGCGGTCCCATAATCCATAATCCATCATCCATCACCAACACGCTGTCACATATGTTTGGCAATGCACGCTACGTCTCGAAGCATCCAGAGAAGGGCGGGGAACCGTAGGCGAGCCCTCAAGCGAGACGAAGGCTCCTCCAGACTCCTCCTCTCTCTCTCCGCTACCGCCCTTCCTCATGATCACGTCTCCATGTGCTTCATGTCTCCATGTCTCCATGCGTCTCTCTCTCCCTCTCCCCTGGGCCCTGGGGTGTTTTCCCCCTGAGGCTTGCAGATCACAGAATCTTTCTCCAGCCCTTCTCGAAAGGCGGTGTTGCCCCTCGCTGCGCAAATCTCTATCGAGCCTGTCAAGGTTCTGTCAGGCCTGCCCGGTCCAATGATCTGGCTCCGGCTTCCCTGGAGCTTCCCGGGGCGGCGGCGAGCCCCATCAGCCTCATTCCGCACCTGGGCACAAGAAGCACGACAAGGGACAGAAAGCCCACTTCTTTCTTCCCCTCCCATCCAATCCACAGCCCCCCTCCATCATCCACAGCAGCAGGGCCGCAGGCGGTCTCTTGACCGCCTGGCGAGGTGGGAATAGTTGGGAATTAGAGGCCCGGCGTGGAGGAGCACGGAGAGTGGCTTGATTGGAGGGGCAACAATCATCCCTCGTCCTCGTCGTCTCCCCGTCGTCGCCGCTGCTCGTCTCGTCTCACCTGCGCTAGCCTGCTCTGGGGCAAAAGCCCTCAAGTCGGTTCCTTAGTCAGTCTATCAGTCTGCCTGTCTGTGTGTCTGTCGCAGGCCTGACAGCGCCGCGCCGCGCCCCAGAGCCTCGGGGGCCCGTGTGGGCCGGCGCCATTCCCAATCCCGTCCATGCGACTAGCAACTCTGGGGAAGCCAAGCACTAGTCTAGTGAACTGACTTGAGAGACAGGGAGAGGGGGAAAAAATGCCTCTCCCTCTCTCTCGCGGAAATCCGAGGCTTTGTCATTCCCCCGGCGGGATGGAACCTCGCTGACAATCGCTACCAAGACCTCGGGATCGACCCAGCCTTGCAGAGCGAACCAACCGACCCAGCTGAAAGAAGCTTCCTACCCTCCCTCCCTTCTCCCTCTCGCTGCCCTCGGGGCCGATTGCATTGGGCCTCAAACCCGGACGGAGGGGAGCATAGCCCTGGTAGACTAGTGAATATGGTATCTAGATGGGCCACACACCAGGATCTGCTATCATGCCTCAGCCATCCATCATGATGTCTGCCACGCCTTGCCCTGCCCGGCCCTACCTTGGCCCGGACCGCTCGCGCTCTGCTCACTGGTGGCTTTCCCCTCGGCGCGGGTCCTTGTCGCCTCTGCCTCGCCAGATCCTGCATCACGGGACAAAGTACAAGCGCAGGTGTCAAGTGCGGCGTGAGCTGCTGAAGAAAAAACCTCACCACCCAGCGTTCTTCCGCCACCCACCGCACATGCTGAGCAGGAGAGAGCTCGGAACCTTTCCAGCCCTTGTCCCACACCTGCGCAGTGGTTCGGCGGTGCCCCCGGCCCCTCTTGCCGGCAGGACGGATCGTGCCAATGTATTCGCGACAAATTCCCCTCACGCAGGGCCATCACGTCAGATCGGTTGCCGTGCCCTGTCCTGGTTACAGTCGTTCAATCACTGGCTGGCTGGCCTGCCTGCCTCGTTTCGTTTGTTTGTTTTCCTGTTTACAGCCCATGTGTGACGAGACCCCGTTCCCGCCTTGCAATGCGAGGCAAGCCTGAGCTTTTGCCTTGGCCTGCACACAGAACAGGCGGGCGGGGAGAGAGAGAGGAGGGAGAGGGGTCGAGGCAGGGCACGCAGGCACGCCGTGCGCTGGGCCGCGTGTTCTTGTCACGGACTGCTGCCCCTCCCTCAATCAATCAGCCACGACCGCTTTGGCTTGTGATAGCTGCCACGGTAACGTTGCCGGCCACCCAGTGCTCCGGTGAGAGCCGAGCTGGGTCCGACCTGGTGTGATTTTTTGCCGCCCCGGTTTCCCCAGAACAAACCACCACACAGGATTGTTTATGCTTTCGCACTTGGTTGAATCGGCCCGGATCTCTGTGTGACAAAGTTGACGGGCCACAAAGATAGTACTGTACAGAATCTACGTAGTTTACTCGGCTGTCGTTATCCGACATGTCAAAAGTCTACCGGGGCCGCCGCTGAGGCTCGGTATCCATCACTGGGGGGATCACCTGCCCATGCTGCAAATCCAAACGGACGACTCGGCTCTCGCTTGCGCTCCCTTCTCGCGTTGTTGGTTCGCCCCCCAGCGAGACCGAGCTTCGTGCGTCTGCCTGTCTACATTATCTGGCTGGGGACGCACAAGTTCACGGCAAAACAGCGAGGCAGCGCACCAGAGCTGCCAGAGTACAGGGGCTTGGCAAATTGTGGTGGCATCGTATCACAATCTCATTGTGTACCCCGCGTTCCCGCGACCAATGGCCCCGAGCCTCGTAGGCTCCTCCTGGCCCTGGGAGGCCAACGAAAGAGAGAAAAAAAACCTGGAGTGCCTCCTCCTCATCTGCTGCACGACGGCCTAGTGCATCACGGAAACAGGGTAGCACGAGAGATCGTCTGCAGTAGCACGTAGCTTGGCCGTGAACAAACTTGCCCCCGTTACGCAAGCCAGCTGGCTCTGCTGGCACAAGTCCCGAGTGCGGTGCCGTCGACCCGGCGAACCACGTTCAACCTGCAACATCGCCGGGTCGCAAAGCCACAACCTGTCCGCGTAATAGCATACACCCATCACCAGATGTTCGAAGCGCACCATGGGCGTTAGCGGGCGGGAAGACGTGGACCTAGGCGGCACCAAGGCGGCTGGCGCTGGGACGTTCCCTGCAGACGCCGTCGGCATGTGCTTGATCGTCGAGTCCGGATGCACCACCCACTTCGACACGCCCACGTCTCCCGGCCACTATCTCCCAGCTGCTTGGTTGCAGTGACGGGAAGCGGGAATCCCGAGGATTTTCGCGCATGCGGCTCTGGCGGATCTTCTTTTCACTAGATATGCTTTGCCCGACTCTGCCGTCGGGTCCTTTGGAGATCATAGTTTGAACTTTGTCAGTGAGGGGGTGTCCTGGGTGCATATGGTTCTCTGGGCCAGCGGTTCCCGCGAAGTCTATTCAAACACACAGTCACCTGACGGGTTACCGGGGGTGGGTGATGGCGTGAGAGATACCCGAGAGCATCGCATGTCGAGCCGCAACCTAAAACACAAACCGGGAAGTTCGAGCCGGACCAAGGTTGCCAGTATGCCTATGCCCGCACGTGATGCCAGACCAAACCGCAAACCTAGCCCGATGGCTGCCCGCCGCTGGAAGCTATATCCTGGCCGTTATGGCGGACAGCTGTGCACGTAGAAGCAATCCTTGTAACCCCTCATAGGATGAGAATTTGCCAGCATTTGTCACTGTGAGGTCAGCCTCGTGCTGTTTCATCCATGCCCGGCAATCCTGGTTGCCCCTCACCCACGACTTCGTTGGTAGTCAGTCGACTGGAGCTCTGGGCTCGAGAGCATTGTTATCCAGCCGCCGTGTCGAGGGTCCAGCCCGGGAGCTGCGAAAGTCGCCAAAAACTTGGAGTGATGCGTGAAGGGAGTGTATACCGACGAGAGGGCAACGTCGGATATGTCCTCCAAGTGTCGGACAAGGAGACGTCCAAACCTGATTTTCCCTCGCCGTGATACGACAGGAGTGTGATGAGCAGGGGCGTCTGAATTTGCTTCCCCAGGTGGCTGGAAGAGCGGTCTGCGTCCTCGGTCAGAGGAAGGTGCATGAACCATCACTTCATAGGATCAGGCTGACCGAACTCTGTCAGTAGAACTCATGCCGGCGACAGCTCTCAGGGGCTTGGAAGAAAATGATATGAATGAAGTTCCACTTGAAAAGTTTGCGAGCAGTGAAATGCGT